CCACGCACAATCGCAGGTCACCTCTGAGCGAGCCCATTGAGAGCCGCAGCAGCAAGCCAACACTACGTCGTGTCTCACACCACCACCCGAGGAACCCATCCCACCCATTCCACGGGAGAAACAATGGAACCTTGACATTTTCCGCCAAGCCAACGAGATATGGAATTACTCCGCCGGATGGCATGGCCAAACACCCGATGCGTTCAGTAAAGTCGAAGCCCTGCTTTATGACATAGCAAGCGGCTACGGGTCATGGCAAAACGTCAACCACAGGGAAACTGCAGTCGGAGGTGCCGTGGATACGTGGCTAATGGAGGCTCTTACCGCGTACGGTTATGCTACGTTCGAACTTTCGCCACCTCCCGTACAGCTCATTGCGTACTACGACCCAGGCACGGAACCGAAGGCACTGCCAGATTGCTACCGCTGGATTATATCAAGATAGGAGGGACATCCGATCTATTCGATATAGAGTACGATACCGGGCTTCCCGAAGAAAAGGAATTAGCAGGTATCCGTAGGGTTGAGAAAGCAGCCTCTGATGCAGGAACTTGGGCTTCTGTGGACGGGGAGTTTCTCAACGGGATTCGGGTATAGGCTCTTGTAATGCAGTCCTGAAGAGTTGCAGCACCAAGCAAAGCACGGTCGGGAATACCGCAACCATGAATGCATGGTTTTTATCCTTCCACCCCTCTGAGAGTCGAGATATTGCAGCTCACGACGACTCTTTGAATTACAGCAGACGTCTTCCATATATTGCCATGCCTGCATCAAAAACGTTTTACACCATAGGTGGCCAACATCACCGTGGCGATGGAAAAGCGTTCTAGAAACGTCTCAAAAACGGTGGGAGAACGTGTCAGAAACGTGCAAAAACGTGTCATAATACACACCGCTTGTCATGGGTGTCCCTTCCTCTCACCTGGTAGTAGGAGCCGATAACATACCGAGTCGGAAAATCAAGATTAGCCAGAAAACGTAGAAGCCACTGGACTTACATCAGAACCGATACACAAGACTCCAAACAAAGACACCCTCTGTGAACGACGGAAGGGTGTCACATCCAGTGGTACCAAGGTTGGACAGGAGCGCGTGAGCGGTAAGCTATCCGAGATCGGCTACCTGAGCTACAACGTCCTGCTCCAACACTGGTCAACCCCCACAACTCTGCCATATTTTCTTGGTCTGCATGCTGAGAAGTCGATCCGACGATCAACCAATGATCCCACCCATCGGCTCGGCAGAATCGTCGGAAGAATGTAAGGAAGCCCAAAAGCTAACCCCCGCGGGGGAAGCGAGCACGAACACGGGACGGCGAGCATCTTGAGGCCTGAACAAGAGATGGTGGCGCCCGCGGAGGAGTTCACGACGTTGTAAGCGGTGCGGCGCCGCGCTTGGCAGCGGGAGGGTGAATGTTGCTAGCCAGGGGCAATATCGAAAATCTGGGGCACTAAGCCACTCCCGGCTTTAGAGGCCTATCACATGCGATTGCGCAACGTCAACACCCAGACTTTCGAACGACGTCTTACTCCTCTATCTTTGTCGCTCCCTCCGCTTTTGGGGTGCACTTAGATTAATTATACGGCGCAGCGCAGGGCTACGCCGTGACGAGCGTTGTAAGGGGTCGCTGTACGGTGAGGTCGTCTTTGCCATTTCGCTGGGCTGACCGAAAATCAGGAATTGCGGTCCAGGTAAGCATAGAGGGCAGACGACACCGTGCGTGATGAGCAGCAGGGGCAATATCGAAACCCGACCTGCTATACCCCAAGGATGCGTTAAGAAGATCACATGGGCTAGGCTAACGTCAGATTCTGGCACTTCCTCCAACCACAGCTGCATTTTTTTTGCGCGGCGCGGCACTTCTGCAGACTACCGAAGGGTCCTCTGTAGATGTGCAGGGGTCAACGCTTCTTAGCACCTTCCGACAACAACATAGCATCCCGCGTCTGTCACGAGCTACATCGAATACTACATCGAATGATGGTTCAGCGGCGCCGCGAGGCCTTGTGTAGGGCTGAGTAGATACCCCAGTGGTTAAGTACGGAGTTACCAGCCGCCTCGTGACACGAAGAAAACCCTGTGCCACTACTGTGAATCCAAATGCGGAAGTGGAGAGATCATTGCGGGGCCCCGGGCCAGTCGAGTGAAAGAGGAAGTATCTACATAAAGGTACGAGCGCTCCCGCATCTAAGGTAACGAAGATCTTCGCCCTTCAGCCCACCCTCCTCAACTTCTCAATCGTGCAACTATTCTCATTCAAGATGATACTTCGACCTCTAGTTGCTGCTTTGGTAGCTACGACTGTGTATGGAGCTGCGGCAGAGCCTCTTCGCTCTCGAGATGACTTGGCTGGAAAGATTGAGAAGCAGAACAAGATCTCTCTCCAAGGTGTGCTCAACAACATCGGCCCTCATGGAAGCCAGGCACCTGGCGCATCTGCAGGTGTCATAATCGCTTCTCCATCTACCGAGAACCCAAACTGTAAGTACAATCCCCTTTGGGCAGTTGTTGCTCGTACCGGCATTATCCGTACTAATCGCCTAAAGACTTCTATACGTGGACACGAGATGCCGCACTGACCATGAAGATGCTTGTCGACGAGTTCATCCATGGCAATTTCTGGCTCCGGACGACCATTCAAGACTACATCAAAGCACAAGCTATTCTCCAGACCGTCAGCAACCCGTCCGGTGCTCTGGGCTCTGGACGTGGTCTGGGCGAACCAAAGTACTACTCCAACCTCACTCGTTTCAACGGTGACTGGGGTAGGCCGCAGCGGGACGGGCCGGCTCTTCGTGCAACCGCCTTGATCACTTATTCGAGGTGGCTTCTCAGCACTGGGCGCAAGTCAGATGTTACTGAAGCCAAGGAAGTGATTTGGCCCGTCATCCAGAACGATCTGTACTATGTCTCCCAGTATTGGAACAGCACTGGATTCGACCTCTGGGAAGAAGTTCTTGGGTCGTCTTTCTTCGCCACTGCGGTGCAGCACCGTGCTCTTATCGAAGGAGCAGCTCTGGGGAAGCGCCTGGGCATACAGACATCTCCCTTCGAGTCTCAAACCTCCAACATCTTGTGCTTCCTCCAAGCTTATTGGAATGGAGAGTATGCCTTGTCGAACATCAACACCCAGGACTGGTACAATAGGTCGGGTATTGATGCCAACACCGTGCTTACTTCTATCGCTAGTAAGTGTCTCTACTTAAGTGTATATAGCAGGACTGACCAAAGCATAGCTTTCGATCCAGAGGCCAAATGCGACGACGCGCTCTTCCAGCCTTGCTCACCACGCGCGCTGGCCAGTCTCAAGGTTTATGTGGACTCTTTCCGCGACATCTACACCATCAACAAGGACGCCTCGGAAACTTCCCCCGTCGCCACCGGCCGCTACAAAGAGGACGTCTACTTCGAAGGCAACCCCTGGTACCTCACCACGCTCTCTGTCGCCGAGCAACTCTACGACGCCATCCAGCAGTGGAGCACCATCAACACGCTCACCGTCTGCGAGACCAGCCTTCCCTTCTGGAAGTCCGTCTACCCCTCGGCTAAACTCGGCACCTACCGCAAGAGCCAGCGCGAGTTCAACAAGCTACTCGACGCCGTTCTGAACTATGCAGACGGCTTCGTCAAGATCGCGCTGAAATACACGCCGAGCAGCGGCGCGCTGGCCGAGCAGTACAGCCGCGAAAACGGCACCGCCATCTCCGCCCGCGACCTCACCTGGTCCTACGCCTCCTTCATCACCATGCGCGGCGCCCGCCTCTCCGCCACATCCGAGTACATGCAAGTCCCCTCCTGGGGCGCGCCCTCGGCCCCCCAGATCCCCTCATCCTGCAAGCCCGGCTCCGTCCCCGGCGTCTACGCGCCCGCGCTCAAAGCCGGCGCGCCGCCCGGCAGCGGCGGCTGCACCATCCTGGTCACCTTCAACGTCAACGCGTCCACCTTCTACGGCGAGAACGTGTACCTCACGGGCAACACGACGGACCTGGGCCAGTGGAATCCGAACGACGCGGTCCCCGGGAGCGCGAACGAGTACACGGCAGAGCGCCCGCTGTGGAGCTTCACGGTGGAGCTGCCGGCGAATTCGTCGGTCGAGTATGGCTATTTGAGAAAGGAGCCGGATGGCGCGGTGTTGATGGAGACGCGGAATCGCACGCTCGAGGTGCCGCTTTGTGGGGATACGATTTTTGCGCCGAATGCGACGGTGGAGGATGAGTGGGTCGGGCCGACGGGGACGCCGGTCGCGAAGCTCTTATAGAGTGGTTTCTTTGATGGGATTGAGTGGGACAGCATGGCGTGGCATGGCATGGTTTTTGTACGGGGTGTGTGGGACACGGCATGCATGATACACCTTCGCTTTGGTATGTGGAGGGATAGAGAGATAGATCAATAGGCTTTGGTCTATATTGGCTAGTAGGTATCTTGACTTCGAGTCCAGCTCACCGTCGTCGTCTCTAGCTCGTACACTATCTATCACAGTTCCATCTAATCTCGGGGGCCACATGCGCCTGGCTGCTATCTCCTCCGCCCACCAGCTGTTGACCCTTTCTTGACACCAACCCCCTGTGCACTTTATATCGCTCTGAGGTCCGAAGCCGTTCAGTCTGTTGTTCACAGAAGAATCGAAGCCCTTTTACGGGACGCACTGATAGATATACCCTTTCCCAAAGCGGGCTGCGGAAAAGTGCCGTGTTTTGAGAATCTGGTGGGAGAGCGTCTGCTATCGCAGAACCCCCAAGTCGTCAATTGCGGATGTCATTTGCATCGATGCCCGCCGGGAATCGTCAGAACGGCTCGCTCGAGCGGTACGATGCGGGGCGTTCCATCCATGCATCAAATAAACGTCTTCGGCACCACAGTCCTCTTCTCCAACTCCGAGTGCAACTCCGCCTCATCCTCCTTCTCGCACTTCTCATCCGAAATCGTATCCCCAAACTCATCCCTGACCTTCCTCTCGCCGCGGGGGCTCCGCACCGTTGCGCTCACCGCGCTGGGCCTGCGTGCCGCATGCTCCTCCTTCCTTAGCCCCTCGCCCTCGCCCAGCAAGCCAAACAGCACCAGGCGCTCTCGGACCTGGGTCTCGCTGCCCTCGTCGTAGAAAAACAGGCCGATGCGCACGAGCGTGCGCTCCATGAACGCCTTGAGTGTGGGTATGGTGGCGGCGATGAGCGCAAACTGCTGCTCCAGGACCGCCCACAGCGCAATCGTGACGTTGGTGCGGAAGATGTCGCGGCTGGTGTAGAAGCCCTGCAGGGTCATGGTGCGGATGATAGCTGCGCAGGAGGCGAAGAGGCCCAGGCCCATGAGCACGCACATGAAGATCTTCTCGCGCCGCGGGCGGTTCAGCTTCCGGATGAAGGTGATCGGGATGAAGCTAAAGACGATGTCTAGGCCGACCTGGATGGCCGAGAAGGTGACAATGTTCCCGTTGATAACGGCGCGCTTGAAGCACGTTACTTTCTGCTTGCGGAACACGCCCGGGTCCCAGTACACGCTGAAGGGGCGGCATTGCAGGAACTGGAAGGCTGTTTGGACGAGGCCGGCGACGATGGTCAGGGTGATGAGGAAGTAGAGGAAGAGGCGCCAGGGGCGGGTGCGCTTGAGGCGGAGCAGCAGAAGGGCGACGGAGAGCTTCACGAGCGTGATGGACCAGTACCAGAAGACTTGCGAGATGAAGAGCAGGCGGAGGGAGGTTGAGCGGCGGGAGAAGGAGACGAAGCGGGCGTGGCGGCCGAGGCCGAAGACCACGGAGACCGCGAGGATGAAGTATTGGACTACGGCGAGGACCTGGTTTGTTGGATTAGTAAGATTTCCTTGTTGTACTAGTCAGACCTCAAGGGTCATGAAAGGGCCTTCAAGAGGAAAAGGATAGGCTACGCACCGTAGCTCCTAACACAGTCCAGTCATCCAGCTTCAACCGATACGTCGGCCTCAGCCTCGACCACAACCTCGCGGCGAGCAAGCAGATGGAAATGAAGAGCAGCGTGCCGCCCAGACCGAGCAGAATGGGTGCTTGCGTGTTGTTGTCGTCCATGCTGCCGTTCGGGATGCGGTTGGGGTTGAAGTGCGGCTTGGAGTAGTTGCGGGACATGGCCGATTGTTGGCCGAAGCCGCCGCCAGTTTTGTCGAGCGGATTGACGGCTGTGGGGGAGGGGGAGGGGGAGGGCATTGGAGCGAAGCGCTCCATGGTGGGTTGAGAGGGCTTCGGGCCGCTCTCTAAGAAGCAAAGGAAAGAAAGGTAAAATGAGTGACTGGGACAGAGAGAACGATGGAAAAAGAAGTCGTGATCTCGTTACATGCTGGCCAGCCAACAATCCATTAGGAACTGTGCTTGCGACAAAGGTAAAGCGAAAAGTCGAAGAGAAAAGAATCCACTTTCTAGAAGCGCATGTCGAACAGCGAGCGAAGAACTCTTTTCTCTCCGTCTCTGCTTCGCGCAGCAATAACGCAGGCCCTCACTTCTCTTAGCGCGATCTCACAATGCGGCGATGCATGAAGCACACCCTCCGTCCGTCGAGGTGATTGATTGTGACCTGAAAACGAGGGGTGCGTGCAGGTAAAGACGGCATCAATAACCAACGTGACACGACATGAGGAGCTGGTCAGAGCCAAACCTCGAGCGAACCTCTGCCTTGCCGACTTCCCCGTTGTTCACGGCCTGAGTGGTGGGAGCTAGGGTAACGACGGTCTCAGACCCGTTTGATCGCCTGCCCTAGGTCCCTGCACCCCACAAATGCGTGCACTGACGACTGAACTGCCGAACAAGCTTTCCCCCGTCCGGTCCGTCAAGCGGGTAAAAATATGGCCCTTGCTTGTGTGTCGTTAGTCTACTTCTGACGAATAGCGCGAGGTTGGGACATTCACATACGCTTACGTAACCCTGCTCGCTTGGCAAGCCGGTTACATAGGACGGAGCCGAGTGCCTCAGGATCTGTAAGAGGTCAATGCAACGTCTGTTTCTGGTGGTTCTTTCGGTCCGTTTTGCTTGCGTATTCACGAATTCGCAGGTTTGAGCAGTGGGAGTCTTTTTGAGGGCGATGGGACGGGCCGAATAGGGCATGTTCCGCTGCTCCGCAACCGCATTTGCAAGTACGAAGCCTTGCTTGCTTGGACGCGCTGCCCTTTCGGGAGCTTGGATCGTGGTTGCGTGCAGTTGCTGCACGTGGAGGCGCATGCGGTTCGCTTTGTTGGTATATTTGAGGGCAAAGAGGGGCTTGAGGCACAACTGTTGCGGTGAACACCTCGTTTTGTGTTCGAGCTTGTGGAGTTTCGAATACAAGCGACGCCCCCAGATGGGGGAAGAGGATAAAGATGGTGGAATTCTGCACCTGTTCCATGGATCGGGTGTATTGCCAGGGCCACCGGCTGTCTCGAACACCATTGCTTTTGTAATCGCTGTGCTGCCGCGGACGCCCAGCCAGCCATGAAAGGCGCCTCTAGGCCTCATGCGGCGAAGCCAGCTGTCAGGATTTGACAGTAAAGCATAGCGTGCCGACCTTCAATCACGACCGGTGCCGTTCTCCGTCCGCGAGAACAGTGGCAGAACGTGCCAAGACTTCTAAGGAACCGGGTCTCCGAACTTCGTACCTTCTTCATTGCCGTCTCTTTTGAGCTCCTCTTTCTGGTCTCCCCTCAATACACTGCATGGCTCTCGAATCGCACTTCTTCCATCATCCTGATAGAAGCGATGGCTATCGCGACCGCCCATAGCTCAACCCGGAGCCCCTCTTCTCCGCCTCTTGTAAAACCTCATAGTCCTCTTTTCAATACTTTCTCGGACACAAGGACGAGCAGGCGGCCCTTCTTTTACAGCTCCTGCCGAGAACCGAGCCACTCGCGCCTTCAATAGTGGGTTCTCATAGGGGCTTGCACTTTTGTCCGAGCATTTTGATGATGTCGAGAAATTTGCGTTTGGAGCGTGGCAGGCGAAACTGCAGTAAGAGATCCAAATTCTGGACGAAAGGAGAACGTCAAGCGTACTGGTAGCTGCTCGTCAAGGGCGAGATGGACGGAGAACAGGCCTTTGAAGGTGGGAAGGGTAGAAGTTACGGAAGTCGCGACCCGGCGCTGACTCGTCGCTGCTTCCCCGCAACTTGCTGACTCGTCGCCGAGCCGTGCTCTCGCGAACCGCGGCAACTCAGCTCTCGGCCATGATCCCTCATGCCCATATCTGACAAGACCGCAACCATGCTCTGGTATCCTCGATTGACCTCATGGCGACGCCGAAGAAAGCGACCCTCATTCCCTCAGTGATGGACCCTCAAAAGAAGGAAACATTTGGCAACCTCGGTCCATGGGCAGAGCCGTCGTGGTACAGCTCCCTCGCCTCGCCGTATTACAACGAATCACACAAGCGATTGCGCAATGCGCTGCGCGCCTACGTTGACGAGGATATCAAGCCGTATATGCTGGAATGGGAAGAGAAGGGAGATGTACCCAAGGAAGCGCGTTTGAAGTGGGCGCGGTCTGGATTCGCGTTCACGGACGTCCCAGGGCCCTACAGGCCGAGAGACGTACCTGGCCCGGCGGGAATACCGGTTGCCGAGCTTGATGTCTTCCACCTTATGATCCAGACGGATGAAAACTGTCGGATTGAGGGCGGCGTGGGCGGTGCGCTTGGCGGCGGGAGTGTGATTGGAGTCCCGCCCATTGTGCATCATGGCACAGAGGAGCAGAAGAGGAAGTGGCTACCTGGGCTGTTTACGTGGGAGACGAGTTTCTGTTTGGGCATTACCGAGCCAAGCGGTGGTGTAGGTTGCCTCTTTCCCGGCGTGATAGCTGAGCTGACACTCGTGCAGTCTGACGTTGCGAACCTCCAAACCACGGCGAAGAAGACGGCCGACGGAAGGTACTACGTCGTCAACGGATACAAGAAGTGGATCACGGGCATGCCATGGGCTACACATATGACCACGGCTGTGCGCACCGGCGGACCTGGGATGAAAGGCATCTCCGTCCTGGTCATTCCCGCGAACTCAAAGGGCCTAACACACCGACGCATACCCAACAGCGGACAAAAGGCAGGGGGTGCCAGCTTCGTCGAGATGGACGACGTGTATGTGCCCGTCGAGAATCTCATTGGCAAAGAGAACGAAGGCTTCCGCATCATTATGACCAATTTTAATAAGGAGCGCTTCATAATGTCGGTGGGCTGTAACCGCAAGGCACGGACTTGTCTGTCGCTTTCCTTCGAATATGCCAACAAGCGACATACCTTTGGCAAGCCTCTGATCGCAAACCAAATCATTAGCCACAAGCTAGCAACAATGGGACGCTACGTGGAGAGTCACTGGGCATGGCTGGAGCAGCTCGCATACCATATCCAGCAGTCGCCACTCGCCTGGCAGGACCCTGAGATCGCAGGCCAAATCGCTCTGTCGAAAGTCCATGGTGGTCGCATCCTCGAGATGGCGAATCGTGAAGCGCAACAGATCTTTGGTGGTGCGGGCTATCAGAGAGGCGGCACGGGAGCTGTCATTGAGCAGATGAGCCGCGATCTCAGAATGATGGTATGTAGTCCGTCCTTTGCATTAGCTAGATTGGCTAACCCTTTTCTAGGTCGTTGGCGGTGGCAGCGAAGAAATCATCGCGGATCTAGCTGTGAGGCAAGAGACGGCGCTGGCAAAGAAGCGCGGCTGGAAGCTATAGTTAAGGCGGAGGCTGCGCCGACACAGCGACAGTCATTCCCAAGGCGGAGTCAAGGATAGCCTAAGACATCAACTTTCTCTTTGGGAGTTAGCAGCCGTAAACTCGCGGCGTGCGCAGCAATAAGCGTATAAATATTGCGCTGGCCCTGTCTCAGGCGAGTACGCCACACGCGACAGCCGTTCAGCCCTTCGGAATATCCAACCCAAAGGCTTAGCGTTGATCGTGTGGTTCTATGGCTTAGACTCGCCCCAGCAGAATCACTCCACCTTCCCAACCTTGGAAGGCCGGAAGATCTCGTCACGTGTTTAGGTTACACCGCATCAGGGCAACCGCATCTGCGGGGACGGAAGATCGACAAATAGTCTCCCTAATACGCTAGGCCAATCGTTTGCCTGGGCGTTTGTACTTAACCACTGCATCGCCTGTTGAATCCGCCCAGGAGCGTCGTGCACGATGGTCCCTTCCTCTTTCGCAACCTTCGTCTCGCTTCTTTTGATCGCTTCATCGTTTCTGTCTTCCACGATCGCTGCGCTCCTTTCCTCAGCAGAACGATCCATTATCATTCCCTCTTGGAAGGTCCAATCGTCTTCGAAATCCGGGAACGATGCTTCGGAACTATCAGCGCAGAATGTGGATACGTCGGCATGGTACACGATCAGTTCGAAGGCCACATTGATGGCCTCTCTTCTCGAGAACAGGGTCTATACTGATACGGACCTTTTCTACTCCACCAATCTCGAGAACGTTGACTATTCGCAATTCCAAGTACCATGGTTCTATCGCGCCGAGTTCGAACTTGAGAACGCCAATGGTTCGCATTTCCGGCTCAAGACCAACGGAATCACTTCGCGGGCCGATCTGTACCTGAATGGCGCCTTGATCGCTGATAAGAACGTCCAGGCTGGCGCATATGGGGGGTTGGCGTACGACATCACCAGCGAAGCCAAAGCGGGGAAGAATGTGCTGCTTGTGAGAGTCTATCCTACGGACTACAATCGCGACTTTGGGCTTGGATTCGTAGATTGGAACCCGTACCCCCCTGATAACGGCACAGGGATATGGAGAGACGTCGAGATCAAGCAAACGGGTCCGGTTGCGCTTTCATCCCCAAGAGTCACTTCAGCACTTGATGGATCAGTCAGTATTCACGTAGATGTGCATAATCTGGAGGAGAGCGGCCACCAGGGAGAGGTAGTCTGCACCGTCTCCGATCCACATGGGAAATCGCTTGGCCATCCCCACGCGGAATTCCACCTCTTCAGCAAAGCCCAGCAGAAACTCTCCCTCAGCCTCAAGGTCCCTCGTCCGGAGATCTGGTGGCCCAAGCAATGGGGCCCTCAACCCCTCTACACCACATCCTGCGCCCTCTCCACCTCATCCGGCCTTTCAGACCGCACATCCATTACCCGCTTCGGCATCCGCACCATCACCTCCATGCTAAACGCCCACAACGACACCCTTTTCTCCATCAACGGACATCCCTTCCAAGTCCTCGGCGCAGGCTACACCTCCGATATCTTCCTCCGCTTCGACGAGGCCAAAGTGCGCGCGCAACTCTCCTATGTGCTCGACATGGGTCTGAATACGGTTCGCCTCGAAGGGAAGCAAGAGCATCCCCGCTTCTACGAAATCGCTGACGAAATGGGCGTCATGGTTATGGCGGGCTGGGAATGCTGCGACAAGTGGGAGGGCTGGAGTTACAATGACGAGGGCTCTGGTTTCAAATGGACGGACCCCGACTACTACATCGCCAATATCTCAATGCGCCACGAGGCGGAGATGATGCAACACCACCCCTCCATGCTAACCTTTCTCGTAGGCAGCGACTTCTGGCCCGACGACCGCGCAGTGCAGATCTACGTCGACGCATTGCGAGCATTCAACTGGGACATCCCCATCATCGCCTCCGCCTCCCAACGCGGCTTCCCCGCCCTCCTTGGCAACGGCGGCATGAAAATGGACGGCCCGTACGACTGGGTGCCTCCGAACTACTGGTACGCCGACCAACTAGGCGCAGCATTCGGTTTCGGCAGCGAACTGGGCGCCGGCGTAGGCACGCCTGAACTCTCCTCCCTGCGCAAATTCCTGTCTCCCGCGGATCAGGAGGATCTCTGGAAACAGCCAAATAAGGGCCTGTACCACATGAGCACAAACGTATCCTCCTTCTACACGCGCGAGATCTACAACGCCGCGCTTTTCCAGCGTTACGGCCCACCTACCTCCCTCGCCGACTACTTGCTCAAGGCGCAGATGATGGACTACGAAGCCACGCGCGCGGAGTACGAAGCGTACGCTTCGCGCTGGAGTGCCGCCGAACGCCCTGCGACGGGCCTGATCTACTGGATGCTGAACAACGCCTGGCCCTCCCTGCACTGGAACCTCTTCGACTACTACCTACACCCCGCGGGCTCGTACTTCGGCACCAAAGTCTGGAGCCGCATCGAACACGTTGCCTTCGATTACACGTCCCATTCGATATACCTGATCAACCGCGGTCTTGCGAACAAAGGGGCGAGCAGAACCGTGGACGTCGAACTGCTCAGTCTCGACGGACAGTCCCTCGGTAAAACCACACTTAACGCTACCACGACGCCGAATTCGAGCAAGAGACTCTCCCCCTCCGTCCCCGGACTCTCCGAAATCGAAGACACCGCGCTGCTCAAGCTCGTTCTCAAAGACGACAGCCACGGCAAGGTGCTGAGTCGCAATGTATACTGGCTCAGTGGGAAGCCAGACGTGCTAGACTGGGAGAACTCGGACTGGTACTACACGCCGGTAACTTCTTACGCTGACTACACATCACTCTTCAGCAAGATGGCGAGGGCGAGTTTATCCGTAACTACACATGGGCGAAAGGCAGTGGTGTTGGAGAACAAGAGTAAAGTACCGGCGGTGTTTGTGCGGTTGAATCTTGTGGATGGGAGGAGCGGGGAGGATATCGTGCCGGTGCGGTGGGAGGATAACTACGTTACGTTGTGGCCAGGGGAGCGGATAGAGATTGGTGTGGAGTATGAGGGCGGTTATGGTGGAGCGAGGGTGGAAGTGTCTGGGGTGAATGTGGAGGGGAGGAGTGTTCATTTGGGGGGCTATTGATTGAGGATTAAAGGGTTGGTTGGATGGGCATTAAAGAATCGCTTTACTATCTATACATATTTCACCCCCGCCACCTGGACTCCATGCAATGCAATGCCATGCCAATGCTCCTTCGACCAGCCGTTCATCCAAACACCGTCTATGCTCGCTAATAAGCAAATGATTACTCTGCGTCGTCGGAGGGACCGTCCTCGTTTCTTTTTACGCGCCTTACGCTGCCCTACCCGTCCGAGTCAACAACCATGCTCTCGCCCAAGGCACTCATATCCTCGACGCCCACATTCCTCCTTGCTCTCCTCCCGCCCCTCCCCGCAACACGATTCTGTTGAATCTCCCTCAACCTGCCGCCAATCCTCCGCTCCAGCTCCTCAACCTCCTCGTCAGACACGCTACCTCCAGTGCCCTCTTCGAGATAGTGGCTTTTCTCTGGTCCCGGTACTCCGCTATCACTCTCATTAGCTTCTAGTGCGCGATTCAGCAGATCCGTTGCCATAGGGTCCTGCGGCGCGACCGCAAGTGCCTCGTGTAATGCTACTACGGCATCCCAGCTGCGTCCCATTTCGAGCAGGACGAGGCCCTTTGCGGTGAAGATACCTGCTTCTTTCACGCCGTGGCGGAGCACTTCCTCGAAGGTGGAGAGGGCTTCGTCGAGCTGGCCATAGCGCCGCAGTGCGTGCCCTAGGTTCATGCGCGTGGGGAGCCATGCGTCTGGATCCGCTTCATTCTGCTCTGAGATGACGAGGGCGCGGCGGAACATGGAGATGGCGTCGATCATGCGGTCTTCGTGGTAGTAGACGACGCCCATTTCATTAAGCAGTAGAGGGTCGTTTTGGCAGAGTTCGTACGCCGTGTTGAGGTATTCGTGGGCGAGGGAGAGATTGTTGAGCTGTAGATTCTGCATGCCGAGGAAGAGCTGCGGGAGGTGTGTGCCCTGGAATAAGCGTGCTGCGGTTGAATATGCCGAGATAGCCTGGTCGTGTTCGCCTTCCGCGGCGAAGGTGTGTGCGAAGCCTATCCAAGCGGGGCCAAAATGCGGGTCCATGACCGAGGCTTTGGAGAAGTAGCGCCGCGCTTCGGCGATGCGGTTTATGGAGAGGTAGTATATGCCGACCGCCAGCCAGGTGCAGGGTTCCGAGGTGTGGCTATCTGTGAGCTCGTGTGCGAGGAGGAAGAGGGCGTTCTTCTGGTCGAGCTCGTAGAGCGAGGCGAGGTGGACGGGGAGGATGGCAAAGTTGTATTTGTCCTCCGCGAGGACAGAGGATGTCAGCGTGAGGGCTTCGCGGAACCGGCAGTGCGTAAACATGAGATCTGCTTTTGCCAGGAGGATGTCCGGGTTATCGGCGAGCTTATAGTGGGTGGTCAGCTGCTCCACCGCGTCTTCAAATTCATCTGGGCGCGAGTATTTCGAGAGACGAGTCGTGTATAGTGTTTTGGTGAACTGGGCGGCTTCTTGGGATAGTGATGGGTTGCCCGGGACGGCAATAGCGTCGAAGTTTAAGGACTCGAGGAATTTCCATTCTTCGCTGGGTGACATGAGCGAGTTCGTCATAAGCGCATCGAAGGCTTCGAAGCACTGAACGTCGATCTGGCATGCCGTCTTATAACACTCTTTCGCGCGATCGAAGGAGTTCTGTTTCGCGTAGCAGACCCCCCGCAAATAGCACATTCCTGCCTCCGACTTGAGATTATTGACGTCCTCCTTGTCACGCTCCTCGCTCGTGGGTACCCGCTCGGTGCGCGAGCTCACTTTAGTATGTCGCGCGCCGGCTCGTGTGTTTACGTCGACATGCCGCAGCTTTTGCCGGGCGCTGCCGGGCGCAGTAATTAGATGTGTAGGATTCTTCTCGCCTAATATAGCCAAAGCATCATCTGTCTTTCCAAGCTTGATCGAGCAATGCGCGGCGAGGTATCGACATTGTGGGTTCCGATCGGTCAGGTTACCGCGGGCGAGGAACGACTGAGCGCGACTGTAATTGCCGGCGCTGAAGTGAACTTGGGCGAGCCAAAAGGCGTCCTGGTCGTCTCCTATCACGAATTTTGTCAGTGACACGTCTCAAGTAACGCCCTGGGACAGCATACCGGTAAGGGCAAGCAGCTTGTCGGCAACAAAGATGGCTGTATCATACTGATGCTTGTTGACGGCCTCCTGCCGCCATTCGCGAAGATATTTCTCCATAAGCGTGATAGGGCATGCAGTAAGATTCTCTGTAAGATGTTGGCGTCAAGAGTAGCCCCGGGAAGTCCGGTGCTGTGAGAGTTGCGCCTGTCGCTGTGACGATCCTCAAGTCGCGCTTTCCGTCGCGTGGGCACGAGGCTGGCGCGGGGTTCTGCCGCTTGCCACCGCCTTTAGTCAGCCAAATTCCTCTGGCATCTTGGACTGGGCATTCCTTTTGCTTTCGCTCTTCACTCTTCACTCTTCACTCCAGCCATTTTCCCGCGACAACCGCACGGTTGCTATTCGACTACCGTTCTACGCCGGCTGATTTTCGCGCTCAGAAAGTCGCACAGAAGTCTACAAAACCCGATAGGCGCTGATACAGGACCGAGCAACCCGCCACAATGTCCGAGCGAAAGGTCCTCACGAAGTACTACCCCCCAGACTTCGACCCCTCGAAGATCGCACGGACGCGCGGACCGAAGCAGGTCGGCCCAAAGGTCCAGACCGTCCGACTGATGGCGCCCTTCTCCATGAAGTGCGTGCACTGTGGCGAGTTTATCTATAAAGGGAGGAAGTTCAACGCGCGGAAAGAGACCACCGACGAGAAATACTACAACATTGCCATATTTCGATTCTACATTCGTTGCACGCGATGCTCCGGCGAAATTACCTTCAAAACCGACCCGAAGAACATGGATTACGAGTGTGAACGGGGGGCAAAGCGCAACTTCGAGCCCTGGCGGGAAGCGAAGCTTGCCGAGGAGACAGAAGAGGAGAGGCTCGACCGGTTAGAGCGGGAAGAAGCGGAGCGCGACGCGATGAAGGAGCTCGAGACCAAAGTGCTCGATGCGAAGCAGGAAATGGCCATCGCGGACGCTCTGGACGAGATTCGGTCGCGGAACGCAAGGATAGAAAGGGCGGACAAGGAGGGCAAGCGGACTGACGTCCAAGTCGAGTCGGTAGATGATTTGCGGAAAAAGCAGGAAGAGGAGGATGCTGAGGCAGCGCGGAAGGCATTCGAGAATCGAGCCCTTCCAGATATCGGCGAGGAGATGATCGAGGAAGACATGGTCGATGTACCGATTGAAGCACCACCTCCGGTTTTCAGCAAGAAGCCAAAGGAAAAGAAGGATTTCGGTGCTGCGCTCGGCATCAAGAAGAAGGCTGCGGTTGCTGCTGCGACTCCTGCTCCAGCCCCTGCCCCAACAACGCAAGTAAAGGCCTTCGAACCCAAGAAAACGGCGACGCTGCTAGCGGGCTACGATAGCGATGACGATTGATTTCAGCACAGCATTCCGCGCATTTGATGGATTAGCCTTCACAGACCCTCCTTGATGCCATTCTCAGTTTCGCGTTCTCTAGAAGGAGAGGGCCGAGCGTACTCAGCTCTCGGCGTATTCCTCAAAAGCAGAGCCTCGCACCGTTAGCATCTGGAATCCCGAGGCTTAAGTTTCTCGACAGTCAATTGCGATCGGCCTTAACCAATCACACCAACGACTGGCACACTTCAATATGCATCCTCAACATGTGACAATTTAGCCCGGTCGAACGCGCCAAGAACCACTTCTCCGCATTTACGTACCCCGGGAAAATTATATTGCAATAAGGAACCGGCACGACGCCCAGTTTTTGCTCCTATAGAAAATATGCATGCCACTCAAGAAATCTCTCAGCTCCGAAAATCCGCCTGATAGTTAAAGGAGGTACTTCGCACTTCCATTGCACCCTTTCCCCCATCACTTTTGTTAGGTGCCCTCGATTCTTGTTGCGAGGGGAATTCACGATGCGGTTCTTCTCTCTTCTCGCACTCATCTCAACTGCTTCTGCTACACCGACACAGTCTCTAGATTTTACGTCTTACGGTCTGGTACCCCGAGCGGATCCGTCTCTGACTGGGTACCTAGGTGTCTTCTTCTTAGGTGACAAGCCTTCGGTCTACTTTTACACCTCGAATGGGAACAATGGCATCAGCATGAAGGCCCTCAACAAGGGGCAACCTGTCATCAACCCGACAAAAGGCACCCAAGGTGTTCGCGATCCTTCGATAATCGCCGGTGGAGGCGCGGACGCCGGCAAGAAATGGTACATCATCGGCACTGATCTGAACATTGGAAAGACAACATGGGATGCGGCGCAAAGGCAGGGTTCGCGCGGCATTTTTGTTTGGGAGAGCACCGACTTAATCAACTGGACGGGAGAACGTCTAGTGCAGGTTGAGGATGCAACTGCGGGAATGGTGTGGGCGCCGGACGCTATCTGGGACGCTCAAAAAGGCCAATATCTCGTCCACTGGGCGTCGAAATTCTACCCCACGAGCGATCCGCAGCATACGGGGTCGCCGTCTGCCACTCGCATCCGCTATGCCTACACTTCGGATTTCAAAACCTTCTCTGCACCCCAAGACTACATTAATAAGTCACCCACCAATATCATCGACCTCAACATCCTCCCGCTTGGCGACAACGCATATGCTCGCTTCATGAAGGACGAGACTGCGAAGACCGTCTTCACCGAGATTTCCACGAATGGTCTATTCGGAACTTGGACCCGGCCCGGTGGCAGCAACGCCATCATCACAAGCGGGGTAGAGGGCCCCGCGGCTTATTGGGACAACCAAGTAGCGGGCAAGGCATATTTGCTGCTGGACTTCTACGGTAGTGATGGATATAGGCCGTACGAGAGTACCGATGTCAAAGGTGGCAAATGGACTGCGAGCGATAGGAGCGCGTTCCCCAAGAATCTGAGGCATGGAAGTGTGCTGCCAGTAAATGCCGCCCAGCTCTCTGCTGTGAGCGCGAAGTGGCCCGCTTAAGAGAAGGCGAGAAGCCAAAGGTCGATCTACCATCGTCCAACGGCGAGCTGGCCTGTAAAAGCCAAGCATCATTATCGCTCAATCTAGTGCATATATTTCTACAACGGCTTATCAACTTGCATATCTCGGATTTCGTGGTTGTGGAACCATCACGTGCAACCGCGTTGAAATTAGTCGGCTAAATGCTCGCGCTTTCCATCTCACGAATTTTCCATCTCGTCATGCTCAGCCCTTCGTCATCACGCCTCCTCCATTACTTCCAATGACTTGCCCTGTAATCCAGCCAGCCTCGGGCATACAAAGCAAGCCGACAATGCCTGCAACCTCCTCCAAATACGCCGGCCTTCCACCCATATCTTTCGCGGCGTCAATAGTCTCCTGTGAATCGATTCCCTCCCGTGTCCTAGCCAGGGGCGCCATGTAGTTCAGCGACCATACCTTCTCCAGCATCTCTTTTGGAAGTCCAGTATACATTCCAGTTGCCATGGCGCCCGGATTGATCGAATTGACGGTTGCGCGTTCCCCTAGTTCGCGAGCCCAGACGCGGGTCATGGCTTCTAAAGCGCCCTTTGTGCCTGCGTAGCAAGTCTGCCACCAAAAGCCCATGCTTGTGGTTATACTGGAGACGTTAACGATTCGTCCAGACCGATCGTTCGGAAGATAGGGCATGGCCGCCTGTATGACGAAGAGCGGGGCACGTGCGTTCAGTTTGAAGGTATTCTCGAAATCTCCCAGGGTGACGGAGCCCATCGGCGCAGGATTGACGACGCCGGCATTATTGATCAAGAAGTCGATTTGGAAATTGCCATCGTCTTTGGTGAAGTTCGACTTGGCGATTTCCATCAGCTTCTCGGGACCCTCCGGCGTAGTTATATCGACTTGAGCCACCACCGCTTTCACGCCATGCTGGGACTGAAGCTCTTCGGCAAGCTCCTTTGCTGCGGGTGTCGAGTTGTCTGAGGTGTAGTTGATGACTACGTCGGCGCCTTTCCCAGCAAGATAGCGAGCAAGACCGGCACCGAGGCCTAGAATGGACACTGTCAGTTTTCGCCCTTGCTTGTCCTCGTCAAACGATTTCGCCTTACCTCGAGAGGCGCCGGTAATGATAACCAATTTCTCTTGGAACGGCCTCGACATGTTGTCCTTCACGGCTTCGAGAGGGTTGTTTGGGTTGAACTTTTCTACCTGTCTCGAACGCACCCCCACGGCACAAGAACCGTTCTCTTGGGACAGTTAACCACCAATGTCGCCACAAACACCTATCGAACAGCGGATATCGTGCCACTTCCGCGGGCCCAATTAGGGCATGTCACGCCTCGTGTTCCTCGGGTTCATAAAGCATAACCTGTTCAATCACGGCTCCTTCGATATGCACGACCGGGTCATGCAGTTTAGCAAGGGCTCAATCCGCGATTCATGCGCTTCCTGGGGCAAGGGTATGTATTTGTGGGGACACGGGAAATCCTTACAGGGGAACCCAAAACCACCCGACGGATTTCCGACGGATTCTCGGCTTATCGCCTCAGCTCCTGACTGTCTCGTGAAGCAACATATCGATCGGGAAAGATGGATTCACAAAACAATCAGCGCGCATAAAGATTAACAATCATAACTTAGTACGCGATATCTAGGAATTCTCTTCTATATTCTCTTTTACCATCATCGTTAAACCGCCAGACTCTTCAAAATGCCTAACCAACGACTACTAAACAGGATCGCTATTGTCACGGGCTCTTCCCAGGGCATTGGTCGTGAGATATGCAATCAATTCTTCGAGGAGGGCGCGCAACTTGTATGCGCCGATTTGCGTCCGACAGGACAAGGAGAGGAAGTTCCAACCCACGACTGGATCGTACAGAAAGGCGGCAAGGCTATCTTCGTCAAGACTGACGTTAGCAACGCGGATGACTGGAAAGCTCTCATCGCAAACACGGTGGAGGAATATGGAAGACTGGATATGTGAGTATCGGTCCTCCTTTTGACGATAGATCGCTGATGGTTATTTTGCAGCCTGGTGAACAATGCAGGTATCTGCACCGAAGCAAACAACCCGCAGCCTATCGATGAGGTCGACGAAGCTGCATTCGACGCTCACCTTAAGATCAATACCCGCGGCGTCTTCTTGGGTTGCAAATATGCCGTGCAACAAATGAAGAAGCAGGAACCGCACGCTTGCGGCCTTCGAGGCTGGATTGTCAACTTTGCTTCCATGGTGGCCAACATCGGGATGCCAGGTCTCAGTGAGTTATTACCTTTTGTCTGCATGCCGAATAGCTTCTAACCCGATTTCTCAGCCGGCTACACTGCTTCAAAGGGGGCTGTTGCTGCCATGACGAAGACAATTGCTCTTGACGTTGCAAAGCAAGGCATTGTCGCTAATTCCATCTGCCCTGGCTGTAAGTTGTCTCCTGCGTCAGAGGCGATACTTCACATGGATACTGATAATCAACAGTTACGCAAACGGCTATGCTTGACAACGCTCTGGGTGGCGCTCTCTCTTCTGCAAGAGACGCTGTGCTAGCCGCGCTTCCCCGCGGCAGGTTTGGCGAAGCCCGCGACCACGCCCGCGCCGCGGTCTATCTCGCAAGCGACGACGCCGCATGGGTTACTGGCGTGAATTTGAACGTCGATGGCGGCTTGACCGCCCAGTAAAAAGCGAGACCGATTGTTCGGGACCAATAGACTACCTGTAGGAACTGCATACCATGCATAAGTGCCACCATTTCCGAAAATCCATGGTCTTCAATTTGACTCTGCGAGTTCCGATTCCCTGTGGAGGCCAATACGCGCAGTTCTTCTCCCGTTTTTCTTCGATACGAAGGATGCTACGCCGCACCCTTACAGATCTGCAACCTATCAGAGTAAAAATGACGGTTGGGCATTGGGCTCAGCGGCAAATAGACAGACCTATGTGCTTCGAAAGTGGACTGTCATGGCGGACGATGCTTGGATCATCAGTTTACAAATCTCCGGACTTACCCACAAAAGCCGCTCGAGTCGCTGTCAAAGCGTGGTCGTCAGACCAATTATTCATTTTCCCTGCAGCGGGGGTGGGAGTGGCCTCCCGCAACGGTAGTCGCCGTGGTTGCCGAACAATTTCGCCGAGGACTAACCCTGGACGTACTTCCAGCTATTAGGTACCGGGACTGTGGAACGCTAAGGATCGGTGAAACGCGGGCTATTCCAGATCGGTGGTATGATCGGCTTCATCGGTCACCATCCGGCTACCTGTAAAGTTTCTCTCTAGAAGTTGGCTGATTTTACCGAGACATCCTTCGGATTCTGCTTGAGCCCGTCTCTTCGGGTGAAGATGTGAGATCTTGGGTACCTGCATCCATATGCCTTCGATTCATGTCCGCACCACCAGTGAACGGAAGGGGGCTTTCATCAGAAGTTCGCGTTGTGCTGTCTACGGTTCCCCATCCCAAGCCCGGGTGCAGGGTCGGATGAAGCTGGCCCTCGCCAACGGTTGGGCTTCGACGGGAAGGAAAAGAAGACTGAGACGGCAAAGGACGCAGTACTGCATAGTCGCGCAAGGCTGGCAAGTACCCGCCGTTGGTCTTTTACAAGAGAAAAACAGAGTTTGACTATGCACCCGAGCCAGGGGACCGCTCAGGTTCGCCAATTATGCACTGCGCCGCAGCCATTGTATGCACCTTAGCCGCGAGACTGACATCTGAAGACAATCAAAAGCGGTCACCAGCAGTTCCCGCTGTGGGTCACGAAGGGCGTTGGACGTTCGCTAGCTCAAGCCTCTCCTTGTCCATGAGCGGTGTGCTGAGCCGTGTTAGCATGGATACGGCTTGACTCTTCCCTACACAAGTGGGTACATCCTAGGGGCCGCGTTAGCCAGACTCTGGTCCACTTTACTGGCGCTCCCTGGATTGTGCCTCAAGTAGGCATGGGCTGTGTATCAGCTCAACCTGTTCGGATTCACGCCACTCTCAGGGAAAGGAGAGTAGATTTGGACAAGGGGCGTACGAAGTCAGTGCTCGGTCAATGGGTCAGAGAAGCCCAAGGGCATGAGACGGTTCCTAAAGCATCCGGCAACGTCGTTGATCGTCCGCGAAATATACCAGAAGAGACACTAATACCGATACTCTCAAGAGCGTGAACGGTCCATCTTCCAACAGGCTCCTGCGGGCGCGGGAACGAGTATTCCAGCACTCGAGGGGGTATGTTGCCCCCGGGATATATCGACCCCTTATAGTGTCCTAAGAACCAAACTCCAACCTAATTGTCGACGGACTTCTATTCAACCTTCAAGTCAGAGTCTGCAGACTGCCACATTTTCGATCTACAGCCATGGCCGGCGCAACTGCCCCGGGGCTCGCGATATGCACACTCGTCCTCCTAGTATTCGACGTTGCTACTTGGATCCTTCGGTTCTATGTGCGACTCTCAAGGAAAGCTTGGGGGCCCGATGACTGGTCTATGGTTGTTGCAATTGTGCGTTAGCCTTCTCGCAGTGGAAGAGAAAGACCTAACGTCTGTATAGCCCATCTTCTGTCTCTCTACAATAGGAATGCTGGGAATTGCCTTCACGGGTGGAGGACTCAAGGACGCTGAGCTCACTACGCATGAGAGAGAGACGGCAATGTTTGTAAGTATCGGCCGTTATTCCCAGGATCCGTACTCTCATAGCTGACGCTGCCCAGTGGTGGTTTATAATGCAGACCATGTGGTGCTTGGCCGCGATTCCAATCAAGTGGGCCATCTGTTTTACTCTGCTGCGAATCGCCAACGGACAGAAACTCTACGTTATTCCTATATATGGCTGTATGGCAGCCGTCGCCCTCGTAATGGCATCGACTACGATATACGAGTTCTTCCATTGCACGCCCGTGGCGTAAGTGAATGAGACACCCAAGTTGTTGGAATTGTACTGATTACTTCAGGATGAATTGGAAAGCCGTGGAAGGAGGTCACTGCAATGCGCAAAGCAACATCACCGGGTTTAGTTTTGCTCTATCCGCCGTATCGATTTTCACCGATTGGTTCTGCGCATTAATGTCAGTTGCTTCACTTTGGACACCATATTCCTACTAACCTATTATAACAGCCCAGTTCCTCTGCTTTGGAAGGTTCAGATGGATAAGAGAATCAAGATTTCCGTCATGGGTCTCCTCAGTCTGGGTGTCTTCGCGTCCATCGCTCCTCTCGTTCGTCTTTCGATCACGGTCAATCTAAGCTCAACGGTCGACTTCCTCTATCACGCAATGGACGTTGCCGCGTGGGCACAAGCCGAGCTTGGTATGGGAGTAATTGTTGCCAACCTGCCTGCTCTGCGTCCCCTCCTGGAGAAGATCCTCTCGATGCGCTCCACCATCCGCAGCGACAAGCGCAGCAAGCAAAAGTCAACAGATCGTTACTTGGAGCTTGAGGAGGGCGTTCGCAGCCGGAATATGCATTCCAAAACTTCCACGGCAAAGGGCATGGAGACGCGGGTATACGGCGGACAACTGGGCGACAGCAGTTCCTCGCTGGAAGACGACCACAGCCAGAAGAACATTGTCGCTCATCAGCAGGGCGCACCACAGCAGCCTCTCCATGGCATCCAGGTTGACCGCCGCGTCGATGTCGAGATCAGCCCGGGTCAGTTCAACGCCCAATGAGTCGCTGCCTCTACACCTGGACTGACTCCATCAAAGGGTCAAACCGAGATGAGTTGAAGGGGTACACGTTTCTTGATCCCTAGTCGTATACCCTGGAGTTCGGTCTTTTCAGCTCTACCACTGGTCTCACTGTATGTCAAAATGTCAACGAAACTTCACTTCACGCCAATGGCGGATGTATGTATCAAAGCACTAATTCAACAACAATCGCCAAGAGCCAAAGGCGCCTCTCTCTCGCAAACCACCATGCTTTCCCTTCCGCCCAAGGAGATCTCAACGGCCTCGGTCCCTTCCCGAATCTCACGAGACACGGCTCACACCGCCGCCGCGTCACCCCTAGTGGGACACTCGTGAAGTTAATTTTCCCTGTCTCCACTACTCTCCAGCGCCCCAGGATGTTAGATTCCTGCAAGGGAAAGATGATGCAGATCGGCCAAGACTACGTGCCGTGTGTGTGAACCAGGGGCTTTTGACCCCTGCTCGAGGTTGGGAGACCTAAATTAGCGTCCCCGCAACTACGATGCCCCTGGTACACTCTGTAAATGTGCTAGCGGCTTCGACGTCTGCTCCACTACCATTCCTTCCTGCCGTGATGGTCTGGCGATTTTGCGAAGGAAAAAAGGCGGTGGCTGCCGAAGTGCGCTTCCGATGTTCGGGATCGGTGAGGTCCTTCCTTTTCCCAGCGGGTCGCCGTCCAGCCTGCAGGTGCCCCGCTCCACTCCGCTGTCTGTTGGGGAAGAGTTATGCAAGGCTTATCCAGTTCCGGGGACTTGCAGCTCCTTGCTTCGGAAGGAATCGATACCATGTATGCAGCTGTACAGTACGGCGTGGTTCGACTCTGATAGCCATGCCGCTAACCGCTGACTGCTTCTTCTCGCCAGGCAATCGCCCGGGCTCTGGACCACGTGTGAGCCATGTGTCTGCGAGTCAGTATGTTCGTTCACATTCGGAATTATTGACCCATGAAGGGGGTTTCTCTATCCCCTTCAACTTTTAACGCGTTCCTCCTGGGATTGCGTGACTTGCAGTGCTCGCACTCCTTCTCCCTCCCCTTCACTCCGGTCTTCTAGATCTTAAGGCTTCTTTGCCATCTCTCCCTTCTCCTCTCTCCCCTCCACTTCTCTCTTTTTGATATCTAGGGCGTCGAGATGGCAGACAATACTGTCGTTGATCCCGCGCCTATCAGTCCAGTCATGGATGAGAAGCCGAAGGACACTGTCATCTCCTCCTCCGCTGCATCACTGAACTCGGAGGAAGCGGACAAGATTCGCTCAGAGGCTTTGGCGACTGAGAAATCGCGACTTCCAGATGGCTATTTCATGAGCCCCCGCATGATTGGCAGCTTCGCGGGAACTTCTATCATCGTCGTGGCAACGTACTTCCAGTTCCAAGCCTGTGCCGCCGTCATCACATCTACCATCAACCAAGACATCGGCCCCAGCGCCAACGTCGCGCTCGTCAATACTGTCTGGACGATTTCCCAGCCCATCGCCCTGCTCCTCTTCGGCCGGCTCTCCGACCGCTTTGGCCGCAGAGGGTTCGCGCTGGGATCATGCGTTCTTGCGATTGTTGGCGGCATTGTGGCGGCTACGGCGCAGAGCATTGAGACGCTTATCGGGGCGCAGGTCCTGATGGGCATCGCGAGTGGTGTGCCAGCGGCGTATCCGCTACTTGCGGGCGAGCTGATGAGTAACAAGGAGAAGTATGTGGGGACAGCGATTGTGGTGGTGCCGAATGTGGTGGCGACTGGGTTCGGGCCGTATATTGGGTTGCGGCTGGTCAATGTTGCGAACTGGAGGTGGAGTAAGTCTTACTCCTGACCACGTAGAAGAGAGACACCCGGCTAATGCAGTAACAGTCTTCTATATCTTCATCATCATGATGGTCCCCGGAACGCTCCTCTGGTTCTTCTTCTACCACCCACCCTCATACACCCAACTCCACGGCAAGAAATCCCGCAAAACCGACGAACTCAAGAAAGTCGACTACATCGGCGTCTTCCTCCTGACCGCTGGTCTGGCGCTCTTCCTTCTCGGCATCTCATGGGGCGGTCCTACCGTGCCCTGGGACTCCCCAAAAATTCTTGGTCTCCTAATCTCTGGTGCCATCGCAACCATTGCCTTCATCCTTTACGAAGTCTTTCTCACACCCGCACAGCCCATCATTCCCATGCGCTTCTTCCGCGATCTGCGCGGCTTCACCTGCCTCGAAGTCATCTCTGGCACGTACGGCGTGATGAACATCGCGCTCTTTATCATGTGGCCGCAGCAGGTGACGTATATCTTCGGGTCGACGGTTAATTCGTGGCAGGAGGCAGCGTGGCTTTCTACGACAGCGGCGTTTGGGCTCTGGGGCGGTATCGTCGTTCTGGGCCCGTTGATGCATTGGATTAAGCATATCCGGTACCAGATCCTCGTCAGCTCGATCTGGATGACCGCGTTCTTGGGTGCTATGGCCAGTATTACAGTGGAGAAGAAGAGCCAGGCTATTGCGTTTTCCTTCTTGGGCGGGTTGACCATCGGATGGGGCGAGGTTATTGCGGCGATTATTGTGCAGTATGTGGTTTCGGATCAGGATTTGGGGGTTGCTTTCTGTGAGTATTTTCTCCCCTTTATTACAATTCGGATACTGACGCACGGCAGCCGTCATATCCGCCTCCCGCACAATCTTCGGCTCCATCTTCACCGCAGCCTTCATCGCCGTCTACACCAACAAAGTCCCCGGCTACCTCACCTCGATCGTACCATCCGCGGTCCTCAACGCCGGGCTCCCCGAGTCCTCGCTCACCGACCTGATGACAGCCGTTGGTACCGGCACACAGGCCGCGCTTCTCGCCGTGCCCGGCATGACTCCCGAGCTCCTCCGCGTCACCAACATCGCCGTGTCGAATGCGTACTCCAAGTCGTATGCTTACGTGTATTACTTTGCCGTCGCGCTTGGCGGGCTCGCTATCATCGCCAGCGCGTGCTTGAGGGACTTCGATCGCTATCTTACGGAGCATGTGAGTCGGCAGTTGTATCATAAGAAAGATGCGAACACAGATCCTTTGGACATGGTGGACGTTAAGGTTACGAGGGGAAGTGTTGAGGAGGGGGAGAAGGAGCCGCATGCTGCTTGAGTTGGGAAGAAGGACTGGTGACACGGGGGATTGGGTATGCTGCACTTGGTCGTCGCGAGATGGTGTAGAGAGTTAGAACTGGTATACATCTTTGTAATGGGAAGAGCTAACATGCATTTTACTTTCGGTACGATGTCTGAGAATGACTGGTGCCTTTTAACACGTTCTAAGGCAGTACAGTGAGCCTCTATAGTTCTTGTGCGAGGTCATTGCCAAACCCTGTGAAGCGTGTGGAAGAAGGTGGTGTTGAGGGGAAAGATGTTGATCTCCCCTTCTGGACTAACCCCGCTAACCGTCTTCGGTACCGCTTCCCTCACCCGCGTCTGGTTCCCCACCTCATCTATTCACCTGCAAAGCATTCTGCGAACTGCTGCTTTTTGCCAACGTAACGTTTCCCTCGGACCACTCTATTTACCAATCGGATACCTGTAACCTCAATATGCGTGGAGATGGGATACGGGCCCGGAGTTCGATCCATCGTTCAAGAAGTCCGCCTCGCTAGATGTAGATGCAAATATCGACCTCATTTGTGTCCTTCCTTCGTATGCAGAGGGGGCCGCACTATACGCGCCTGCCAAAGGATGGCGTTCGTATTATTACTATCGATTGCAGATTAAAAATGCGACGAATTGGTGTAAATCGAGCAGCCATAGCTACAAGTAATAAGGACCGGCGCAGCAGCAATAAGCGCCCAAGAAAAGCACAAAAGGAAGCGCACTCCCAATCCGACTGGACTTTACTCTTACACTCTTTCCTGGCTGCTCACATCAAGCATCCACTCCGCGCAAGATCAACGGCATAGCAAACATGCGTCCCTCCTCCACCGCTCTCCTCCTCGGAGGCTTCTTGGCCACCGTAGTATCCGCCCAAGGGGAGCAATTCTGGACCAACGCAAGTGGCCCCCATATACGCAACCTCTCCGGCTTATGGAATAACTGACAAGTCCGTCTTAGGAGAAAAACGGTCGTGTGCAAGCGTGCTTCCGCGAAGGAAACGACTGGTACTTCTGCACGGTCGCTCTGGCGGGCTCATGGCGAGAGTAAGTCTTCAGCTCCAACTGGCAACAAGCGCGAAAAGTGGAACGGAATGGCTCACATGGGACGCATGCAACAGCTACAAGCAAAAACTCGCAGTTGTACGTACACTGTCTTTCATTCCATTGTGCGTGGTAATACTGACTGCGTGTGTGAAGGGCGATGGCTACTACATTCAAATGAACGCCAACGGCAACGGCCTAGCCAACATTACATCGGACAATGGATGGTACGGAATCTGCCCTGTTTGGACGGATCGGTATTGCATCGCTAACGCGCTGCGGTGCAGCTTCAAGGGACACTGCATGCCCGAATACGACTATGATGAACGGAAGAGAATATGCGACGTGGTTAGTACCTCATGTCGATATCCCTCGATTTCTCCTTTCTCACTCAGTGCAGATCACCGACTCGCCGAATTGCTGAATAAGACACACACGGTGGAATACTGTCTTAACTCTGCGAGCAATTGCCTCCTTGAATGCATCGGGATTGTGCCGATGGAACGAGCGATTTGTCGACCGTCCAGGGGAAAATAAAATATCGCCGTGGAGGTTAACCTTAGAAAGCAATCTCTGATTAAGCATAAGCCTTACCCCATTACATCGAGTCGCTAGGTCGCCTTGCTTATGCTTGGGATTATCGCCCAGCTTGTTCATCCACGACCCTATTTTTCACTAAGTTCCAAATAGACATTTGGTATCCGTTAAAGAAGCGTTGGTTAACGATCTTCATACCATTAGGAGCTTTCATTGTCCGACCGGATTTCGCTTCTAGAAATGTCTCTCATTGTTGCCTCCTTCTACTTTCTTTCGAATGGGCAACGTATTTCTAAAGGCAAAAGAGAAGTCGTCGCTAGATATCCATGATGCTACTCACAAGCGAGTGCCGATCCCATAACGCAATCTTCCAGAGCCCGAATCAGTCAAGGCGTACGTTGCTGTCAGCCCCGTTCACGTCCTCTTCTACCGATACAACTCCAGCCCCTCGAAAGGCTTCCCATCCGCTAACTCCTCCTCCTGAAGCCGCCCAGGATCCCAATTCTCACATCTATCACGATACGCCATCACCCAAGGACTCGAAGGGTCCCACTGCCCCTTGACATGATACATCCCATCGTTCTGAATGGCATTGCAAAGCATCCCCGCCGGCCCACCAACATGGTTCAAGAGCCCCGTAGCCATCTGACGCACTGGGGCGGTGGGGTACATACTCACTACGAAAGTGTTCTCGTCAAGAAGATCGAAGCCTGAAGGGTGCTCAACTGGCTCGATGTCGAGTTTGCGCAGTGAGGCTTCAGCGGTTGTGCAGTATGCAGGGTCCTGTGCGTAGACTTTGAAGGTGGTGAGAGGGGTGTCTTGAATGCGCGCGAGCGTGGAGCGGATGTGTAGAGCGGCGAGGTGTTGAATATAGGAATAAGATTGGGATTGGACGCTCCAGTCTCCGAGCCCAAAGCAGACGATCTTATCGACGCGCGCCATGGCACCCGCGTTCTGGTCAAGGTAGCTAGTCAGCTCGCGTTTGAATGTGGGGTTATCCCACTGGTCTGTCCAGAGCCGTCTCGTCTCGTCCATCCCTGAGACTGGGGCGCCGCAGCAATCGGATGGTGAAGGCGCATCAGGGACTGTCCCAATCCAGAATAGGGATCTTAAACCGCCGGATTCGGGCTCCCTATCCTTAACTAGCCCGGCGAGCTCCTGGGCCCTGCGGCAATGGAGTTCGGGTTTCTGGGTGCGAGGCGTCCCGCGGGGAGACTGTCCGGTGCGTAGTCCGTCGATAATGCATGATTGGTCTTGGTCATCGATGTGCCGGACTACAAACGTACCGCCGTCGTCCTTGACTCTCTGTTATGCGGCGTATGCGTCTTTGAACAGCCTGTGGAAAGTATCGCCTGTAGTTACCTGGTTCACAACTTCCTGCAGCATTTGCTGCTCCGTGGGGGAGAGCGGTGGTCCGGAGGTGTCTGAGGCCATGATCTAGACTACCATAATGAGCTCCCAATCGCTCATTATGTAGCCCAGTTGTTTGCCGATGCTGAAAACACAAGGACCGAATGATCTAATCATGCAGATGCCGAAAGAGGCGTGTGGCATACACGTGAAGGGTCGCTGCGACAGTGAAAACGCTACTGGAAATGACGTCGATCTGCTGAAGTAGTGCAAACCTATATCCTTTGGATGGCTCCTGCCGGGTTTCAGAACAAGCGAGGCAAATCAATACAGCAGCATGTAGAAATCCAAATTTATGTCTAGAAAAACAGAGGATCTATCATAAGCAAGAACAGGACAGAAAGTAAATAGTACAAGCAAAACACGAAAGGAAAAATATGGTACAGAAGCAGTGAAGCATTACTTCGTTGTGTTCCTGATATACATCTCCGAATGAGAGAAAGCCCGGGATTCAGGAGGGCTATCAACGTCATTCCAAGGCAAAGTCGTACAGCGTGTTTTGTACTCGCACAAAAAGTGGGCGCCTGCGTCTCTTTTTCTTTTCTCCTTCTGCTCTACGACCTCCTCGTCGTAGATTCTGTTGCATAGCATGCCCGCCGGTCCGCCCTCGCGCGTACGCCACACTGCGATCTGGCGTACGGGGACAGAGGGATGGATGGATATGACGAAAGTGTTGTTGTCGATCTTCATAAAGCCGTCCGGGTCCTCGACAATCTCGAAGTCCATTTCCCTGAGGATGGCCTTGCATTTCCTGCAATAATATGGGTCCTGGGCGTATATCGGGATAGCCGTAATAGCTTTTCCTTGTTTGTCGGCTAGAATCTTACGAATCCTGGAGACGGAAACGTGTTGAAGGAACCAATCGACTCGCTTTAGGGCCCCCATGCCGATGCATACGATCTTGTCTATTCCTGGCACCTTGACGGCGTCGTCCGCTAGATTCTTTTCCAACGCCTCGCCACCAGAGTTCCACAACTGCGCCGAATCAACAAATACCTGACTCCCGGCGTGATCTAGATTTTTGCAGAATTCATGCAGCGCTTCTTTGGAGTCATCGATTATATCGCGTCTTCTTATCCAGATCAAGCAACCCGCGTCGCCTGGATACACGCCCCATTTATCCCTCAATTTGGTTTCCACCGGCGGCCACATCAGGTCGAGGTGGGGGCGAAGGTAAAGACTTGGTCCACAGAGTTGATCCTTTCCTTCGTATTCTTGTATTGACGGTGGCTCGACTGTGCAGGTGTGAAGCTTTCCATAAATATCCGGCGCGGTAAACTCTCCACCAGTATCCTTGACGTTCAAATATTGCTCTCTACCAAACTCGAAATGCTTGACACCCCAGGTGTCAGTCTTCGTCATGCTCGTTTCGTTGTTTATGATCCATTTGCCGTCCTGTGCATCGAGCTTAAGGTATGGCGGGGAGGGCGGAGCCGATAAGTATAGATCCGTGCCTGAATCCGAGGCCGTCTCTAAAGCCGTCTCCGGAGCAGTATGTGAAGTCATTGTGTACCTTGACCGTTGTCGAAAGGCCAGTGATTGGTGCAGTCGCAAAAAAATAATTGATACGTTCGTAGCTTGAAAGAATATCAAGTCAATCCTAAGTTCTAGAAGGAAATGCGGAATGCTGGAAGTTTGTATACTTACTTCACAGTCATTACCGCGCCGAGTGACTCCGAGAAGGTGAGCCAGGCATGAGTCAACAGGTGATAGTCATCACCGGGCACGACGCTGTGTGCATTGGCCTAAGCAAGTCGTTGAAGTCAGACGTTCTTTGTATAGCCTGAGCGCTAGTCTGATATTGTGTCTTTACCGACCAGGATTTGCTCGCAATGATCCGTCTGAAAAGATTTGAGCATACCGACAAATCTGCTCCGTTGACTGAAGGCTAGTTCGACGAGGTATTTAGGAAGCCATCATCCGGGACTGGGAATACTTGGTTTTCTGAGCGGCTTTAAAAGCATAGAGCGTTCGACCTACAAGAGGTCGGAGGAGTCGTACGAAGCGCCGGTCATATCGTCTTGTGTCTTGCAGAATGGTCCATTGTATCTCAATCAGAACAGGAGATGATAGGACAAAACTCCGTAGACTCTGCCCATTCTCCTTCATCATGCTCCCAATAGTTTTGTTGTCCGATCACGATGTAACCTGCGGTTGGTATTGGAAGTAGGAGGTCTCCGTCGAGAGGGTTTTGGTTGAGCCTTCTCGATGCCGTCTCAGCGCGTGCAGTACAGGCCACCAGGCCTGGTGAACTGTATCTTTCAAGCCCAGCTTCTTATACCCCTCCGGTAACATCAGCCTAGGATCACCTCCTCCACTTTCATACCGATCGACGCCTTCCAGGCCTCCAACCTCACCCTGCCCGCACCAGCGCGCACTCTAATGCCGTCGACCTTCTTTGTGAGAAGCACATTCACATAACGATAGAAGCCGTCTTTCTCGGCGAATAAGCCCTTCTCCGGAAAGATAGACGAGTCCATACAGCCCACAAACACTTCACCATCCGAGATCTTCACGAGCTCTTCTTGAGAAGTGACGGAAGCGAGAGGGTCGTGCAGATAAATCACACCGCAGACGGTGCCTAAGTCGTCGAGGATCCCGGCAGCGTTTTCCCTATTGAGGTACTGGAATGTTTTCGTGAAGACAGTACAACGTGCCACTTCGGTGGTACAAAGAAGGAGTGTACTGGACGGTATGTGTGAGGGGCGATTGTCGCTGGGATGATCTCCTGGGAGTGGTATAGGATAGAGGAAGAAGCGGGACGGATCGAGAGGGATAAAGAATTCACAGTGCTGTGTTCTTCCGCGGCTGTAACGTGAATTAACGTCACGACATTGCCAGCGCCCCGGAGTCTGAAGCTCGTCAATCCATTCCCAGGCGGTGCTAAAGTCCATTTCGCGATACTGCGCCCATGTGTCGCGACCTGCGACTGTCTCACCGTGCTTCCTGCCTGGACCAGATGGCAGATTCTTGAACTGGATGCTGGGGGTGGTTCTAAACGCAGTTTCTATGTCATCGTGCAAGAGGTAGTCGCATGCTGCTTTCCAGTGCGTAAGATCAATTTCGCCGACCCATGCTGCCCATGTCCAGGATGGCAGGTCCAGCTGGACAGGGGTCTCCAGGCCTTTCGTTCGGTTTCTCCTCCTGCAGAAGTCTGCCGGTTGCCACAGTAGGCATAAGCTAAAGAAAAGATCCGACATGCCATAGGTGAAGCCACTAAAAGTGTCGCTCAGGTGCTTCAGGATCCCCTGGAATGAATTTAGCAGGTCCTCTTCGAACGTCAAGGCCCTCCGCATATGCGAATGTACTAGGTTGCAGTACTCCACAAAGTTGGGAATCAGAGCGCGCCTCCCGCGCAGAGTGTACTCATCCCTTTTGCGGGGCGAAGAGCCAGGAGGCCACATGCCGGAGTAGAAACGCTCCATCCTGGAGATACCCGTAAAATCGTACATTTGGAAGTGGTGATGGAATTCTTCCTTCTCACCACGTACGTCTTCCGTCCAGGTGATTTTCTGGCAGTTGAAATGGACGCCGTCCTCAAGGAAGACAAGCTTGCGCCCTGAAAGCAGTCGCTCTTGGTGCGTCCAGGCACGCTTGTTCCACACGCAACCAGAATGGCCCTCTCGGCCCAAGAACATCTCAAACGGTCGCTGTGATATGGCTATTCGTCTACTTTTGCCGTAGTCTAGCGTTTGCTGTGCGGAGTTTCGAGGAGATGTAACACCAGGCAATCCGGCGCTCGAATCTGTGCCAAATGCTGCGACTATGGTACACACGGCATTTTGGTAGATCTTGTCCATCTGGTTGATCAGTGATAGTTTTCCATCCAAGTCGTCTTGCACAATGCACAGTGCGTCGACCCAAAGGTAACGTTCGCCAATGCTGGAAGTAAGCTTTATGGCGTCGGATATGGTTTTCGGGAGTGCGGCTGATTGAGCGACTAGGCCTCCTGGCTGTTGATGCTGTTTCAAGTTCGTCTTGAGGGTCTGTAGGGATGAAATTCCTCCCCAGACGTAGCTCAGAGCCATGTATCGTGATGAGCAAGGAACGTCTACAAGGCGTCCATCCACAACATCTATGACCATGAGGTCCTGACAGTGATCGAGTGGCGTATGGTCCCCTAGATCGCACGCTTGGCCATGCCAATTTTCGCAGCACCTGATCCAATCCTTGACCAGCTCCACGTCGATAGATTCGGCACGCACTTCACGGCCAGCGGCCTTTCCATCAGGCGCATCTAGTGTCAGGAGATACAACCCCTTTCCCCCATCATCCACATGTTGGTTCACCGGATGTATGAAATAGATTTCTGGACCAGGAAGTGGCTCAAGTTGAAAAGGTTGCTCCTCGTCGAAATCACCGGCTGCGGGGCCGTACGCGGCAGCGAATGCTCTCCGAATCTTTGCACAAATGGTGCATTTTGGATTCCTTGAGAAAGTGATCTCTTTGTGGATGCCGTGGTATAATTCTTCCCAGATGTTCTCATTGAGATTGTAGATGAAGGGGTTGTGCCTGGTGCAAGGAGCGGTGATTTTCCGTTCGCGGGAAGAAGGGAAAGCGAAAGACTTGATGATGGATCGCATTCTAGAGGGGAGAGGTTTTCAGGGCATCGCCGCCGTTATCCTGCAGTGCGATGCGGTGTTCCGAGAGGCAAAGGCGAGCGATTGCCTGTTCCTATCGCAAGCTGAATGCCACGAGGCCGAGACTAGAAGTTTCGTATTGGCACATAGAAATGGCCATAGCGCATTATGAACGATTTGATTCAGCAGAGTAGCCAGTCTTGCACAAGAGCAAATAGATGCTGGAGAACTTCAGAAGTTCCGGTGAAATCTTCGAGCCTCCGGGGCTGTCGACAGAGGTTCCATGACTAAATGGGCTTAGCGGCTTAGACTCCCCGGCCCGAAGCTCCGACCTGAACTTTTGAGGTGGACGCGAGCACCACCCTTCGGACAGCAACAATCATGGCACACACAAGATCTGTCATTGCTCCGTTGAGCAGAATAACAACAGCGTCGATAGCCGCTGCGAGACCGGAGCTACCCAAGCTCACGTCCATCCCGTACCAAACGATACGATGCGCCGCGACGAAATCCGCGCCGAAGAAGAAAAAGAAAACGAGGAACACCTTCATACAATATGACGTGAAGAGAGCGGAGCAGTTCTCGCTCGTAGACGCGATGCAGTACGCATAACACCACATTGAGCAGCCATTGAGATTTCTCTGACACAGCCCAGGTACATCCGCGCCTTCGAAGTTGGCCGCAATCCCTCGTCCTCCAAGTACGAAATGCACGTCCGCTTCCGCACCCTCAAGAACGGCCCCGTCGTCCGCAATCGTCTACGGCTGCCACATCCCGTTAAGACGGATATCCGGATCTGCGTCATCTGTCCCCCGGATTCGAAAGCCGCTGCAGAAGCCCGGGCGGCAGGCGCAACACTTGTGGGCGAGGACGAGATTTTCAACCAGGTAAAGGAGGGTATTGTGGATTTTGATAGGTGCATTTGTCATACGGACTCGCTGCAGAAGCTGAACAAGGCCGGTTTGGGAAGGATCCTGGGTCCGAAGGGCTTGATGCCGAGCACGAAGACTGGGACGGTTGTAAACCAGGTGGGCACGAGCGTGAGGAATATGGTTGGGGGGAGTGAGTACAGAGAGAGGATGGGTGTGGTGCGGATGGCGGTGGGGCAGTTGGGGTTCACGCCGGAGGAGATGCAGAGGAATATTAAGGCGTTTATGGACGCGCTCAAAAAGGATATTGCGCAGATGAGCGATCGCATAACTAAGGAGGTACATGAAGTAGTAAGTCATACTGCCTTGCTTTAGCAGACACCTGCTGATTCGATTATAGGTTCTCAGCTCTACCAACTCGCCCGGATTCACATTAACTGGCGAATACAGAGGCGCCAATTCAATAGCACCGAAGGAACTCTCGGGTCCTTTGTAATCTTCCCATGTAGCCATGTAAACCAATGTACCATAGTGTCCAAACGCCATCGCTATGCTCAATATCCTGCTCGTAGACGCCTCATGCCTTCAAGGACTTTAGTACTTTTACCGCCTCTGCGGATTCTTCCATATCCACATAGATCTTCATAACCTTCATGACTCTCTCCTTCCCAAATGTTCCGGCACTCCTCGCTTGCTGCAGCGCGGTACTCAGATCCAGCAACAGTGTGTTTCGCACCTTCATCATCCGCGGTGCCTGCGCCGCAACAAACGGATGCTTGCCCAGGCCTTTCTCCACCTCCTGTATCAGTCGATACTGCAGCACATGTCTCCTGAGCTTCGATATTGACAATCCCACCGGCCCTTCGTCATCCTCCTCGTCTGACTCTTCCTCACTATCGCTCACATCTTCTCCAGCCGCCGGCGCATCCTTCCCCGCTGTCTCGATAACCAGTTGATCTTCGAGCGCCTTCAAGCGCGCCTCATAATCCACCAGCGCCCTGCCCACCGCAATCTGCCGCCTGATCCTAACCCTCTCCTCTACCTCTCTCTGAACCTCTTCTTCCCTTTCCACGACCCGTGCCTTGACACTCTCCACCTCCTTCCTGAACCCTAGCAGGCCTACTCTCACCTCTTCAACCCGCTCGTCGCCATTCTTCAAGCTGCGTCCCAGGCCCAGGAAGTCCTGATAGTTCGAGTTGACGAGGTCGAGCAGCTCTTTGGAGAGCAACTGCGAGCGCGCGCGCAGCTCGGAGCGCAGGTCCTCGAGCGTCTGGTGACGGTTGTGCAGCGTGGAGAGGTAGGTAGAGGGCGAGAAGTCGGGGGCTAGGAAGTCGGAGCGCTGCAAAGGCGTCGGGTAGGGCAGTGTATCGTCGTCATCGTCTGAGGAGTTGGAGTCTCCGAACTATCCAATCGATTAGAGACACGCTTTGCTGTCACTCGCACAAACCCCATTTTGCAAATGTTGGGAGGTGGCAAAGCAATGAGAGGGACCCACGTAGAAGCGACTCATTGTGGCAGACGGTTATATCATGGCGGTGTAGACGTAGCTGTGTGTTTACTTGGCCAGATTCGCGAGCGGCGTTGTGCGGTGCAGGGTCCGAATAAGGTGCGCTATCGATTATGTCGGAGCTTGTTGCAATCGCCGAGTTCGGAAAAGCGAGCCGAGGCCGCGGAACCGTAGGAAGGAGCGTCGGAGAAGAGAGCGATCTGTCAGCGTCATGGTTAATAATCGGGGCTCCCTTCCCCTCGGTGGGGCTTTAGGTTCGCGTTAGGTAGGCTTTAGTTCTGTTTCTTCGACAACTTCCTCTCGTGGTCGCTTTCAATTTCTTCTTTCTTTACTCCGTCACGGCGAGTCAGCGCGAAGACGTCATCAATCTGCCCAAATGCCACTCCCACAGCCAGACCTCCCCGAGCCCGCGCATCCAGACGTAGACTCGATGCTGAGCCGGAAATTTGGAAAGGAGGTAGCAAACTACTTCTCCGGTACACCTTCTTCCTCTCAAATTACCACCCAAGACCAAACATTAATCATGCTCAGGCTCCCCACTAAACCGCGTATCCTTCCTCCGCCCCGATCACTCCTTCCTCTCCGCCGCCCTCAAACATCCTTCCAGCACCTTCCTCCTCTTCAACAAACTCGAACCCCTCATAAAGTCCCCTACCGCCCTCGCGACCGCCACCTATGCCGAAGTGCGCCCCATCATTGGCGATGACCCGTTCGAAAAGACCGAAGAGGACCTGATCAAAGAGTACAATTCCTCTCAGTACGTTCCGCAGATTGTGTTCTTGGGCCTGGATGAGAAGCACGAGGGGTTCGTGTACAAAGATTGGTATAAGGGCCAGCCCTGGTTCGCTGTCGATGTCACGCCGACGAAGAGCGTAACGGAGGCGGCGGAGAAGTTGATTGCGGAGTTGACGGGGAGGGGGCTCGAGTTTTCGAAGGGGAGGATGCATTTAAGTCTGCCGGCGCAGGAAGGTGGGTTCTTCTTTCCGAGTACATCAATTGCGGCTAATTATGTGCAGCCGCCGTCTACGCCGAAGCGCGACATCTGCTGGATTGGAATGCGCGGAATCCCTACTGCGCGGCTTGTGGCTACCCGACAATGTCCGTGAACGCTGGCTTCAAGCGGACATGTCCACCGAAAGACATAGCTCTCTCGGTACAGAACCCGGAACGCCCACCGTGTGCGACCAGAACCGGTATCTCGAACCTATCATTCCCAAGGACGGATCCTACGGTGATCATGGCTGTCGTTTCCGCGGACGGTCAGAAGATCTTGCTTGGCCGGCAAAAGCGCTGGCCAAAGTACTGGTACAGCACTCTAGCAGGTTTTCTAGAGCCCGCGGAGTCTGTAGAGGAAGCAGTTCGCCGTGAGGTCTGGGAAGAAAGTGGTATCCATCTGGGACGCGTTGTGATTCATTCTACACAGCCATGGCCATATCCCGCCAACCTAATGATTGGTGCCGTTGGTCAGGCGGTTCCGGGAGGAGAGGAGGTACATCTCGGTCACGATGCTGAACTTGAGGATGCGAAGTGGTTCACCGCTGACGAAGTAAGAGAAGCACTGCGCGTAGGAACTAGCGGGCTAGGTGAAAACGCTGGGCCGGAGTACAAAGAAGGTGGTCTGAGATTACCGCCCAAGACGGCTATTGCAAACCAGCTGATGACGGCTGTTGTCAACGGCTTCGCCACTGGTGCCCCTATGATATAGACGACATAGACTCATAGACCGCTGTAGATGCAATGTACATGTGAAACTTACGTTTGCTGAATAGGGGCTATTTATGGCAGGACGATATACTTTGTCAGATGCTTCGGTATCGCGCCGATCAGCTTCTTTTCCTCCAACCACTTCTTCGAGAAAAGCCGGTCCGCGTATCTGTACGCTCCATCGCAGAGCAGCGTGACCACTGTGTGTCCCTTGCCCAGCTTCTCAGCCACCTCTTTCGCCGCAACCACGTTCAGACATGAGCTCGCACCCAAGTACAACCCTTCCTCGTCCAAGCAGCGGTAGACCATCGCAATAGTCTTCTCGTCAGCGATGTGTAACGAGTCGTCTATGAGGTCGATATCCGGCTTCAAGTTTTCCGTTACTCGTCCCTGGCCGATGCCCTCCGTTATTGAGCTTCCGGCCCTCTCTGTCAGCTTCCCGCCGCTCTGGATATATGAATGTAGAACCGAGCCCGGCGGGTCTGCCAGGAAGCTCTTCACCCGCCCACCACTCTTCTCTTTCAGATACCTTGTTACGCCCGCAAGGGACCCTCCCGTTCCCGTCGAGCAGGTAAACGCATCGATATTTCCCTCGGTCTGGTACCAGATTTCCGGGCCTGTGGTCTCAATATGCGCCTGCCGGTTCGCGACATTATCAAACTGATTCGTCCACACCGCGTTGTCCATGCTGTCCGCATGCCGTTTCGCCTGATGGTTGTAATTCTGCGGGTTGTCGAATGCAACCGCTGGCACCGGATATACCTCTGCGCCCAGCAGTCTCAGCAGATCGATTTTGCCCTGGGATTGCGTGTTCGGCATGTAGATGACGAGCTTGTAGCCCTTTGAGCGGCACACATGTGCAAGGCCAATGCCAGTGTTTCCCGCCGTGCCTTCGATGACGGTGCCACCGGGCTTCAGCAGCCCGAGCTTCTCGGCGTGCTCGACGACGTAGAGGGCAGCGCGGTCTTTGACGCTGCCGCCGGGATTTTGGAACTCTGCTTTGCCGAGGACATTGCAGCCGGTTTCTTCGGAGAGGCGCTTTAGGCGGATGAGCGGTGTTTTGCCAATTGCTGACGGACGTTAGTGTGCGCGTCGGTTCGTCGAGGGCTTTTGATCGTACCATCGATAAAGCCCCGCTGGCCAATGCCCTGAGCTTTGGAGACGTTGATGCCGGTTTGATACGCAGCTTCAATCTGGGCAATACTCTCTGCACTCCGCCATACTGAAGCCGCAAAGCTCCGCGACGCCGTCCTGAACATGCTTGCGAGTCGAGGATCAGGTGCGATCCTCCGTCGGGGAGCAATGCTTGAACAAATGTGAAATGTCCTGGAGCTTTGTAATGGTCCGGTTCGTCGGCGAATCAACTCGCTTTTCCGCCGATGGCGCGATGTCGCAATCCTGCATGACACGAGCCAAGCCCATCGTGCACGTGCTTTCGCTCCACTAGCGCGCCTTCCGCATCCGGAAAGAACACAACAACAACACAGCGCTCCAATATCAGACAACAACAAACACCCGCGCAGCCACCCACCCAGCACGATATATTACGACGGAACTATGCCCGGACGAACGTCGACGCGCTCAGTGCGCTCCTCAAACGCGACCGTGGCTCGCAAATCGTCGACCGCAACGCTCAAATCTCGGGGCTCTGCCTCCGCCCGCACTTCCGCATACGCCGTCGAGGTCCCCGATGAGGGACCGGATACCTCGCTCCGAACGCAGATATGCCAGATTTTCAGCGATGCGCAGAATACGACTGCGACGCAGCGCAAGCTTCAGACCAACCTGAGAAAACTACAGGAGCGGTGTTGCTTTGAACCGCAAGATCTGAAGAAGAAGAAGGGCCAGGAGCAGGAGGAGTTTGATGAAGAAGAGTTTAACAACGAAATCACGCGATGTGTTTTGAGGAACTTGGGCGTGAAGAAGGGCGAGGCTGTAGGCGATAGGATTATTAGGTTCCTCGGCTTGTTCTTGAAGCATGCTTCGGAGAAGGGTGGGTTTGCGTACCATCGAGATGCGCGAGGATAGAATGCTGACTTCAACCAGACCAAGCCATATTCCAGGCTGAGGATGAGCAGGAAGTGACCGCTTTCCGAGAAACGCCCAGCAGTCGTCTTACATCGCATATCCTCACCACACTCCTCGGGTTCCTCACAGCGAAGGACAAGACGGTGCGTTTCAGGGCCACCCAAACCGTTGCACATATCGTGAACAATCTGGAGACAATCGATGACGAGATATTCAACCTGATCCGGCTTGGTTTCCTGAAGCGTCTGCGGGACAAAGAGCCGTCTGTCCGTGTCCAAGCAGTTCTTGGCCTGGGCAGGCTCGCTGGAAATGACGACGAGGAGAACGATGATGAGGACAGCGACGAGGATATTGCGGGCGGCATCCTGGAGAAGCTCATGGATATCATGATCAACGACTCTAGCGCCGAAGTCCGACGCGCTGTGCTCCAGAACCTCCCATTCTGGCCATCGACACTGCGGTACATTCTGGAGCGTGCCCGGGATATGGACGCAACCATGAGGCGAATCGTCTATGGAAAGATTCTACCCACGCTGGGAGATTTCCGTCACATGTCGCTTGTTGAGCGAGAGAAGCTGATTCGATGGGGCCTGCGGGACCGCGACGACATAGTCCGCAAGGCCGCCGCGCGCCTCTTTTGTGAGCGCTGGCTCGAGGACTGCGCTTCATCGCATGATACTCGTCCTGAGGAAGACAAGAAGCCTGGCGAACCTGCTCCACTGAATGTTGATGCAGTCACCGAGCTACTTGAGCGTATCGATGTTACACGCTCTGGTGCAGAAGAGGGCATCGCGCACGAAGCTATGCGCGAGTTTTGGGAGCTCCGCCCAGATTACCGAGAGTTTGTCACCTTCGACCACGAGTTCTGGAATGAGCTGGATGGTCAGCAGGCCTTCGTGGCACGCACTCTGAACGACTACTGCAATACCGTCGAAGACGACAGGCTCCGGGATATGCTAGAAGACAAAATGCCAGAAGTCACAATGTTCGCTTTCGTCGTGCAGAAACATCTCAACACGTTGATGGAACTCGTCGAGAAGGTTGCAGTCATGGAAGACGACGATCCTGAGACCGAGGAGGCGCAAGAGGACGTGGAAGAACAGGACTTTGTGGTCCAGCAACTGCTCCACATTGCTCTCACACTGGACTACAGCGACGAGGTCGGACGACGGCAAATGTACAACATCATGCGAGGAGCACTTGCGCGTGCTCAGCTTCCGGAAGAGTGCACGAAGCTCGCTGTCGAGGTTCTCCGCATGTGTTGCGGTAGTCGCGGAGAGTCCGACTTCTGCGCTGTCATTCTCGAAGCCATTGCTGAAGTGCGCGATACACTCATGGACGACGCTACGGAAAAGGGCGAAGATGCGGACGAGAGCTTCCACTCTGCCCGATCCGACATTACCGAGGAAGTAGTCGAAGTCAGGCACAAGAAGGCGAAGACGCCGGAACAGCTCGATCCAGAAGAAGAGGAGGAGAAGCGCACCCGCGAGGTTATGGTGTACTCAAAGTGTCTCCATATCGCGCAGTGCACATTGCAGAACGTGCACTGCGACCTGGAGTCCGACAACTCACTGACAACTATTCTAAATACGCTGATCATTCCCGCTGTTCGTGGTCAAGAGGCTATGATTCGAGAGCGGGGAGTAATCTGTCTGGGCTTGGGTGCGCTCCTTAGCAAGGTAAGCTCCCCGTCAGTGGCCTCGATCTCTCTGAAACGCTACTGATGCCTCTTATAGGATCTAGCAACAAGCAACCTTGACCTCTTCTTCCACTGCTTCACAAAAGGTCACGACGCTCTCAAAGAAATCGTCATCCAGGTCCTTACCGACGTCGTCATCACCCACCCTTCGCTCCTGGCACCGCCACCGCCGGATCCAGAAGCCTCGACTGAGGACGCGGAACCCAAGCCCAATGCGCTCATCAAGCCCCTCACCAAAATCCTCCTCAAGGCTTTCCACTCGGACAACAGGCACATTAGCCTTATGGCCTGCACCGCCGCCTCTAAGCTTCTCCTCCTCGGCATCCTTCCTCCTTCAGCCACCGCCGACATCCTGAAAGCATTCACGCTGACCTACTTCAATCCCGAGACGGCTGCAAATCCGGCACTGAGACAGGCCTTGAGCTACTTCCTCCCGGTCTTCTGTCACTCGAAGCTCAAGAACGCACTTCTCATGGCGCAGATCAGCGTTCCCGTGATGTCGAAGCTGCTGCTCATGCGCGAAGACATTGACGAAGAAGCTGACGAAATGGTCGGCTGGCCGGTCATCACCGCCCACCTGTCCGAATGGACAGATGGTCGCAAAGTGGTGGGGGCTACCGAACTTGGTCTCGACGGCAAAACCTCGACATCGCAGGAAGCAGAGGAACCACACAACTACCTCGCAGCCGAGATCCTAGAGCGCGCTTTGGGCAATACGTGCTCTAAGGATGAGCGGAAACCCTTGCTAAGTTTGCTAACCAAGCTGTACATCGCATCTTCTGGCCCCGCACCCGACGAAGAAGCCCTCCGCACTCTCCACGCGCTCGTCACCGAAGCCGTCGAGGGCAAACTCGGCATGGATGCCACGCAGCGCAACTACCTGACCAAGCTTGAAATCAGCCTCACCAAGCGTCTGGGCGATGTCGAGCACGTCACGCAGCTTGCGGAGAGTAACGAGGACACGGCCACGCCGGAAGTCACGGAGGTGCCTGAGGCCCAAGATAAGACGGAAGCGGAGGTGGGCGTGGAGGAGGAGGAAGATACCATGTTGGCGGGTATGCAGGGTGAGGGGACGAGGATGCCGCTCGAGGAGGATGATGAGGATGAGCATGATGGGGAGGAAGCGAGTACGCCGACGGCGAGGAGGAGCGTCGCAGTTACGGAGAGCGATATCGTGGATAGCTTGTTGGAGAGTGAGATGTAAGCAGGCTTGGGCATCTGCTATGGTTTTCTGGGAGGGATAGGCGTTCAGGTTCCGTCGGCGTTGTTGCTCCAGACGTGGACGGTCCGCGTGGCTTTGGATGTGTGTGCATGCATATGCGCAGCTTCATGTATAATGAATCTCTCTCTTCCCCACCCCTTCCCCCCTACCGCCCCAGCAACTCCTCCACCCGCCTATCCACCGTTTCCCCCAGCAGCCTCTCCATCGCCTTCCGTGCACTCTCCTTCAGCCCCCTCGTAAACCCGCCCGCATTGCCCTTGTCGTCTACTCGCTCCGCGCTATCGCCGTCGTTGTCGCTGTCCCGCGCGCCGCCGGTGCGCCAGGCGGTAATGCAGGGCGGGCTGAGCGTCCAGCCGCGCAGGCGGCCTTCTTGCGTGCGGAACGCGATTTCGTTGTCGACGCCCATGCCTAAGATAGGGGGGTTAGTAGCGTTTAGAGAAAGGGAGCGCAGCCAAAGGAATAGATATAAAAGCAAAATCCCACGTACCAAAACCACGCCACCCGCCAATCTGATACAGCATACGCATCGCACCCAGCCGAGTAACCGCATACCCCATCGCGCAGAGGGGCCCGTACGTCGGGCTGATTATCCGCAGCGCCGCCGCGTCGCGCGACACATTCCAGTGCTGCGTCATCTCCTCGACGATGGGATCCGTGTGCGTGGACACCGCGGGGCTGTGCGGGTCCGCGTAGACCTGGTGGCGGCGGTCGTCCGGGTTCGGCGTGTTGCCGCATTGCCCCATGTAGAGCTCGTCCCAGGCGCAGCCGTAGGGGCATTCTTGATTCTTACTCTTATCCGTGGCGGAGGAGGAAGAGGAAGGGGAGGGAGAAAGCAAGCTGTTATTATACCGTAGCTGGAAGCTCCACAGGCCCATGATGTCCTTGATATGCACGTCCCAGTCGACATCGTCCTCGAGGATGAGCGCGGTGGCGACGTCGTGGTCGATGATGTGGCGCCAGGCATTTGCGTGGGCGCGCCAGACGCCGAGGAAGGAGTCGTTGGCTTTGGCGGGGTCGACGAAGGGGAGGAGGGGTTTGGCTTTGGGGTGCATGGTGGAGACGTCGACCTTTTGGTCTTGGGTTAGTCCTGCGTGGGTTCATTTCACTTCTCTCTTCTCAGAGCAGCTAGGAGTTCTTTCTTTTGGATATTGACGGGGTAGGGAGATAGAGGATAGGGAAGTGCTGGTTGGGAGTATCAATCACGTTACACGTACGTACCCCAGGTATCAGCGTCACCTTCAACCCCGTAGCCGCCGCAAGCAGACTCATAGCATCCTGGCGATCCGTGCGATACGGCATGCTAATATACAGAATCTCCTGGAAGTCCAGTGTCGCATTTGCAGGTTTAGCTTTCCGCGTGCGCCAATTGCTCGGGACGTATGGGACCTGGTGGTTGCCGGAGACAAGCCGACTGCCGGCGTCTGCTGCCACGTGGGGACCATCTCGGCTGGAGAAGAAGTGCGCGAGAGTGGCGAGGAAGATGAGCAGGAGAGTGCAGATGGAAAGGACTTTGGCGTTGACGACGCGGAGGGCCATGGTGGTGGATGGATGGAATGGTGGTATACGCGAGGGATGTGCTGAGAGATGGTTTGAGGAGAGGGCTTTCGCGCGAAATAGGATAGACAGTATACAAAGACGCAAAACTCAACGAGGTTGGATATGCAACAAAACGCCTTCAACTGAATGTAGCAACGGCATGCACTCGGAGCAGACGAGAGACTAGTAAGAAGAAAGACTACGATACACTACCTCGGACTCGTACGCTTTAAATGACCTGTTGATTTTCCATGCCATCGACATCTGGTGACTGGAAACGACCTCGTAGAGAAGGTATATTTAGAGTCTTGGATAGACTGATGTTACCCAAGTAGGACAGCGAGGCTGAGCGGTTGTCCGCAAACGGTGGCGCTAGTGCGTATTTGGGTAGTTAAGCGAGGCGTCTCCTGCCAAACGTTCCAAGAGCGTGTTGACGGGAATGAAAAGTGCGGGGTCTGCTGGAATGAGGTGTTAGCGAAGAATGTGTACAGGGAATGGGAGCCGGTGTTCGAAAACGTGGGAGAAGAGAAACGTGGAGCTTGGTGCCTCGGTGGCAAACCTTGACCCGAGACAAAGGCGACATCATGTCAGGTCTGTCTAAAGGAGGCGAAACCAGTTCAGCTCAATATGACTATCTATACTCAGTTTGGGGTCTCCGGTACGTAGTATCCCCCGTATATATTCCACAATTTCGGAGTTGAGAGACTCGACGGAGAGAGAGAGAGCAAGGAAATGAAGCTCGAAATACAGTAAATACAGCAGCTTTCTAGCTGGCAAGTTTTGACGGAGAAGCGTCGACCACGCCCGCCACAACTCCGGTAGAGACGGCGGGTAACGAGAGCCGCTTGCTCCGGAATATCTATATGGGTTGTGCGAACTTATGATGAAAAGACGAACCCCCTTCCCGGTACCTACAATCCGAAGACCACCCGCTGACCCATCCCCCAGCGCCTCGCCTGGCCCCATGTGCCACCGATCCGCCCAGAAACGCTATGCCACGCAACGGACTGCAATAGATCACGAAAGCCGGGGTGCGAAAAAGACAAAGCTCGAAGGTACTGTGCAGCGCAAGAAACGAGGAAGATCAGGCAGTCTGGGAAGGAAAGATGGGAGGACGCAAAATCAAGAAAGGACACATTTGAAGAAAGAAAGTGAAGAAGACTCCTCCCGGGACAAATCCAAGAAAGGACCAGCAAGCCTGCCTGTGTGCCACCCGTATCCGTACTTTTCCCGCCAGGCTTTTGAAAGTTTTGATGCCCCGAACACCATCAGTCCCGAAGGTATCAAACACCATTGCCGAGATCTCCAATCTATAGTCTCTGCCGTTCCATGCCAGAGAGCCCGCAAATGCCACAGATCTTAACCAGTCTGAAGAACCCACAAATCGTTCTTACCCGCGCCGACCTTGCCAAAGAAGCCGTCCCATGCCAAAATGTTCGAGCAATATTCAGACTGAGCGAGACCCATAGCTGTATGTACGAGGGTTTACGCAGGAGACTTGTTAGCCGCGTTGGACGCATTGCGGCGGTCGTCGTTCATAGACAGCGAGCCAAAGCCGGTCGACAGGAACGAGAAGGGGTCGTTGCGTCCGTCTCCACCGTTCATGGCACCCTGAGCCGGATAGGGATCGGCGGAGGTGAAAGCAGCCTCAGCGGCGCGGCTGTCGAAGGGTGTGGACTGCATGCCGTTGGGAGCGTATTGTGCACCCATGGGAGGATACGGGCTCGCCCCACCGACAGATGGAGGTCCATAGGAGCTTGGAAGGCCTCCGAATTGCTGGGCAGGGAAGCCACCAGTAGCGAAAGCAGCCGCGCCGAAAGGTCCCGGTCCGGGGGTTCCGCCCATCGAGGGAGGACCCATGCCACCGAAGTTGTTCGACGGCTCCATGGGAGACGGGAAGGCAGAGTCGGCCACGACGGTAGCGCCTGCACGGCTAGCACCGCAACGCAGGCACTGGACGTTCTTGGCGAAGTTGTGATATCCGCAGCCGTTCTCTCCGCAGCGCCAGTCACCGGCACGGAAGGGGACAATGCTGGTGCCTCCGCGCATGTGGCCCCCGCCCTGGCCGCCCATACCGTGACCATGGCCCATGTGGTGCTGTGGAGGGCCCATCATGGACGGGTGGCCGTAGCCGTAACCACTGTATGCCATTGATGGGTCTCCCGGAGGGGCCTGCATGGCAGGGAAAGAGCAGCGGAAGCAGGCAGTCCGACGCTGGAAGTTGGAAAAGCCGCAGGAGGGGCAGTTCCAGTCACCGGGGCGGGGACGATTCTTGCTCGGGGGGAACGGCGTGAGGATGTCGGCGGCACGGTCCAGGACGCGGCTGGAGGAGGGAGACACCTCGATGGCCTTCTCATTGAGAGCACGACCATTCATGCAGAGGCTTTCGGCGGCCTGGGAAAGGTTAGCAGAGTGAAAGGGCGGAGTCATGGCTTGGACTCACCTCCTCGTGGGAAGAGAAGATGGCGAAGCCGGAGCCGGTTGGCTTGTGCTGATCGGGCGTACGAAGGGTCCAGAAGGCGATAGGACGACCACCGAACTGAGTGAACCAGCTCTCGAGCTCAGACTGGGTGGTATCATGAGGCAATCCGCTCATGTGGAGCACTTTGCTGCGCTCCGAGAGGAACGCTCTGACGTCGGCACGGGCATCCATTGGTTTGGTGAGAACGTCGGGATGCTCTTGTGGAGGCTGTGATTTGCGAATTAAGCCTCTTAGTACGCGGGCGAGGGTCACTGCTTCCTCCATCGCGCGTCTTGGCGAGGCAGGCGCGAGTGCTTGCAAGTGAAAGGGGAGATTGTGCTTAATTGGGGCAGAGGACTGCACCGGCTCAACCTCAAGCGCAGCACAGATGTTGGAAAGTGCACTGGACCCGAAAGGCAAGGATTCGGGGTGGTGCGCTTGCCACCGCTGGTATTCGGTGCGCAGATCGAATGTCCGTGAGTGCTGCAGGTACGGAGGGAGCACGACGGCTTTATCGCGGGCCTCACGCGGCAATTGGACTCGCAGATCCCACGAGTCGAGCGTCACGAAGGCGAACTCGAGGTTCTTCGGGAGGAGATGCTCTTGGGCGAAGCCATCAAATCGGCTGATGGCATCTCGGAAGGTGCCGGCGTTTCGGACTTGGTCCCAGGTCAGAGTCGTAAGACTCGCTGTTGAGGAAGTTGGTCAGCCAATGCCAGAGGGAAATAATCGAGGGCACCGGGACTCACTGCATAGAGCTGTAATCGGCGTGTTCACCGGCTTGACCAGGACACTTTCGCGGTGCAGCTGGACGACATACGTCAGCAGATGTCCGCCGAGCTGTTGGGGAAGCCGGGACATACCTCTTCACAGGACTTTGCATCCAGCAGAATCCAGCCGAGCTCAATCACTTCTGCAGAGTCCTTGGTCACATAGACCCCGTGCTCATCGCACGTAGTGGCTACATGTATGACGACGTACATGTCGAGGTTGGGAGCCGGACTGTTGGTGGCCATGGCTACGGTGGACGGCTCTCGACTGGGGCTCGTGTATCTCAGCGCTGTTCCTGCTCCGGGTTGCTGCACGCAGCTACCGATGTGACGCGGCGAGGGTGGAGGAGGGAGGAGCTATGCAGGACGGCGGAGACGGCGGCGGAGGCAGGAGCGAGGACGTCAGCGGTAGGTGAATGGAGCCACCCAGGAGCTTGGCCGGTTGCGAGAGGAGCGAACGCGTGAGCTGCGGCGGTGAAGTGAAGGCGGCGGCTCGGGCGATGGGACGAGATTCCAGGTGAGAGGTGATCGAGGCCAAATGGAAGGGGAGGGCAGAGCGGCCGTGCGCTGTATCCTGGGGAGCTTGAGTGACGAAGATTTGTAGATGCAAAAACGGGCGCGAGCGAATGGGGTAAGCTCGAGTTAGCCGACAGCTGCACCATGTCATCGACGCCGCGCCTTCTCTACTCCATGCCTTCACCTCCTCCACCTGCCCAGGTGTGCCCTCACCTATGCATGTGTAGCTTTTTGACACCTCACGTCCAGTCCTGCCTGTCCTGCAGCTGCAGCACCGCTTCCGCATGCCAGCAGGCCAGCATTGCCGTCCATGGGTGCATGCGTGGCGCCCCTCGTTCGGCAGCGGTGCTCCGCTGCCCTGATTGGCATCTGAAACAGCTCGACGCCCTCTCATTGAGTGACGGCACGCGTCTTGTTGAACGCTTCCGCGTGTGCTCCGCCGCCCCCGTCCCACGCTGTGCGCCCGTCTGGGTAGACTATTGATGATCGATACTCGACGGCGCCGGGCGAGCTCACCGTCCGGCGCCCCGAGCGGCCGTCTCTTTGGCTGCGAGCTGGCTGTCCGCGGCGACGCAGAGCGCGCAGCCAGCGGGGCAGGGTTCAGGGGCGCTGTAGGGCAGTCGTCAAACGGCGATTTGGGGCATCTGTCGCCCGCCGCGCTGCGTGTGAAAGCCCATGAACCATACAGTAGACAGCAGCCCGTCTCCAGCACGCAGCCGTTTTCTGTCCTCCAGAAATGCCCCAGCTGCTCTGCATGTCCATACAGATGCGGTGGTGTGGCTTGCCCCTGCCGATCGAGTGGGCGCGCCTTCCCGTTGCGAAGTCCCGTGTCGGCCCCATTGCTACTCACCCTCTCTAGAGTCTAGCAGACGTGAAAGGCTTGAGGCCGTTCAAGTACGCGGCTGGCCAACGCGCGCACGACGAGTGGCAGGCCGATCGCCATTGGCGCTCCCGCCCACACGCGCACTAAGACCCCGTCCAGCTTGGTCATGTTGTAGAGCTGCGAGTGAGACTCCGCTGCAAGAGGTCGTGCCCCTTAAAGACACGTCCGCCCGCCGCTCACCACGCCCGCCAGCCTCCAGCGCCACGCAGGACAAGCACAGCGGCAGCCTCAGCCTAGGTACTGCCCCTTGGCACCGCATCGTGCTCTGGCCTGACACTGCTCGCTCGCTTTGTTCCTCGCACAAAGCCCGCCGCCGCCGTCCGTGTATTGCTGCCTCAAATCCGCAACCGCCGATTCGCCGGCTGCTCATGTCTCGGCATCGCTTTCAGCCTTCCCCGCGAGACGCGGAGGTCCGCCGCGAGTGAGTACAGCCAGAGTGCCTGGCGCGGCCTTGTTCCTTACAAACACCCTTCCCCCGCGGCCCTGCTGTTCCCCAGATTAAATGCGCCGCCCGTGCCAATTGTACCTTTCTGATTGCCCGCCAGCTCCCTCTCGTACCGCATCATGGGTTTCATGAAGCGCTTCCGCCGCGCAAAGAGCCCCAAGAACAAAGACCTGCGCGCCCGCGACGACCTGCACTTCCCCGTCTACCACGGGCCCGACCAGAGCCAGCGCCTGGACGACAAAATATTGCGCCGCATCTTCGAATTCGTATGCCCGCACACCACCGACGAGACCCTCGAGCCGAGCGAGGAGTCGGGCCACGATGGGTGCATGACCTGTGACATGCGAGACCTGGCGCATTGCGCCTTGACCAAGCGACAATGGTATGGGGTTGCCGCAGGCCTGCTGTGAGTTCTCCCGGTGGTACATTCGTATACGGCAGGAACTGACGTGGGGTAGCTACAGGAGCATCCGAATCGACGCCGTCCACTACTGCGAGCTGGAGGAAGTATATGCCGAAGAACGCAAGCGCAAGTCGCGCGGCGGCGACGAGGTTGACCCGCCGACGCTGCGACTGCAGCAGCTGTGTCGGACGGTGCGGGAGAACCACTACATAGGCTCGCGGGTGCGCCTCCTCAAGCTCCCGTACATGACCCGGGAGTCTTGCAAAGCCGATCTGGCGCGGACAGTGTCGGTCTGCCCGAACCTGGAATACATCGACCTCCCGGATGGCTTCTTCAGCGGCGATCCCTCGTGTCATACGCTGCGGCAAGAGCTACAGGCGCGGTGTCCACACATCCGGAAGACCAAGTTCAACGAGGGTGGCGAGCAGGCCCTGGAGTCATTGCTCCATGGTTACTGGCAAGAGCTGCGCGTTATTGAGATGAACAAGATCCAAATCGAGCCCTCGATCCTTAGGCGGGTGTTTGGCGTCCTCCCATGGCTGAGCGAAGTCAGCTTCACCAGCATCTCGTGGATGAACGACAGCATCTTCCACTCTGCGCCCGGGATTCCCGAATTCCCTGCGTTGGACACCTTGAAGTTGAACAAGATCAGCGGCATTACAGCCGAGGGCGTCGTGCAGTATCTGGAGAATCCCGTCTGCCGAGATGCCTTGAGGACGTTGAAGATTAAGGACTGCGCTAGGCTGCCAGTCTCGTCACTACATAACATTCTGGGCATGGCGACAAGTCTCGAGACGTTGGAGTACACCGCGACCGTGTCCGCCGCTCTACCCATCGATCCCCTCCCGCCAATGACCTCCCGCACACTCGGCAAGCTCAACTACGAAATCATCTCCAACTCAGCCAACCAGCTGTATCCGCCTGGCGCATCTTACTATCAATACCTCACTAACTCGCTCATGTCCGGCGCCCTCCCCTCCCTCCGCCAACTCTACGTCCGCGACCCCGACTTCCCCGAATCGCTCACCCTCGCCCCACCCATCCGTCCCTTTGCCGACTCCCCCGCGCACAACCCCCGCGGCTTCAACCAACCACTCGAGGTCTTCTCCAAGGGCCTGGACGAGCTTGAATGGATTTTCACCTCCATTATTCCCGCCGACGGCTATGGACGGCGAGGCTCCATGTCGGGAGGCCGGCCACTGAGCAGCTACTCCGCAAGCAAGGGCCTCGGGCCGCAATGGGGCGGCGATGCGAGGAAGAGCGTCGTGGTACCGAACGGCTTTGGCGGATTCTTGGCTGTCCCAGCGGAGAGCGAGAGGCCGCGGAGCGCGGGCAATCTCGGCCCGTCGTCCTCGTACGGCCACGCGCATTCGCACTCGCTGGGCAACGGGATCCGCGCGAGCTGGATGAGCCATCAAAAGCGGTCGTCGAGGGCGGATCTATGGCGCTGAGTGAATTGAACACGCGTACAACCGCCCCGTGTCCAACATTTCGATTCCTATCTGAGCGGCGTATGCCCCTATGCTGCCTCATCCTTTTCCTGCCTTCGACCACCCGGTTCGTAGAGGCGCAGAGCAGAGCAGAGCCCTTACCTCTCCGGTGGGGAGGGCAACGCCTCAGGCACCTACCTACCTTCCAGGTCCGCATCCCGGGCTTTTTTTTTTCCCCTTGTCATTTCATCTGCCGGAATACCCCCTTTCGCTTCTTAGCTTCTCATATGTCGAACGGAGTAATTTTTCACCCGAGAAAGGCATTATGGCTTGGATGGGACGGGAACGGAATGGAATGAATTCGGCTTTTTCACCATGCAGCGAATGCAATGCATGGCCCGGGCGCTCCGATGCTTCGTATGTGTAGACGGGAAGGGAAGATCTACAGGCGACTTCTTTTGGAAGTTTGGATTGGGCGCGCCGCCTGAACTGAACAGAACGGAATGGGGATATGGAGATAGGTCTGAAAAAGGGAGGGTGTCATAGTGTATAGTATGAGGATGATTGATTTACTTTGGTAGAGAGAACACGAGAGAATGAGAGGTTGAAGATGATGCTGTGCTGGCATTTTGAGTGTGATGTGCTATCTCCGCCATTTCCCCAGCAGCGTGGTCTCGCGAACGAAATGCCGGAATGGGTACCTTATATTGGCGAGGAGCTGGGTATACTGCTGCTGTGTAGGAACAGAATAACCCCGTAACGAGCAATGTCCCTTCGCATATTACAATAGGTGTAGCGGAACGAGGAGTCGCCGATGAGTAAGTCGTACTTCCACCAACGCCGCCCCCGTCCCGTTGACTCCAATCTCACACTCAGCCTAAGCTCCCGCGCCCTACTCCATCCAGGGGTCGACCAAACACTCGCCCTTCAGCACCTTACCCATCAACCACGCCCTCAACTTCTCGTCCTCGTTATCAACCCAAAACCCCGGCTGCCGCGCCCCGCATCCGATATTCGTCGTCGCTTTCTTCGGCCGGTCCTCCGGTTTAGAAACAGCGCCATCTGCCCCTCCTCCTCCCCCCTTGTCGACGTGCGAAATCTCGCTCGGCGCTGCAATGTGGTGGAACAGCTCCGGCGTAACCGTGTAGCACAGCCAGTCGTGATCGCGACACGCTTCCAGCATGCGGACGTCGAAGGCTTGGCATCCGCCTTCGCCCTCGGTGCTGTAGGCGGCGAGGATGCGCTGCGCGGAGGCGCGCGTCACGGCGTAGGCGAAGGTGCAGAGCGGCCAGTAGGAGCGGTGGACGAGGCGCGCTTCTTCGGGCACGGAGAGGGCGTCGAGCAGGGCGGAGGTAGCTGGGTCGAGGTCGGAGTGCGGGAGCACGGTGGCGTCGTGGTAGGCGACGTGTGGGCGGGAGAAGATGTGGCGGGGTGTCGTTTTGTCGCCGCAGTGGCCGAGCCAGAGGATCTCCCAGTTTGCTGGCGGGCTCCAGTAGTGTGCGGCCGGGATGCTTGGCCGGTGGAAGAGAAAGGGGTGCGTGGTCGTGGTTGTGTTTTCGGGCGATAGGAGGGAGCGGAGGCCGGTTGCTGTGAGGGGCACTTGGGAGAGGCGGAGGGCGATGTCCCAGTCTACGTCGTCTTCGAGGATGAGAGCCGTTTGGTGGTCTGAGGAGAGAAACCTGCGGTAGTGAGCGATAAGCGGCCACCTTAAGCCATGAGACTCGGATTGACCTACCACCTCAGCGCATTCAGATGGCCCAACCAAGCCAGCGCGCTCCCCTTCGAGATGCGGCTACCCTCCCTCGCTCTGAAGGATTCCAAGTCGCCTTCGGTCCATACTGGCTGCTCGGGAATCGTAATCTCCAAGCCCGTCAGATTCGCGGCCCATAGCAGACCCTCTCTTCTCGGGGATGCGGCGTGTGAAACGGCAAGTAGAGCGCCGAACTGCGTTGCCTCGTGTTAGCTAATTCTTTCTGTGCCCTCCGGGTGTGGTAGGGCTGAAAGGCAGGCATGGCTTACACCCAGAGTGGAATTCGCAGCAGTGACGACCACAGAAGAAGTCGACGTCGACGAATACCGCCCAACAGGGAAGGCGCGAGGGTGGAAGAACAGGACGAGCAGGGCGAATGTCGGGAATGCTAGGAGAAGGAGAGAGAGGCGACGGCGTCCCGCGTCCATGTCAACGGCCGATAGGATTAGCGATAGGAGCGAACGTGCTGGTTGTTCGTCTGAGGGGAGAGTCGAGAAGAGGGCGCAGGTGAACAGGTGAATCGGTGACTGTGCTCCGTTGTGCCACCTCATGGGCCAGCAGGTGGTCACGATCATGACGGCGATGCGGGTTGCCGCTTCCTCTTGAGCAATCGTGCAAGCATCCTGGTTGGGCTCCTACCCATTCACCTGAGGAACCGACTCTGACGCGTGGATTGAATGGGCGATTGGGGAATTGCGTCCGCACACTCGGTTCGTTGCGGAGACGAGTGTGGGCGGTGTGCGAGCAAACGCACAATGGACATCCTCCATTGTGCGAAACTTCTCAGTGTTGCAGCCTGACTTGAGTATACATGAGCAATATTTGGCCTTTCCAACGGGTTCTTTGACTGTCGGTCGCTCATCCTCGCCCATTCTTTCTCATGCGCCCGCTCTTTGCCATCTTAATAGCCATCGTGAAATCCGATTAGTCTTTGCTGCGGGCATTGAGAGATAGGTGTTACATGAGGGGCTGATAACGAGACGGTGAAATTGAGCAGGATGCAATAGGAACAAATGAAGGAGAGGAACCTGCACAAGACACGGAATTGCTTATTGGTCGGATAGATCTTGAGGAATTGAAATGCGACGACCAACATGCTGAGGGTTGTTGTATGTAGATGGAACGGTAACAATTTGTTGTCCACACTTTCCTCATCTGCGAATACGATTCTGTGCGCCTCTCCGTCGTACCAACCGCTTTTATGGGTCTTGAATACTGCGACAAGACAGAGACTCTAGTCCCCCAACCTTTTTGAAGAGAGGGAGCTTGAGCATTGAAGAGGTCGAGCTTTAGATATCATATAAGGGGATAGAAGGAAGTCGAACGAAGCCTCTGATGTGAGACGCGCCTCGCCTGAAGCGGAAATGACGCACAGGTACGCTGGCATGGCGTTGTTCGCGTGCTTCCCTGCAGGAAAGGGGAGTTCGGCAACGAAAGTGCGTATTTTTGGCGGCCGCCAACCATCCCCCAAAACCAAGACTAATAAGACTGCGGGACGCGGCACTTTTAGTTTCAATTTACGCTCAGCTGAGTGCCTGGCGCGTGGGAGCGCAGGTACGGCATCCACTTAATTATGCTGAGGAGACCGTGACCCTTGATCCCCCCTTCCCCTCACGCGCCCAACCTCCATATGGGCCTCCGACTCCGTCCCTTACCTACGCAGCGGCGCACAGCATTGCTGCATTCTCGCACAACATGCCCGCCGAAACACTGCCCCCGGAGCCGCCTCCGCAGAAGTTCTCGCGCTATCGGAGTGTGCGCCGCGCTCAGGCACAGCAAGCGCAGCCCCAGCAGTCCAACGCAGCGCAGCAGCGCGCAGAAGACGTTCCTCCTATGCCTCCGCTGCCCCCAATGGAGCCCCAGAAAGACGCTGCAGTCAGCAGAAGCATGTCGCGCTACCACCGTCGGCCCGCAACATCTCACGCGCCCGCCGCAAAAGCTCCACCTCTGCGATCGGCAACCGTTGAGGTACCGCCTCCACCAACAACGCAAACCACAACCTCCGCCCGCTATCGCGCTTTGAGCTCACCACAAGCCCGCCTTGCAAGCAATGCCCAACCGCGACTACCAAATGGCTCACGAGCGCGAGCGGAGCCCGCACCCGCCGACACAGCCACGGCTCGACAACCGCACCGCACCGCACGCGACGAAGCCAAGCAACTGCTTCAGAATGAGGCCGAACGGCATCGGCGCATGAAAGAGAAGCTCAGAGCTGCGAAGCAGGCTAAAGAGGAAGTTGAACAAGCCGACCGCGAGCAACAGGAGAGATTGCGCAGAGAAGGGGAGGAGGCTGCGCGTCTGAAGGCACAACGAGAGGTTGAGGAGGTGGAACAGCTGCGGCGGCAGAAGGAGGAAAAGGAGCGCGGGAAGAAGCTGCAAAAGGCGGAAACCGCGAGAAGGCTGCAGGAGAGGGAAGAGGCGGAGCGCAAGTCAAGGATGGAGGAAGCTGCTCGCAAGGCACAGGCGTCTCCGCCAGTGTCACCCCCGAGGCACGGTGGAGGCTTTGGACTGTTCAGGAGACGCAAAGACGGTGCGCCAGCGTCACCAGAGAGTCCTCCAACTCATTCGAAGTCTCCGCAGCCGAGCAACGGCCATCGAGACATGGACACAATTAGACCTGGAGGAGGCGGCGCCGTTCTGGGTATCGATGCACCCATCTCTGCCGTGAATGCCGGTGATCGGGTGCGTAAAATCTCCTTTTCCATAGATTCAGATGTTAACCTGCTTTCTAGCGCGTGACCGTCGTCCGCAACGACAAGAGGTTCTTTCTCCCTGTCACACCGGAAACCACAGCGCAGGACCTGCTTCGATCGGCCTCCCTTTGCATGACCGAGCCAATTGATCCACATACCGATGTGCTTATCGAATCCTTTCAGAAGGTTAGCGTCGAACGTCCGCTGCGTTTATATGAACATGTGCGAGACGTCCTGAATTCATGGGACAACGATGCTCAAAATGACCTCAAAATCGTTAACGCTGCATACAATGACATCGACCGTCTAGAGCTACTTGCTCCTTCGGTTCCCGACTCTAGACCGCAAGGCATGGGCTGCTACCTGAACTACTCTTCCCGGCCCCAGAAATGGAACAAAAGGTACATTACGCTTCGATCCGACGGACAGTTGATGATGGCAAAAAGCGAGACCTCAAAGGATCACGAAAACATCTGCCATCTGTCAGACTTCGACATCTACACGCCCACCTCACGCAAGATTGCGAAGGTCAGGCCTCCAAAGAAGTTGTGTTACGCAGTCAAAAGTCAGCAAAAGTCAAACATCTTCTCGGACGAGAGTCGATACGTTCACTTCTTTTGCACCAACGACAGGCACACGGCGGTAAACTTCTACAAGTCTTTGCAAGTTTGGAGGAGCTGGCATCTCAAACACGTTATGGGCGAAGGCCAGAAGAAACCAAAGACACAGGAAAGCAAAGCTACGAACGGGCTGTTGTCGAATGGCGTTGGGCGTCTTAGCCTTGATCAAGGCGGTGGCGGATCCTCCCATACCCGAAACACCTCCACTGGTTCTTACTATCAACTGGGGACCTTCACGCCTTTGATTGACTTTAATCAGTTTGACAAAAACCTCGAACATATAAAGGACTCGGTTGCACACCCTGGTGAGACGGCGCATGCTAGGGTGGATACGAAAACGTTGCATGCAAGGAAGATGTCGGCAAGAGTCAAGGGTCCGCCGCCGGTGGCGTACAATAGGGGCGGTTTGAGTAATGAGGATTCGGTGCCACCCACAGGCAGGACGAATTCGCTCACGCAAAGCTCTTCCTCCGATCCCGAGGGCGAAACGTTTGCACCTGGCGGTCTGCTTGGGAGAAAGTATTCTCAGCGACAGAGAGCCGTGCAGGACCGCGAGAGGAAGGAGTCTGGGCCGTTCACCGATGGCCCGTCGCTCATCAGTAACATGGACTACATGGCTGCACAGTCGACAGGCAACGATTCCGGCCTCAACCGCAATGCCTCGGTCCGTACCACTCATCTGCGAACTTCAAGCGATATCCAGCGGAGTGTTTCAACGCGGGGCAAAATGAAACCTCTCGTAGACCTGACGCCCCAATACCGGGAGCCGCCTCAACATGCTCGTAAGGGCAAGGGCTATGTCCCGGAAGCCGGCGCTGGCCCTCTGGTCGAAAATGCAACATCTCTAGAAGAAGCAATCAAGATTCCGCCCTCCCAAGATTGGCGCGCCGCTCGGCCGCCTACCACACGTACACATGGAACCTACGGCATCGGCGGGCATGAGCGTACGCGATCCCTCAAAGGACGGGGCGAAGGCCTCGCGGCATACACGGTGAACAACCACTCTGCTGCCCCTGAGGATGACAGCAATGCGTTCACTGGCGGTGGTCTTCTTGCTGGAGCGAACTTTGGCCAGGGACATAGGCCAGTAGGCCATGGAGTTATGGACGGTTCGAAAGCGAGGGGTCCGATGCTCGATGTGAGGGAGAACCCCAAGTTCGCCTCGGGCAGTCTGCTCGCTGGCGTCGAGCGGGTGCGTGGCCCCTCGGGGCCGGTTATTGACCGCGACAGGCGACAGAGTGTTGATCTTGGATGAAGCCATGGGGACTTCAGGGATGAGTATAAAGAGACGCGTTAATGAGTGGTAATTCTGGTATGGCCGGGGCGCGCTTGAGCATTTTGCGGAGTTCAATATCCCCAGAGTGGAGTTATGGCTCGGGGACCTTTCCTACTTGTTCGTCTTGCTTCAGTATTCTATCTGGGTATCGGTCTTGAGTTGTTTCCACGTCCGGCATGGTAGAGCTCGGAGGTTTTCGGGAGGTTATTCGGAGCATTTATACCGCGGAATGGCTGAGGGGCGTCATGGTCGTCGTCCTCACGGATCGAATAGCACGGTATCGCTTGGAAATCTGAATCTAAGATCTGCATGTCCTACCTTAGCGCGCCCTCCCTGCATGGCCGGGCTGCAACCTCATCCACGTGCCCACGGTACCCCACAGCAGCTCCAAGATCCTGTTGCAAACCGGCCCACAAGTTTCTGTAGTGGAGGGGCAGATGGCCGCCAATCCTACACCAAACGGCCAACGGCAACCCCGCCTCCGCACCGTCTTATGACGGATGCACATGCACCTTCCTCTGCCGTGGCGCTCGACGTCAGAGCACGTTGAAGCTCTTCACGCCGCGGTTGGAAAGTAGAGGCGTGGGATGCGAATCTCAGGAGAGATCGGATGATGAAAATTATTGCCCCGCTGCGAAGTCGGGATACCGAATGCATCCTCGCACCGCCTCGACGGCCGCTGTGATAGGCCAATGGCTGCTCTTGGGCCGATTGATGCCGCTATCGCCTAGTGTGACGTAATTGCAGGGGTGCAAGCTCTACGCCTTCAAAGCGGCCTAGCTCTCTCCGGGCTCCATCTCATCTCTCAACGCGCTCGTGCGCCAAACAAACGGCACAGCTATCTGGTTTTTCTTCGCCTCCTCCTGTCTCGTCCTCCGTTGTCCCACGGTTGCACGCCCGCTGCACGTCACAGCTCCCTTCACCGAGGCAATTGAGGCTCACGCTCTTCGTTTCACCCCGGCGCCTCGATCTTGAGCCAATACGAAGCACTTATCTAGGGCCGCCCGTCTCAGTAGCTCACCCAAGCTCCACGCTCGCCGCACCCCGACTTTGCAGCTTATTAGACTCGCCAGACAGCTGTCTTGAACCACTCTTTCGCGCTCTCCTTTGTTTCTCGGAAGCTTCGAGGCGCTAGCACAATGGCCGAGACCCGCGACGTTAACAACCACGTCCTCTTCGAGGTCGCTACCGAGGTTGCGAATCGAGGTACGTTCGATCACAACTAAGCTCGCAGAAGCTCCAAACTGACTCCTGCAGTTGGCGGCATCTACTCTGTCTTGAAGTCGAAAGCTCAGGTGACCACGGCTGAATATGGCTCGGCATATACTTTGTTGGGGCCGCTCAACAGAAATTCGGTATGATCGGCGCCGACGACAACTTTGGCAGCCTGCTGACAGCGGTGACAGGCGGCGGTCGAAGTTGAGGAATTGGAGCCCAAGGACCCGGCTATGGTGGCTACCATCAAGTCGATGAACGAACGCGGTATCCAGACTCTGTACGGCCGATGGCTTATTGATGGCGCCCCGCGGGTCCTTCTGTTCGACACTGGCACTGCCTACGGATATCTGGACGAGTGGAAGGGCGATCTCTGGTCTGTCGCAGGCATTCCTTCACCGCCTGGTGACTCAGAAACCAATGAAGCCATTGTTTTCGGCTACCTGATTGCGTGGTTCTTGGGCGAGGTATGGCAGAGCACTCAAGAAGCTCGGCGGAACAGCTGCTAACACTGGGCAGTACGTGTACCACGAGAAGAAGCGAGCCGTCATCGCACAATTCCATGAATGGCTCGCCGGAGTCGGTCTCCCACTTTGCAAGAAGCGACGCATCGACGTGACCACTATCTTCACCACGCACGCGACCCTCCTTGGTCGCTATCTGTGCGCTGGCTCCGTCGACTTCTATAACAACCTACAATACTTCGATGTGGATGCTGAAGCGGGCAAGCGTGGCATCTACCACCGGTATTGCATCGAGCGCGCTGCAACACACTCGGCCGACGTCTTCACCACCGTCTCCCACATCACCGCATACGAGAGCGAACATCTTCTCAAGCGGAAACCGGACGGTGTGTTGCCGAACGGTCTGAACGTGAAGAAGTTCTCCGCCACGCACGAGTTCCAGAACCTACATCAACAGGCTAAGGCGAAAATCAACGACTTTGTGAGGGGACATTTCTACGGCCACAATGATTTCGATCCTGAGAATACACTCTTTTTCTTCACTGCGGGCCGGTACGAGTACCGGAACAAGGGTGTGGACATGTTCATCGAGTCATTGGCGCGGCTGAACCACCGGATGAAGAGCGCAGGGTCGAACATGACTGTGGTTGCGTTTATGATCATGCCTGCACAGACGCAGTCGCTCACTGTGGAGGCCCTCAAAGGGCAAGCCGTCATCAAGTCGCTCCACGACACCATCAAGGTCATCGAGGAGAACATTGGCAAAAAGCTCTTCGAGCGCTCAATAGCATGGACCGAAGGCCAGGAAGTGCCTGACGATAAGGATCTACTATCCGCTTCAGATAAGATCATGCTCCGCCGGCGGTTGTTCGCTATGAAGAGACATACTCTCCCGCCCATCGTAACCCACAACATGGTCAATGATACGGAGGATCCCGTGCTGAACCAGATCCGCCGCTGCCAGCTGTTCAACCACCCGTCGGACCGCGTCAAAGTCGTATTCCACCCGGAGTTTTTGAACTCATCGAATCCGGTGTTGCCCCTGGATTACGACGACTTCGTCCGCGGTACTCATCTCGGTGTTTTCGCCTCCTACTATGAGCCGTGGGGCTACACTCCCGCTGAATGTACCGTCATGGGCGTGCCCAGTATCACGACTAATCTGTCTGGTTTTGGCTGCTACATGGAGGAGCTGATCGAGAACGCCGCAGACTACGGAATCTACATTGTGGACCGACGAATGAAGGGAATTGATGATTCGGTCAATCAGCTCGTCGACTATATGTTTGAATTTACAAAGAAAAGCAAGCGACAACGCATCAACCAGCGCAACCGAACCGAGCGCCTCAGCGACTTGCTTGACTGGAAGCGGATGGGCATGGAATATGTCAAGGCTCGGCAGCTGGCTCTTCGACGAGCCTATCCTGGGGCGTACGAAGAAGACGAGGAGCCAGATTTCTTCGGCACCCACGAGGTCAAGATCTCGCGACCCCTGTCTGAGCCTGGCTCCCCACGCGATAGGTCAGGCATGATGACTCCCGGAGACTTTGCTTCGTTGCAAGAAGGACGCGAAGGCCTCAGCACCGAAGACTACATTGCCTGGAAGCTCCCGTAAGTGTACTCCGAAGACCATGAATGACAACCCACTAATATCTCTGTAGGGAAGAGGAAGATCCGGATGACTACCCATTCCCGCTGACGCTCAAGACGAAGAAGCCAGGCTCGGGCGCGATTTCGCCAGCGCTGAATGGCATGGGGTGAGGGAGAGCATAGAGGCGAGAGGGAGGAGACGTTAGATTGCATTGCCCGCTATTTCTTAAATCCTCTGTACGCTGTCGTGTTTTGGTATTGCATCGGGATGTTCCTGCATGGTGGCGATGTTCGGCGAGCCTTTCAATTGTGAAATTCTTTGGTACCTGAGCAAGCATGGTCCGCGCTCTCATATCTCATCTATATATTTGCCATCTGCAACAATTCGAACCTGGGTCGGAACCCACCGTTCCCTAGCGACGCCCGAGACGAGCTGAACCGTGGTGAGACTAAAAGGTCCGACTGGAATGCCAACCTCTCTTGGCTCTGCAAGATGCCAGCTAGATACCCGTGGTGCGGCGAGGATGGAGATCAGGAATGTGTTTGTGTTGCTGCAGCCATTGTATTGGAGAGCCCGTTGCGGTGGGCTGATGAGGTGCAGCGTCTGGGCCCCGACTCGAGCCGGTCCCTGACCGAGGTCGCTCAACTGAGCTTGGCGTCATCATGTTCGACTTTCATTTCTTTGCTACCCCCTGCAATAGTCTTCACCCTTCAGACACCAACGCGCGATTGATTCACTGCCAACACTCCTCTGGACACGATGCACATCGCCGACGCGCCCTTCGCACTCACATTGCGCGCTTCCGGCCCGGCCGGTTTATAGCCACCCTTGGCGATGCTGATTTATCTAGCACGAGACAACCCGACCCTCACGCCGCCCCTTTCCGAGACGTATCCGATTCCACTGCTATAGATTGTCTTTCTGCCCACCGCAGAGGCAGCGTTCTGCCCGGCAGAGCCCCGCGACCGCCCGCCATGTTCACACCGTGGCTCGTTGTCTTCGGATGGCTGAAGCAGCACGTACCGACGAAGTGGTCGGGCTTCAAGCAGCACTTCAATTTTATCACGCTTCATTGTATGTTTTGGAGCCAGCGGCATAGACGAGGCAATGCTAAGCAACTCGCAGATACGTACATTATCTCCATGTCCCTCATCGGATCCATCATTCTCTACCCGACGCACAATATGCCATACGTCGATGCTTTGTTTTTCGGGAGTGGCGCTGCAACGCAGAGCGGGTTGAATACGTGAGTGCGGGCCAGGGGAGGGAGCGATCACTGCTGACGCGGGGCCAGGATTGATATCAACCAGCTCCAGTTGTACCAGCAGGTATGTCGAGGGCCTTCCGAGCGCTGTGGTGAGACGAGCTAATGAAGGAACCCAGATCACGCTTATGCTCATGGCATCCGTCTGCAACCCCATATTTATTAATACCTTCGTTGTTTTCATCCGTCTCTACTGGTTCGAGAAACGCTTTCAGAATGTGGTGCTAGAAGCGCGCACCATGCGCCGCCACCGGACGCGATCGCGCACAAAGAGCGAGGCAAAGGGCGATACAGAGCGGGATGTCGGGAGAGAAGAGCAAGGCGTGGGTGATCGAGAGATAAAGGTCCTGAGGGCTGCGAATGGCGAGGCCACGGGCAAGAAGATTGTTGACGAGGATGATTTCTATGAGGAAGCAGACAAGGGCAGCCCAAAGGCATCGAATTCGGCGAACGACGACGCTGAGGCGTCCGAGGATGCGTCGCCTAGGGAGGACGCCCAGACTCCTTTGCATCGGGACATCACGTTCGCCGATGAGGTTGCTTCACCTTCGGATCGCATCCCTCAACGACATAAGGAGCAGAGCATTGCGTTTGTCGAAAACCAGCGAAATCCAAGGGACAAGGGAACGTACCGCATTCCGGGGCCGCGAGATTATGATCTAGGCTTTGTCCCGCAGCGTATTGAAGAGGGGGATGACTTGGAGCACGCGATAACGGACGATGCCGACGGCCAGCGGATGAGGCGCCAGCGATCCAATTCAATCCCGCCGGTCGAGTTGAACGAGGACGACCACCCTTTGAAGCAGCACATTACCATCGATGCACCCGGCCCGCGCCCCCGTCCTCATACCGGGACATCAGCATACAACTTCAGGGGGAGGACTTCAGAATCCGGCGAGGTGCCGACGGCCGCTATGTCTCTCCGTAATAGAGCAAGATCGAGAACTTTGGCCAGCTTTCTGACGAGGGACAAAGAAGAAGAGAAGGATCCTATGCCTTATCTCAGCTGGACTCCAACCGTTGGGCGGAATTCAGCTTTCGTTGACCTCACTGAAGACCAAAGAGAGGAGCTTGGGGGTATCGAATATCGCGCTCTGAAACTGCTCGCCATCATCCTTGTCTGCTACTTTGTTGGATTCCACCTGCTCGGAATGATTTGTCTGCTCCCGTGGATCGTGCGCGATCAGAAGTACTCCGATGTTGCTCTCGACGCCGGAGTTAGTCCGGTGTGGTGGTGAGTTCTCCCTAAGCTCACGCATGCTTTTCAGGCCTATCTCTAACTCTCACAGGGGTTTCTTCACGCCAGCTTCGCTCTTCAACGACCTGGGATTCACTCTTACACCCGACTCCATGATATCCTTCCAGCTCGCCACATTCCCTTTGCTCCTAGGCACGTTCCTGATTGTTATCGGCAACACAGGCTTCCCTTGTATGCTTCGATTCGTCATTTGGCTGTGCTCCAAATGCGTTCCGCGTGGCAGCAGCGTCTGGGAAGAACTGCGTTTTCTGCTCGACCACCCCAGACGGTGCTTTACGCTATTGTTTCCCAGTAATGCCAACTGGTGGCTGTTTTGGGTCCTTGTTCTCCTCAATGGCATCGATCTAATATTCTTTGTCATCCTTGATGTAAGTCGATGGACGCGGCTGCGATACGTGACCCGTGCTGACCGGTATATAGCTGAACGACCCGACCGTCTTGAGCCTCCCGCCTTGGTTCCGTTTCCTAGACGGCTTGTTCCAAGCAGCCTCTACCCGCACCGCAGGCTTCGCCTGTGTAAACCTCGCCGATCTACATCCTGCCATTCAGGTCTCGTACCTCATCATGATGTACATATCCGTCTTCCCGATCGCTATATCCTTGCGTAACACGAATGTCTACGAAGAGAAGTCGCTGGGCATCTACAGCAACGCCGAAGAGGAGGGCGGTGGTAGCTTTTTGGGGACCCATATGCGTCGGCAGCTGTCTTTCGACTTGTGGTTCGTCTTCCTGTGCTTCTTCCTCATCGCTATCATTGAAGGCGGCCGCCTGGAGAACAACAACGAGTACGCATTCACATTGTTCTCCGTTCTCTTCGAGCTCGTCTCCGCGTACGGCACCGTCGGTCTCAGCCTGGGGTATCCGGGCTTCAACACGAGTTTCTCGGGCCAGTTCAAGCCGCTCTCGAAGCTCATTATCATCGCCGCGCAGATCCGTGGGAGACACCGTGGCTTGCCATACGCACTTGATCGCGCTATCTTGCTCCCGAGCGAGAGTCTTCATAAGAAGGAGGATGAGGATGCGACGCTCAGAGCTAGGAGAGGCAGCAACGCCGGTGACCTCGGGGCGCCTGTTGGGCTGGTGCGCACGGGCACCGCGAGGAGTAGGAGAGGGAGCACGGCGACTGGTGATGGAGGGCCAGAGGGGTTTAGAGGGCGCATACGGCCGCAGGATGTGGGGCGGTTCTTTGCAGGCGCGTTGAGCGCTGGGCCGAGTGTGCATAGGGATAAGAAGGCTTCCTGATATCTTTTTGAGAAAAGCCTTGAAGTTCTGTTCTTTGTTGATAATTTTTTGGTCTTGGGATAGATATACATATTGGGTGAGGCTTTTGTGCTTTGGAGCTTGGATAGGGTGTTGGTGGAATCGTGCTATTTGGGACTGGGCTTGGAACTGGGATTACATAGATGTTTTTTGCTGGGCTTGATGGATACCCGGCCGGCCGATTCATGGTTTCGGCAATGGTCGCCATTTTTGCTTTCATTGTCCACCGTCTCCAACTGTGCGTCGGATGGCATTGTGCACAGCATTTGGCCCATGTTCGTTCCTTCCCAAGTCCCCCTAATAGGCCCGTGGAGGAAGTACTCGCATGCATTGTACATTCGAAGTGCTCTTCGGGTATGACTTCGGACTTGTATACAATGCAATGTGCTCTGTCAACTATCTATTCTATGCAGCACTACGCATTGTGCATGCCGCTGTTTATATCCCCCTATTCTTCACGCTTCCTGTTTGGCTCATCAGATCCCTCTACTATCGAGCAGTCATACTAACTACATCCCACGGACATAGCCCTGCTCAGCGCGGGAATCCTCCTCTTCCTAATCCTCATCCACATTCATCTCAACCACAATGCCCCCCCTCACCCGCTCCTCCTTCACCCCCCTCAAACGCCTCAAAGAATCCGACCACGGCGGCCAAAACAGCGGCATCTACCTCGTCCGCAACGCCCACACGCACCGCACCGCCATCGAAAAGCGCCTCCCGCGCTCCGCCGTCGCCCGCGGCCTCGCCGCCCGCGAGGCCCGCGCCATGCAGCAGTGCGCCCACCCCAACATCATCCGCCTGCTCTTCTTCGACCCGGACTGCAAACGCACCGGCTACGCCTCGCTGTTCCTACCGCGCTGCGAGCTCGGCAGCCTGGACCGCCTGACTGCGAACTTCGCAACCCGGCGCTGCGAGATCCCCGAGGGCTGGCTGTGGAAAGTCCTCTGGGACGTCGCGCTCGCGCTGTGCTACCTGCAGCGCGGGGTCGACGCGCGGGAGAGCGCGCAGCTAGGCCGCCCCATTGGCAGGGCGGAGAAGGCAGCGGGCTGGAACGGGATTGCGCACCGCGACGTCAAGCCTGCGAATATCTTCCTCACGTGGAACGGCGGGCACGCGGACGCGAGGTACCCGACCGCCGTGCTCGCTGACTTTGGCGGCTGCATCTCGTTAAGCGATATGGCGGCGAAGCCGCCGCAGGAGGCGAAGGAGCTGAGCCTGTGGACGCGCGCGTTCGAGCCGCCCGAGGCGCCGAGGTTTTCGGACGCGAGTGATGCGTATAGTCTGGCGTTGGGCGTGCATTGCATGGCGCTGCTGCGGGAGGTGCCGTGTGAGGACAAGGTGCTGCTGAGGGAGCGGCCGGTTGGGGCGGGGGGCAGGTATTCAGGCTTCTTGGAGGGCGTGCTGAGGAGGTGTTTGCGGGAGGGGTGGCGGGAGAGGCCGGATGCGGCGTATTTGCCGTATTTGGTGTGGAGGGAGATGGAGAGGGCGGCGGGGTGGGCGAAGGGGAGGGGGGAGAGGGGGGCTGCTGCTTTTGCGAGGTTGCCGGAGTGGGCGTTTGAGTAGGTGGTGTATGGGCCCTCTTTTGTACGCTGAGATCAATATCTTCTTCTTCTTGGATGGGTGGCTTCGTTTTTGTTTTCTGCGTGCCGACTGCGGATAGAGAAAGGAGCTGCTATTAGATTAGGCATTTTGAGGAGGATGTGTGGCTGGGTGGCGGCATCTAGAACGATTATTTGTATAGCGTATACATGCTGGGTCGTTTTAGCTTTTAGAGTAAGACGTTCCTAGTGATACCTCTTTGTTCGCTCGAACGGCATGACTCCTACCTCTCTCTCTCTCTGTCTCTTCTCGAGACGCTTTTTGGACATCCATCATGCTTGAAGCACGCTTGAGCGACTTGTGGGCACATTACGACAATACCTTCTCTTTCCTCATTTCTTCCTCTTCTGACCTTCTTCCTGGGTTTCCATGCAGATCTCCGCACGGATGCAGAGTTGGTGTTAGATTGTTGCAGTTTCAAAATTGTCTCGAGACTTTCAGTTGGGTTTGACTTCATCCTGAATCCATTTTTGGAAAAGACATACAGAGGAATTGTTTATAGAGAAAAGGCGTGTAAAGGAAAGGCGTGTAAAGAAAAGGCGTGTAAAGAAAAGGCGTGTAGAGAAAAGGCGTGTAGAGAAAAGGCTGGAATTATAGGACAAAGTCAACGTTCGTGGATCGATGAAGTCACGTCTTTGCGCTAGTCCGTATACGGCTAGTGCGAACGCCATATTTGCCCTGCCACAGCCTTGGGAACGCTGCCCCTCGAGTCGTTGCCTAGAATCGTGGACTGTTGAAAATCTGACTACCTTCCTTCGCCCCATCCGCATCCTCATCTGTCCTTTCTCCATCGTGGAACTACGCTCGGTGCTAGATCCCCCAAAACCATGGCCAAGAAGCGAAAGCGGACCACATCGGCTCCCAAAGCCTCGCACAAGGCTCCGCTCTACCGTGCCCTGCGGAAAGTCCCTCTCGAAATTCGTTTACTGGAGATCCTCAGACCCAAATCCTCGCGTTCGATTGTCAACTGCCGCCTGATCACCGTTTCACTCGACGATGCTCCTGAATACACGGCCCTTTCGTACGTCTGGGGGCCCCCTTCCAGGACCAGGAACATCCGGGTCAACGGCCGTCTAATGCCGGTGACGACCAATCTCAACTCCGCTCTCAGGCAGTTCCGTGCTTGTTTATTCAATAGGCATGTTTCGGGAAGTCAACTCCGACGCTTGCCGCCCCGTTTTTGGATTGATGCGGTGTGCATCAATCAAAAGGACGTGGAGGAGAGAAACCACCAAGTCCAATGCATGCCCACCGTCTATCAGCGCGCTTCATCGGTCCTCGTTTGGCTTAGCCCCCGGAATGGAGAACTATCGTATGGAATGGCGGCGATTGGTCTGACGGGCCGAGAATTAAGCTCGTCAGATGACAAGACCAATCTCAAATGGATGTACGATTATCCGCAGCTTTGGGACCATGATTGCTCGAATGGTGTTGAAAACGAAGCATGGAATGCAATAGACCAACTGCTCCGGCTTAATTATTGGAAGCGTGTCTGGACGCTCCAAGAAAGGGTCCTGGCGAAGAGATTGTGGTACATGGTTGGCTCGAGCATCGTAGATGAACAATACTTCGAAGAAGTGGAGGCTTTGCTCACGAATATCGTATCCGGCATTGTACCAAAACCCTGGTTCTATTCTGACATAACATGGGGCATTTTGTCAACGGAAATGTATTTTCCCCTGGTTAGGAGAATGTTCTTCAACGGAGTCGTAGCGAGCGCAGGTGAAAAGAGTGACGCCCTTCAGAGCTTTTTTGTCACGATTCGCTATCGAGCTACAGACCCACGAGACAAGATTTATGCGGTACTCGGGCTGTATGGCCATCTCATGGACGACGACTCATTACTCCCGAACTATCGGCTCTCGGTGGAAACGCTCTACTGCAATTTCGGCCGGGCCTATATACGCAGTACTGGAAATCACGAGCTCCTTTGTTTTTCCGGCTCGGGTCACGACATTCCACGCAACTATGATCTTCCGTCCTGGATACCTGACTGGGACGGAGTCTCGAAGTCGACCGGATTTCTCTTGGCACCATATCAGTTCCACGCCGACGGAGACCTTCGCACGCTTGTAAAGAGTCGGTCTTACGTCAGCGACCGGGATGAGCTCCATCTGTATGGAAGCGTTTGCGACACAGTGTTTGAAATGGAGCCTATGATGTTGTTCCCTTCAGACGACTTCGATCAGTTTTGCTCAACCTACTGCTTTTCGCATGGACACAGATACAAAACAGGCATACCTCTAATTCAAGCGCTTCTTCGCACATTGAAACTAGACCCGAATGCGAAGAGGGAATCTTTCAACCATGAAGTTGACTTGGAAAAATCACTGAGGGAAGTGATGACCTTTATTCGGGTACCTTTCCGTGCAATGACGCAAGAGGGAAAAGAACTTGCGTTGACCGGATTTCTAAATGACTTTTTGGCATGTTCGTCAGACCGCGGACAAAATCGATATACCAAACTTCGGAGCTTGAGGAATATCATGGAGAAGTTTGAGGAAGGGACGATGTACATTCCTATATTAGCTGAGATTACGCTAGCGCTTTCAAGTCTTCGGCTGTTTCACACCGCGACCGGTTTCCTTGGCCTAGCTCCCGAGAAGTCACTTCCTGGCGATCTGGTCTGTGCAATCCGGAAATGCTCGTTTCCTATATTGCTCCGGAAGGAGCAATCACACTATGTTCATGTTGGTCCCTGTTTCGTCCTTGGACTCATGAATGGGGAAGTCGACGAGCTCATTGAGAGTGGAACGAGTTTTATTCAGGAGTTTGTGGTGTTTTGAACCCAGCGGTCCGACAAGAGCAGGCAGATGAACGGCACTGCGGAATAGGAGACGTTGAAGAGATCGATTGAACGAACACTGATGGGACCAGCGCGTGGTCCAAGGCAGCGACGAAGTCGCCAGCTATACGACGAGCGTTGTGACAGGCAAGGCGCGCACCGAAGTTAAGAGGAGTAGCGGATTCACCGGGAGATCCATTGGCGCTCCACAGAGGCGGCAAAAGGACTGTGCTTGTGGCGAACTCGATGTCGCTTCAGACTATATGGCTGGAACTGTGCGATCATCGGCCTATAGGATCCTTCCATCAAGCGCAGTAACATTGCGAGCCCAACCTCAAGGGTGCCACATCTACGACGTCGGGAACGCACCTCCAATGCCCTTTGCAACATATTCAGCGTCCTTATTCCTCTCGCCCCAATCTAGAATACCCTTCCGGAGACCTCCAATCAATCCCTTGTTCAACGCGTCCTCATCAAAGCTCACACGATGCGGCCACCAAGCCAGCAACTCTTCCGCTCTTGCTCCCCTCTCCGCATCCAGTAGTCCCACGGCAATATCGACTAAACTAGGTCTCTCGTCGCCATCCCAGAAGATGTTGGCACCACATGTCCCGCAGAAGGTTCTCGTGACATTGTGCGAGCTGCGGTACGTCTTCATGGTGCCCCAATACGGATTCCGCTTGAATGCTTGGGTACCGGCGGCGTCGAGGGTCACGTTAGTGGCAGGTATGAAGGCCCAGAATGTGATGTCGAAGCCAGAGGAGCGTCGACAGGAGTCGCATGCACAAGTCCCGGCGAGGAAGCGGCCGTGGCCCGGTAGCCACCATGGATGATTGTTTGGGTTTGCAGAGGAGCCGGTGCGGTAGGGAACGAGGAGGTCCGCGTAGGGCGATTCGGCACTTTTGGAGGCTTCGTTTGGAGGGCTGATGTAGAATTCCACGCCTTTGCAGTGGCAGTGCGCATAGATTCTTTCTTGTTTGTCGACTTTTGTGGTAGAAGGTGGGGCATGCCATTCGAGAGGTACCAGTTCGCTTTGTCCGGGCTCTTGCAGGTATCGCTTCGGTTCCTTCCCGTTGATGTGCGTGATGAACTGACTTGCGCCTCCATCAGGCGTGTCCGCGATCCAGATATGCGCTCTATAGTCGACTATGTCGTCCGTAGAGTCGACATGTAACGCACCCGTTGCAGCCTCAAAATGGCCGTCGTGGTTGTACTCAAGGTACATCTGCGTGCCACATGTCGAGCAGAAGTACCGCGTCAGAACGTCCGAGCTCTTGTAGCGCGTCAGCGCAGTCACATCGGGCTTCGGTGGATTCGAGCCGTGAGTGATGTTCACGTAGCTCGTGAGTAGGGAGCCGGATATCCGACGTGAGATGTTACAGCTACAGAGGTGTGTGGGGAGGGGGAGGGAAGTGGTGGGGACGTTGAAGGTGTGTGTTGCCGCACCGCACATGCAGGACACAGCGAGCTCTCTGAGGTCTGACATGTATGCTGGCTAAGGATGGAATGGATGGAAAGGGAGGGGAGGATAGCGGATGCATGTATGCCTACTTATGGTAGGAGTCGCGAAGCTACCCCGCATTATCTGACGTTGAAGGAGTATTGATCGCGAGATACGAACAGGAGCCAAATGACCTCACACTCGTTGCGTACACGTCACCAGGCATTGCGAAGCTATTCAACCTGTATATGCATAAGCATTGTTTTGGAGCTATGATGTTGAAGTGCAAAGTGCAACGACAGGACGCGGTGCCCAGTTCCCTACCTGTCGATCGTATACTAGACCCTGAGTAGTCTAGCGTCATAAAGTCTTCATTTAGGCAATGCACGAGACCGGCTCCTCGACAGCACCCTTCTTCATCGGATCCAGCATCCGCTTCACCCCTGATTACTCCACGTGTGCTCGCTGGGCTATGGATCCAAGCACGCAGCACCTTTCGCTTCAATCTTTCGGGACTTTCACGAAAACTTCGCGCAAAACCTACCACAATGAGTAGTTGTACGGCAGCACGCAGTCCTCTTCACAAAGGCACCCGGATGGCGTAAGCCCGAACCGCTGAATTACCTGAAAGGAATTGAACGAAGTTGGCAGGGCTAATGTATACACGCTTAACCCTGCCCATAAGCCATGTGGGCATTGGTCGGAAGTGCCCATCACACCTCAGCTGGCGGCGATCGCGAGCTGCTGTGTTACAATAGCCAGCACATTTGGCCGGATTTCCAGGTTAGCCCACGACTTTCCAGGGCAATACTCGGGTACCGGATTCGCCTTCTAAATCCCATCCGGGCTGCTGGATCGCGATGCACGAATAGCCGACGTGCGACATTCAGGGGGATGGTCTTTTGTTGTGTAGTAGGGCGTCTTACTTACGCCACGCGGGTCTGCCTTACAGCTTTCTGACTGTCTTCATTTACGGTGTGAGGCAATAGGCGGACTGCCATTCGTATAAGAGAATGTATAGTCCGGGAGTGCGAGCCTTTGTTTCGTCCCCCGCCCAAGACGATTTCGAACCTCTGCTCGATTGAGCGGGAACAGCAAATCGTTCGACTGCAATGAAGTACGCCTTTTTCGCACTCCTCAGTGTTGCCGCATTCTTTCAGAGCACGATCCAGGACTGCGTACAATGCTCGACCGAGCAACCCACGACTATTGCGCCTCATAGAAACGTATGGCGCCCTTTATCTGACAAGGAAGTTTCGAGTGTTTCGGACGTCCTGGTTCAGAAGCTCAATGTGACAACGGCTCCAGATGGCAGGTAATACAACTTCCAGTGCTCACAAGAAAGACTATGCTAACCCATATTCAGTGGAAGGGATAATGTAATGTACGGCCCGATCCCATGAAACCTGATCTTCGTCATCTGACGACGATGCAGTCTCCAGATAGATCTGCTCCAACCGAACAAAAGCGCCGTGCTTCCATTTCTCAGCGGTGACGTGGGTGAACCGAAACGGTACGCGCGTGCTACTGTCCAGTTCGGCTCCTTCGAAGAGCCTTACCTACAGGAGTATATGATAGGGCCCTTACCCGCCACGAACGCAACCGCAGTGCAACCGCTCAGCTTTCCTTTCAACAATAATCCCCCAGGAAAGAGCAGAATAGCTTCCATTCTGACCTTGGATCCTAGCCCCTTCCTTCTGCAGCTTAGTTCTGATATAGAGGATATCACTAGGGAGCTATGGAACACAGTGCGTAGCTGAATTTCCTTGTGGTGGTTTCGGCTCACTTTTGAAGACTATAGCGGAAGGCGGCGTTCTTCCACGAACTGGAACGGTTTCCTTCGAGGACGATGGGACCCAATCTGTATGGGCTACACTGCTGGGACCACCAACCTCCGGATTTGACAGCCTCAGCATTCTACCGCTGGGCGTGTTCGTCCGCCTTGATGTAACAAGCCGCGACTGGAAGGAATGGCATATCGCTGGGTGGTTTTACCACATGAAGATGTATGATAGCACCGACGCCTTCAGAGATGCCATCTTCTCCCCCGGATTCGAAAAGCCTCCACCCAATGTGGACGGAACTTGGACTTCTACTGACAAGCGAGGTCATCCTCTACCCATGGATGAGCTGCCTCCACCAATCCCTGCTTCCGAGGGTAAGAAGCGGTTTACCATCGACGAGAAGGAGGGCTTCGCGTCTTGGATGGATTTCACCTTCTTCATGGTATCCTCCACTGACCAAGGCCTTGCGCTCTTCGACATAAAGTATAAAGGGGAAAGGGTCATCTACGAGCTAGCACTGCAGGAAGCTCTCGCGCATTATGCAGGGGCCGATCCCGTCCAATCTGAAACGGTGTATTTCGACAGTCAAGGAGGGCTGGGCAGGACAATGGTACCTCTCACCAAAGGATTCGATTGCCCTTCCTATGCGACATATCTGAATGCTACCTGGACCAGTACTGCCGGCGTTACGACTGTACCAAATGCCATCTGTCTCTTCGAATTTGACAATGGCTATCCGATTCGCAGACATTCCGCTCCGACCTACACTAGCGTCGCGAAGAACATCATGTTCACCGTACGTACAATCTCGACCGTGGGGAACTACGACTACCTATTCGATTATAACTTCTTCCTTGATGGTGCCATCGAGGTAACAGCTCGAGCATCGGGATACATTTCGGCTGCCTACTATCTCGACAACGAAGAGTATGGGTTCCGAATCCACGACTATCTCTCCGGATCGCTGCACGATCATGTCATGACGTTCAAGGTGGACTTTGATATCTTGGGAGAGAAGAATAGTTTTCAAAAGGTTGAGATCGTGCCCGCTACCGTCGAGTGAGTCCTTAATTGCCGTAGTCGCTAATTTGAGCCCAAGCTTACCAATTCGGCAGTTACCCTTGGTCTCAGGGGCCCCGCAACACCATGAAGCTCATGAAGAGCTTCGTGACCAGCGAGGCAGACTCCAGCATCAACTGGGTGCCGAACGATGCAGCCATGTACGCTATCGTGAACAAGGACACTCCAAACAAATATGGAGAGTATCCCGGCTACAGAGTGAAAAGAAGTACGTCTTCTCTCTATCCGCGTCTTCTCGTATAGAAGCCGAGATATGCAAGGGTTGGATACTAACTGTTTATAGCTGTGGGGGCAACGCATCTAACCGTCCAGAACTCTTCAGATGCGCGCAACGCGATCTACTACGCAACCAGCGACCTATTCATCACGAAGCAAAAAGACACGGAGCCTCGATGCGCGGACCGGAACAATCCATACGATGTCCAAGACCCGCTTGTCAATTTCGAGAAGTTTCTGGACGGTGAGAGCCTGGATCAAGAAGACCTGTACGTTCCGTAATCCCTTTCATGCTCTTTACTGCACTGACGGATATGCAAAGGGTCCTTTGGTTTAATCTCGGCATGCATCACGTTCCGCACACTGGCGATCTTCCCAACACGCTCATGTCGTCCGCCCATTCAGGCATGCGGCTCGAGCCTTTAAACTACTTGCTGGATGATCCGACGGTGCAGACTAGTCAGGCGGTTAAGATCAATCAGACAAGCGAGGAGGTGGTGACGTTTGGAGCGCAGGAGGCGAACTGTTCGGTTGACTTGGTGAGCTTGCTAACAAACGCTTGAGAAGAACACTGGGAGCTGACGTATTGGGCAGAGTGCCTTGAATGGCGTCGCCTTGTAGGATCCATTCGTTCGGCGGGGCTAATAATAGATCGCAGGTCATGGAGAGCTTGAGCCGGTTATGCATACACATTGTAATCTATACTATCTGAGGAATCTGCTCCAACGCAATCCCGTGTTCCCACTAATCCTAATCCTTTCCCGAAACCTTCTTGCTGATCAACATCTGTGTAGCAGCATCCGAACCATATTCGCGCCACCAGAAGCCATCGCCTCCATTCCACCGACGCGGAGCTCTGTGACTGAACGGGCGGGGGATGAACTCTTCGCTATCCTCAGACCGAGCGCGCGCGTAGCGCGGCGATGGCGACCTTCGCCTCGGGAAACGGCCTCTCATATCCGGTCTCGCGGGTCGCCCGTCTATCGGCCGCTCGTCGTCGAATCGCTTTGAGAGATCAACCACGGCTCCATTGAGAGTGCCGATGGCGTTGCACAGGATCTCGATCACTCTTGGCGTGTCGATTGGCGTGCGCATGGGGCCATTGGATGCAGGGGTTGGCGGGGGAGGAGCGTTATTGTTGCTTAGGGTCCTGGCTTGTCCTTGGGCCTGGGCCTGGTTCTTGGAGTGGAGGTTACATATGGCGCGGTATTGAAGGTATCCGGCGGCGAAGGGAGCTACTGCGGCGCAGATGCGTAGGAGGAGCATGAGCGTGTTCGTGGACCAGGCGTCGGAGGCCATCTTTGCAGCTGGAGGTTCAGATGCCTGGAATGGAAGACTGGAGTGCGATGAGAGGCGCAGGTATGGGATGTAGTAACGGGTATATATGTTAGAGTATTCAGACGTGTTGGTTTGTAACATGGCAAGCGGTATGTATGCCGTTCATTGTTCGTCGTTGGTTGCTCTACAACAAACAGTCCATGGGGATTGGGATGGCTATCCGGCGAAGCTACGTGTGCTGTGGAGAGCAAAGAACTAGATGCGTCCCGAACAAACATGAGCTGTAGTTACTGTGTGGGACTTACACGGGCCGGTGCAGGCCAGGCATATCTATCGAAACGTCAGTTTAGCTAGAAGTGGAAAATCCTCAGTGCCTAGCCTTATCATATCCACTCCTCTCACATTATCTCGCCCCGTACACCCCTCACCCCTTCCCACGCCTCTTCCGCCAACCTCACCACTTCATCTTCCAACCTCCCCTTCCGAATAAACCCCACCGTCTCAACAATCTGCTCATTCCTACTCGCTCCCAGAATGATCCCATCCTCTTCACGCAGCGCAGAATGGTGTGCCAACCACCTAACTGCAACTTCCGCGGGCGTCAGCCCATGCCGCCTCGCTCCCTCATCGAATTTCTTCATCGCCACCAGGAGCTCCTCGGAGCCGAACATCTTCTGAACCACTTTCCCGATTGGGTTATCGTCCACGAAGCGCGTTCCGGCGTGCTGGTTATGGAGCAGTTTGCCGGTTAGGAAGCCGGCTGCTAGGGGCCTGTAGGCGGGTTAGCTGGGGCGGGAGAGGAGGCGTGGTGCTGGGGAGAACGTGCTGGAAAGAGTTGAATGCCATGCCGTGAGCGCGCAGGATGGGGAGGAGTTTTGTTTTCATGCCCCGCGTGATGACGTTGTAGGGTCCTTGGTAGCAGCTTGGTTTCTGCCATCCGTTTTGCTCACATAGTTGGAGGATTTTTTCGAGCATTGCTGGCGGGACGTTGGATACGCCCCACTACGAGTGATTGCATGGTTAGATGAATAGATAGAAGGAATTTAGAGCTCAGACGGGGAACTTACAGCCTTGCAATGTCCTTGCTTGATCTGCTCGTTGAAGTTCTGGATCTGCTCTTCTAGCGGCGTCTCCGGGTCCGCGCGATGCGCATAGAGTACATTTACTCCGCCATCTCTCTTTAGCCTTTGTAAGCTCTCCGTGACGGACTTTTCCATATTCTCTTTACTCAAATCTCCACTTCCGTCTTTTGCCGTGTCGGTGTAGATCTTGGTGTCTACTTCAAACCCCTTGCTCAGCTCCGCGGTTTCGCCGATCAAACTTTCCGACTGGCCTGGATATAGGGGCGGATACCGCGCTGCTGTGTCTAGCCTCTTGATATTGAGGGATTGCAGCGTGGTCAGCAGGTCGCGGACGGATGCAGCGTCTTGGAACGAGGGGGGATCCATGCCGAAGGTGGCGGTGCCGAAAATGAGGTTTGGTGCCATTTCTCTATCTAATAAGTATCGTGTGATGCGATTGCGAAGTTGTCTACGAGCCGTGGGTTTGGAGAGGTGGGGTCGGAGTAAGCAACTTTGAGGCCACGCCGGGTTGCGGCGTAGGTACTTATAGCGTGCGGAATAGTGCGGAATTCCGCGATTCTTTAGATTTCGACAGACCTGCAGTACTACCATTCCTCACATGTATTCCACACTCCATTATGGATTACTACATACGTTTATGGATGCTTGGATACGTAATTGGCTCTTCATGAGAGTAGTCTCGTCTGATATGCTTCGTTTGGTAGGAAGCCTAACAGTTCCGATTTGAATTTTGTCTATCCTGTGGGAAAAACGGCCCGCATTTTTTCTCTATCCTAAAGGTTGCACGCGCCTGCGACCACAGCAGTTAAGGTTGCAGGTTTATTCACTCCGAGCAAACCCCTCCTTGTGAAAACGGAACAAATGGTCATCAAACTGCTCCATGCTCTGAAATGGAGGTCTCTGTGTGCACTCGCCATATCGGCAAGTTAAATTGTCGTCTCGATGTGTTGTTTCAGGGTGCTTCAACATGATGTGGAGCCACAGATCGTAGAAGCTCTCACAAGATTGTGAGCAATGTTGGCAAGTATTGCCCTCGGCGACACTCGTGCTATCAAAAAGCTTAGTCATCTGTTTGAGTGGGGCTAGGCAACATGCACCTACATTGGAATCTGGTACCTCCCTGGAGTTATCGAGGCCCTGTCCGTTTCATTCATCGGAAGAGCTCTAAGCAATAATTAGAGATGATAGACCCGCGAAACCGGGGAGCACTTACATTAGGAGTTTACAATCTTCCCCGTTGCCTCGCCAAGGGTCGAGACATTCACATTCACGCTCTACTCGCAGACCACCTCCTGAGTGTTTTTCATGTAGCTCAAATATAGACCTCGTGGCTTGAAACGCAGATGGGCGTGCGTCGGGATCATATAGTATCATACTCCGACAACACTTAATGAATTCCCGGAGAAAAGGTGATGGTAGACGGCCGTGGGCGTCAAGGTCTGCTAGCAATGCTTGCCTCTGCGAAAGCTGGCGACTGTGGGGCGGCGGACGCTCCCCCAAGGGCGGACCACTCGCAGTGGCCATCATCTCGATGTAAACGCATCCCAAAGAGAAGACGTCCGCTTTCGGGCCAAACGGCTGCTGCATCTCGACTTCAGGCGCCCTATAGATGTCCTCCCCGATGTTTGGGTCGGGATCGCCCTTCGTAAGCATGTGGGTCCCTTTGAAATGGTTTGAGATCGCGAACTCTGTGAAGAAGATCTCGCCTTTTTTTAACAGGAGAGCTGAAGGGTTGATCCCTCCATGAACGACATCTTTCGCATGCACGTAACTCAACGCGCTTGCTAGGCAGCCAATCCATTTTTTCACGTCCTTCAGCAGCTGTTCCCTGAAGCGATCGGTGTTCGTAGCATTCTTGAGGAAGGACGAAAGGGTATATTTTGGAAGAGGGTTCATGAGAATTCCATAACGAAGTACATGGAATCCGACCTCCTCCTCGTATGTCATCACAATTATAGGAAGATGTGGATGACTAAGGGCCCTTGCTGATTCGAGCCGTACGAGTTCGTTGGTCATAATGGCTCCATGTTGACGACTTCCCAAAGTGAGCACCTTGCGCGCATACACTCTGCCAGGAAAATAATGCTGCTCGTCCGCGGGTTCAACCTCGTCCACCGCACCATCGTGGCCCCCACCTAGATCTGATATGTGTTTGAACAGGAAGGCACCCGGCGGGACAACCCGGTGCGTCGGTATCACTACAGATCTTTGATCCCGAGCCTGTTTCTTAAACGACTCCTCTGTATGCTGAGGAAATATGAATTTCATCTCGACTTCTCTTTGACCATCCTTCATTTGACACCGGTAGATTCGGCCATTCGTGGCAGCTGGTGGCGCGCATTCCGGGCTTTTAGATGGGCCTGAATCGCTCCGACGAGCTTGTGCATTGCTACTTCTGTACATGCGTTGGGGGCTAGGCGCCCCTGAGGTGGGACTTCGTTCGTGTAACTCAGGTTCTGATTCGGTTCTTTTGCGTTTACTGGCCTGTGGTGGAGTATGCGACAGCGGTGTGGGGTGGTCGGTACGTGAGATTGGGTCTCTACGGCCAAGATTGCTGTTGGATTCCGAAGCCGAGTTTTGTACAGCAGACTGGGGGTCCATCTCTTGTCTTGGAATCAACTCTCGCTTTTTGTTCTGCTGCTCCAGCAACATGAGTTGCATCTGATAGTCTTGCCTTGCCCACGACAACACCTGTTTGTTCCGCTGCTCCAACAACATAACCTGCCTCTGATACTCTGCTAAAGAATTCTCTTGGGTTCCTGCCGCTCTTCCTGATGCAGATGTAACCTTACCATCTTGATGACTGCCCTGATACGCCGTAGAGAGCCGCCCTTTCTCGACACTATCTGTCGCAGTCTGGTCCTCGGAGAAGGTTGATTGCTTCGGTAGCTTGGGGTCTGTATCTTTGCTTCGACTGCGAGGAGCACTTTGTCGGCCGTCCTGGTTCGCATTTTGTAGGGCATGATCTCCCTGGCCTTCACTAGCGCGCCGGTCGCCCTCGGTTGGAGTGTTCCGCATTGGAGGTATACTTCAGGAAGATCCTGAATAAATTTTGGCAGACGACTCAAAAAGCACCCTAGGTGTAGCAAACGTTAAGTTTGGGAAGTAGGGCAAAAATGCAGACTTTCTATGAAGTATATATGAAGCGTGGAAGTGAAAAAGCGGGGAAGCGGGGGAGCGAGAAAAGAAAGGTTGGTGTTGCACAAGGAGCTTATCTCATCATTTTGGCGATCCAGTCGCAGGTCACCCCACAAGATGTTAGAGGAAGTCAACTGAACAGGCGACTTCCCGGTTTCGACAAAAATGGGACCCCTCAACAATACATATTCTTCCAGAATTCTTGCCCTTTCTGACTCATGATACAGCACAGGTTCCTCAGGGGCCCCTTGGCCAATAAGGGTTATCGGAATCTTCCTGTGCGCAAAAGCCGAATTGGCTTTGCAAAGGACTGCCTTGGAGGGCAGGGTAGATGTTTATTAGCTCTATATGCTATCTGCATGCTATAATGCATGGCTAGATGTCTCGGGAGCTAGTCTTGGAGCAAGGAGTGGAAAGAGGAGACCTTCGTTTGTAGTGAAATCTGCTTGGAGGGCAGTATGGCACTACTGCACCCTTGGCCTGTGGATTGCCATCCTAGCGTTCTTGGACAAGTAAGCCATTGCAGTAGATGCAAGTATTAAGACATATCTACTCTAAAAATAGGCCTCTAAGAGAATTAGTATAAGCGTTAGTGTACTTATTACAAGTAGCAAATGAAGCTAAACGACGATTTATTCGAATTCTTCACGTATTGACGGCCTCGCGGCTGGCGCATACAACACTATTTCATACTTATTTGGCGCGACCGAGGGGCTCACAAGGGGAAAAGGGTTTTTTTTGTTTTGTGTTTTGCAACATCTTAGACATATGACCGCAGTTAGATCTTAATCCACCCATTGCCATTCCCCTACTCTCCCTTACGAAGACGGAACCTCATCGATCCATGGAATTGACGACTGAGCCCCAGCCTTCTGTACCGTCATGGATGCGGCTCGATTCGCATAACTAATCGCTGCATCGAGGTCGAAATCCGCACCCTGCGACATGATTTCCCAACGAGCAACAGCCACCGTGTATGCGCCGACGAAAGTGTCGCCCGCGGCTGTTGTGTCGACGACTTTGACCTTTCTTGCTGGCACGAGACGGCCAGGCTGGGATTGCGCCTGCTGTTTGTCCGTCTGGTAGTATACTCCCTGAGTAATTGGTTAGTGATAATGCAGGGGAGCAAGATACGATCGGACGTACCTCTCCACCGAGAGTGATGATGATGTTCTTGACGCCTCGCGCAACGAAGACGGCAGCCACTTCATCCCAGTTCGTGGGGTTCTCAATGCCAGAGAGAATAGCGGCTTCTGTTTCGTTAACGATGAGGTGCCCGAGTCCTTGGTACGCGTCTTCGGGAAGCGGCGTTGCTGGTGCTGGGTTGATGATGGTTTCAACGCCTTTGCTACGAGCTACCTTCATATTGTGCAGGACCTGGGACTCCACTCAGCATCCGGGCTACGACTCCATCGAAACTGTGAGATACAAGAATGAGTAGACATACCACACCCAATGGCAACTCCAGCTGGAACAGCACAACCGAAGCATCATCATCCACCAAATCCGTAACCTCAACGTCATAATTCGCCCCCGGACAAAACATAATCCTATTCTCCCCGCTTCCAGTCTCGACGATAATCACCGCAACGCCCGTCTTCTTGCCCTTCAGCACCTTCACTCCATCCGTCTTCAGCCCATCTTTCTGCAAGCTCTTCAGGAAACCACCCGCGAACTCGTCATCGCCAACAGCGCCTACCATGCGGACTTCCACATTAGACGCTTCGCCATCTGAGGCCTGCTTCTGCGTTCTAGATAGACGCGCACAGGCTACGGCTTGATTGGCTCCCTTGCCTCCGAACCCGATGTCGAAGGATTCGGAGGTGAGTGTTTCGCCGCCTACGGGGACGCGGGGCGTGCGGGTGACGAGGTCGACATTGAGGGAGCCAATGACTGATACGACAGCGGGTTTTGAGGGCATTTTTGGCGGGTGAGATGGCGATTTGCAGGGGCTGAGGTGATTGATGAAATGTTGTGAGGCCGTTCGCGTCGGTAACGCTAGGCTGTTTTTGGGTTGGCTCCAGGTCTAGCGTAAGCGACCCGTGGACGGCTTATGCGTCGGCGCTGCTGTAGTGACTCGCACTTCATCTCAAACATCATTGTCTTTACGGCACAGAATCAAAATACGCAGCACTTGTAAATCCAGGCAAGGAAAGGCTTCAATGAGAGTGTCGGAAGAGTTGCTTCACCCGAACCCACAGGAGCACCCCTACGTCTGCCTTCTTCATTCTGGTACGGTATTACTGTCGGTGTTCATTGGTAGCCATGGACTGTATCGAAAAAAGTCCTGCCTAGATCACGCAGACTTCATTCCAAAGTTAGATATAACCGAGCAAGTGCGATATAATCTCTTATATATCAATCCATTACTGATTATATTATGTAGGTTCATTTAGGAGCGTCCTCAAAGTACTGCTTAGAGCAGCATCCAAGGTTCAAGCAGCTCTGGTTTGAGCTTGGCGAGCTAAGATATCTGTCTTTGGTATTTTTGCTTGTACCGCTCCTCAACCCATCAGAAGACCAACTAAGCGGAGGCCTCCAAATTGGGGACCTCTGCGATAACCCCTGCGCGCGAACGATAGCAAGAAATCGGGATGACGCGTGGGTCTATACAAATAGCGCGTTCATCAGAATTCACGATCCGTGATTGTTGCTGCCGGTCGAAGTTGACACCTCGACTCTGGATAGGAGACGCAGGTATCCGGCCCATGGGATGCTGGCGGACCACCTGCCGAATATCTGCGACTGCGTCTGCATGACGAAGCAGTCGCCTAGCGCCTGGATAAGGTGTGTCGGCGCGAACTAGACGCGTGCGTCGAGGTTCAGGCGTTGGGCCGGGGAAGTCTGTGGGACCGGCGTCCTCACCTGCGATTGGGGAAGCGGCTTGCTGCTCTGCGGCAAGGCCTACCCTATGGCCATGGTCGTACTGTAGGAACATAATTGCAGGCATAAGAGCGCTCTGAAGGTTAGGCTTCGGGATTGGCACTTTGGCGAAGTACTGGTCGATCTGTTCACCTCCGGTATCAGAGGAACAGCCGCTGAGATAGGAGCTATAACTGGAACCGGTTCCCTCCCAAGACTGCGTCTCGGAAACCGACGCAGAAGTCGAGACTTCGAAGTACTCATCTACGCCAACCCGGCCTTGTTGGAGTGGACGACGCACCTCCTTGCCAGGAAGACGGAAGTAGTGGTCTAGAGGAACGGAGCCATATGCGTATGGAGAAGCCCGCAGTATCCGAAAGGGCGGAGCGCTGCACGCTTTCGGGAGAGCTGTCTGCAGCAAATGTCCAGGGAGAGACACGGAAGAAAAGACAGCAGAGACAAAAGAGCCCGCCACACCCTCAGGCTCTTCATCTCCAGCTCGATCGACGCGCTCTCCAGCAAGACCAACGCAACGGAACGACATCGGGCTCCCCTCATCCTCATCCGCCCGACCCTCGCCCATCGCAGACATCTCCCGAAGCAACCGCTCCGCCCGCCGCTGCGCCTCCACCGCAGCCCGCACCACCTCCTCCCGCTCCATCCTCTCCCTAACCGCCCTCCGCCTCGCCCGCCCATCAAGCCAGCTCCTAGCGCGCAGCATACGCCGGCTCGCAGACCCCAGCACAAGCGCGCGATTCGCATCATAGTCCTGCATTTCCTCGCACGCGAAGCTATCGCACAGCACGCGCCGCGTCATCTCACGCAGCCCAGACGGGTTCTGCAGCTTGCAGACTGCCGCGCGCGCAGTGAGTACCTCCTTCGGTGCTGCTGGGCTGGTTGTCAGCGAGGGGCCGGACGGCCAGAAGGGGTAGTTGACTTGGTGCGTTAACCAGGGAGTGGAGGGGTTGGGCGGGAGAAGGGAGCGCAGGTGGGTGTTGGTTGCTGCGGAGGCCGAGCACTCTAACACTAGGGTGTGTTCTTCATGCTCATCATCCTCCGCTACTTCGAACGCATCCGAGGAGGGATCAACTTCACCGACGACCTCCTGCTGTATATCTTGCAGGTGGTCAAATGGACCGGCCATTTGCTGGTTGTTAGTAAGCCTGGCTAACACGTTGCCCATGATGAACGAGTAGCGGTTAGGATTGTGAATGTATATTAGTTGGGATGGGGGAGCAGTCAGTAGGAGAGCCGCCGGGTCATGTGAGGGGGCGGGTTATATAGGAAAATAGAGAGGGAGTGCACAAGACGGGAAGACAATGTTGTGGAGGTATGCGGGCATTGTGTGGTCGGCGATGGGATCGCGGGTTATGCCTCACATTGGGCGAGGAGTAGGCTGAAGAGAAGTGTTAACAATGTTGGACTGCGAGATGCGCGCATTAGAAAACAGTGTATTGACGTCTTAAGCAAAAGCGTTACATGTAATTCCACAGTGACGCCAGCGTGCCATACCAGACCAATGTAATGCCAGCTCATCAACCCGTTATGCTCTCTCATCCAGCAGTCATATCCAAAACAAGCCTCCAACGCCAACCCCTCGATGCTCCCTGTAGTAGACACAGTCGAGAAGGATCACTCTATGCGCTACTCCTGAACACGACACTTCCACCATGCCGCCAACGTATCGTCTCTCTCGCTGCCATGATATGCAGCGCTCGTCCCAGTGCCTGCTCCGAATATCCCTTTCCATCCACCATTTCGCGCTTGAGCGTCGATAGGTTGACCTGCCAGCCGATGGGCATGCGGCGCCGCAGTTCCTCCTCGACTTTGTTGACTTCGTCCATGAGCTCCTTCGAGCCTTGGCCTTCGCCGTGGTTCACAGCATCCATTGTGGAAGCCAGGAACAGGCGGATCGCCTCGTCGACATGCGACTCATCGGCGACCGGGGAGAGCGAGAGTTTCGCCAGAGACTCGGTGATACGGATGATGGCTTCGAGCTGTCGGACCGTAATGGGGATGGAAGAGCGCTGGTTCGCGTTCATCTCCGAGGCGTGGACCTGCCTTCGAATGCTCACAAAGTGCGAGCTTAGTTTTTCAGCAGCCTCGGGAGAGAGACGTGGTGCACACCTCGACCGGCAGTAAGTGATGTAGCGCTTCATTTTCTCGATCGGGATCTCGGCTTGCACAGTCTCTTCGACTCCGCGTCCGCCCATCGCGATACCCATGACGTGCTTGGCTATCCGCTCATCGCGGCCGCGCTCGTGCTCGTCTCGCACGATGAATATCATGTCGAAACGGGACAAGATCGTGGTCTGGAAGTCGATGTTCTCGCCCGGCGTCTTCATATCGTCGTACCTTCCAAAGATGGGGTTGGCGGCCGCGAGGACCGAAGTTCGAGAGTTGAGAATGGTGGTGATACCGGCTTTCGCAATGGAAATAGTTTGCTGTTCCATTGCCTCGTGGATAGCGACACGATCCTCGTCGCGCATCTTGTCGAACTCATCGATACAGACAACACCACCATCTGCTAGCACCATGGCTCCACCCTCGAGGTAGAATTCTCGCGTGTTGTGGTCGCGCTGGACGGAGGCTGTGAGACCGGCAGCTGACGAACCTTTGCCAGAGGTGTACACGGAAATTGGGGAGACCTTTTCGACGAACTTTAGGAGCTGTGACTTTGCAGTACCGGGGTCACCTAGGAGAAGCACGTTGATGTCGCCACGCAGTTTCATGCCATCGGGCAGAATCTTCTTGGAGCCGCCCATCAGCAGACATGCGATCGCTTTCTTGATATCCTTGTTTCCGTAAATTGATGGAGCGATGCAGTTGGCGAAGACCTCGTAAATATCCGGTCTCCGGCTCATCTCAAGAAACTCCTGCTCTTCCTCTTCGGTGAACACCGCGTTGCCCTTGGCTGTATGGTCCACATCTGCATGAATACCGACAGCGCGAATGTACGGGTTCCGGATCGCGACCGCGGCATTCTGTGACCGCTTCGAGCCCTTCTGTTGGTAGATGGAGTAGACACCCATGACACTGCACCGAGTACCCGGCACTACGCGGTTGGCCAGATATCGGTCTGCCGAGATCATCATGTGGCGCGGGAGTTCACCGACTGGCACCTGATCCGGGGCCTCTTGCAGCTTGAGCACTTGCTGGTCAATGAACTGGCAGTGCTCGTGCATGACATAGTACGGATCAAGCGGACATTTGTCCGCGTTATCGCCTTCTGCACGCGTTCTTCCACAGGTTCTTGGGAGTGAGACGCCGGAAAAGCCGCCCGAGACTGGTAGGACCTCTTCATGCTGGCAATTTCGGCAGCGGATGGCGAGCGCAGTGGATTTTGAGGAGAGAGTGGAGGCGCCAATGACGATGCCGGGTATGCGAACGAGGCGCGAGACATGTGCGGCGGTTAGGTCGCGTATGGAGAGCTCGGAGGCGGAGGAGTGGAGGAGCAGCTGGTGCTCGGGGAGCTTCTGGTGCTCGGGGAGCTTGATGTTTCTCTGGGAGGGGTAGACGATGCGCTGTGTGCATGTTTTCAGAGCCGCTTCGAACTACGCCCAGTTAGCTCAATCAGCTTCGGAGAGAGCGCGGTTTTCCCACCAGAGGAATGAGTTCGGCGGGATCTTGTGTGAGCTTGTGCGCCAGCTCCTCGTCGTAGGAGATGAGGTGCGCGATGTCAATGTCGCAGTAGTACTGCTTCACAAGCACGTTCTCGCGAATCTGATCTCTATACCTCCATTAGAGAGCGTTCGCGGTGTCCTTACGGCGGCGCTTACCTGTAGATGAAGACATTGTCGAGGTGGAAGTCCATGACGAAGTCCACCAGCGCTTGCTGGATGCGCGCAGGGGCCGTCGCATCCTGGCGCTCGTCGTCTGCCTGGCTGCCGAAGAGGCTAATGGAGTAGGTTGTCTGTCTGTCGGCCATTGTGTTTGTGATGCGCGTTGCGGAGAGTTGAGGGGGCAGCAGGCGGTTCTGGGGGTCGGAGTGGGATAAAACGCGCGACGCGCCGCTCCTGAAAACGCGGTGGCCCGAGCGCGTCAATTACACTTCTGTTTTGGGACTAGCGCCGTAATCGATAAGATATGACACCTGGGCAGCGGACTCTCGATTCGACACGTCCTCGCGTCCTACAAATATCGGTTTCTACAGCAGGGGCTTTGAAACAGCCGTCTTCACCTCTAGATTACGATGCCTGAAGCTCGCCAGTGGCTTCTCGGCCTTCTCGCTACTCCTGGATCAAGGTTCGATGCTACTAGGATCGTTTCATACCAGTAGACAAGACATTCGGATTGCGATTAAGCAGCACTTTCATATCTAGCATGTCACATAGAATCGCATGCAAGCGGTAACACTGCTGCAAATGTCTCGGTAAGCCGACGCCGAGACCCTGCCACACGTTCTCGGGCCGATGCCCCCGGCTGAAGGCTTGGCGGATCATCACTCACGGAGGACGGAGCTCCAGGGCTGCACGTTTGGCAATGAACACGATTGACTTCTGAGCAGCCGCAAGCGCCAACTTTGGCCCTATTCCCAAGTTTTGCTTGCCCGACTTTATCATCTGGACCAGTACTCCTCGCTCGCCATGATATAGCGGTCCTCCTGAACGGCTTTGTCCTCTCCCTATGCCTCGACCACCCACGCACTCCCGACTTGCGCCTCGAACATGTCGTCCCCCTCTCCCCGGAGGTCCGTCGAGAGCTTCGAGTTCCTGTCGCCAAACCCGCCGCAGGGCCAGTTCCCCTTCCCCGCGCAGCATGACTGGACGAACCGACCGAATTCGACCGGCGGCCGCTATCAGCCACGTCGCGGCTCCACGGCTAGCTCGATACATTCTGTGGGAGGAGTACTGGACACTGCATTCAAGGGAAGCATGGGCCCGGTGAGAGAGCAGAATCACAATGGTATGCTGTTGCTTGCATGTCAAGCTGGCTTCGGAGGACCACGAGGCTAATTGTGCGCCAGCGATCTCAACCCTCCTGCAACCGCCCATCGTGCGGACGGGTATGCTGCCACACACCGCTGCTACTGCCATGTCCGGGCACAAGCCACCATCTACCAAAGACATCCCGCCTGTGACCCTCACCAACATCCCACACATCGAGCCGTCGGCCTTCAATCCCTACCTTTCACAGGTCGGCAACTTGTACGAAGCTTTCCAGCGCGCAAAGGCAGAAACAGAAGAGGCATCATCAGCCCTGCGAAGGGACTCCGCGAAGAAGGATGAGCTGACCGAGGCGCTCGAGCGTCGCCTGCAAACGGGCTCACCAGCAGAGACCCCTAAACCATCATCCGCAATTTTCTCTCCCGCAAGCACCCCGAAACCCAAGCGCCGAACGAGCGGATCGAAGCGCGCGCTGCCGACCATCACGCCGCTATCCACAATTCCAAACGTGTACTTTGACGAGAACTTCCACCTCGAAAACCCACGGACTTTCGACATTGTCAGCGAGCGATCGGAGGTCGTGCGGCCGATACGTACACAGAGCGCTGATGATATAAATTCTGCCAATGGGACGCTTGAGACTCCCCAGCCGTCAAGGAAGGCCCTAGCGACGAATGCGATACTGCAGGAGAAGCTCTCGTGGTACATGGACACCGTGGAGGTACATCTAATTTCGGCAATATCTACTGCGTCGTCATCTTTCTTTGCAGCACTGGGATCGTTGCGCGAGTTGCAGTCGGAAGCGTCAGACTCCGTCGCGAAGATAAAGACCGTTAGGGAAGACCTGGGCCGGCTGGACGAACAAATGGCGATAGGGGGCTTGAAGATTGTTGAAATGAAACGCCGCCGAGAGAATCTTAGGAGATTGACTGATGCTACCGATCAACTCCAGGCCGTCATTGCAGGCCTCTCTAGTTGCGACGACACGGTGGACAAGGGCGAACTTGAAACTGCTATGGCTCGACTGAAAATGATCGAACGACTGATATCCGGCGCTCTTGACACTACTGATCCCTCCCCGACATCCTGGATAGACTCTCGCTTGCCTCCAACAGTGATCGACCTCCGCAATCTCTGGGCTTTGGACGGTGTATCAGAAGGCATACAGCAACTGAGGTACCGTATTGGCAAAGGCTTCGAGGCACGGTTTCTGGAGACACTTCTCACAGACCTGAGGGAGCATGTGAAGAACGCATCGAGTAAGGACACCTTGCAAAGATGGATTACGACGACTCAAAGAGCTCGCGGGGAGCACCAAAGGATGAAGTCGGTGCTTCCGGCGTATTTGAGCACGAGCAACGCCTTACGCTCGGAGCTGCGCGCCAGCCTCGTGGGACTAAGCGGCTCCAATTTTACCAATCAAGCAAGTGCTACATTCCGAGACGCAATAGTACGAGAGATGAAGGTGCTCATCCGGAAATATCTCCCAAGCTCTACGGACGATGATGCGGAATCCATGACATCCGTCTCGACGAGGAGTGGCCGTGGACACAACCAACAAGACAAGAACTCGATACTCGCTCGAAATCTTCGTGCAATGGACCCCGCCGATGCCGAAGAGTTCTTTGTGAATATTTTTACAGACATCGGTGAAGCGATACGAAGACTCAGCGTCCAAGTCAAGGTGCTCCTTGATGTCACCAGTGGCGTCATGACTCCACCTGCATCCAGCGGCGGATTCCGTTCTCCTCCGAGGAGTCCTTATATGGGGAGCATTGATGGCTCTTTGGGCAAAGAAGTCAACCCAATGGATTCTGCTGCGCTGCAACAAGAGTTGATGCAGGCTCTGGATATGTCTAGTCTTCTTGGCCAGGCCGTTGATGCTGCGCAAACCCAGGTCACCAAATTGCTTAAAGTGCGTTCCGAAGCTACGACACAGATGCCTCTTGATCATTTTCTCAGATACTTCAACCTTTGCAGACTTTTCGCCGACGAATGCGAGGCTGTGTCTGGGCGCTCTGGCGCAGCTTTAAAGGGAGTAGTGAACAATCACATTATTGAGTTTGTGTCAAGATTTGGGGACATCGAGAAGCAGGACCTCACAAGGGTCATGGATTCAGATCGCTGGGAACCGAAGGACTTTGATGATCATGACGCAGAGGTGCTAGCGAGAATCCTCAAAGCCATGACGGCTGACCCAATGGAGTGGGCGCAAACAGGCGCTGTTTTGGGTGAAGCCAATGGACCAACGACCGTGAATGGTATCACACAGGAAACGAACGGGGTTCCTAACGAGAAAGAGAAGGGTAAGAATCCTGCACCGGCGATTGTGGACGAAGAGAAATACATAATATCCAACTCATCGACGGTGGTCCTTCGCGGCATCGAACGGTTCGAGATACTCCTGAGCGCCATACCCAGCATGACGTCCGAAGTATCGACCGCCCTCTGCGATTACATTAAGCTCTTCAATTCCCGTCTCTGCCAACTCATCCTCGGTGCCGGGGCTATGCACAGTGCCGGCCTCAAGAACATCAACACCAAGCATCTCGCAATCGCCTCGCAAACTCTTTCCTTCGTCATCGCTATTCTACCCTATATCCGCGAATGCGCACGAAGGCATGCCTCGGGCAACAAGCCAGTGCTCGGAGAGTTTGACAACGTCAAGCGTCTACTTCAAGACCAGCAGAGAGCAATCCACGATAAGCTCATTGATATCATGAGCAACCGCGCTACTGTGCATGCTCGCAACCTCAAGAAGATCGATTGGGACAACGAGCAAGAAACCAAGAAGGACGTCAGTCCGAATATGGAGACGCTTACCAAGGAGACGGTGACTCTCCACAAGGTCATCAACAAGTACCTACACGAGATCCAGGTCCGAATGATCATGGCGCCGGTCTTTGAGAGCTATCGCGAACAAATTGGGAAAGTCTTGAAGGACGCCACCGCAAAGACGGCGCCTGGCAAGCAAAGGTATGTGTACACTGTCGGTTAGATCAAATCGCTTAAAGCAATTGCTAATTGCAGTAGACTTCTCCGTGATGCAAAGCTGTTTGATGCGAAGCTCGGACAGATCGACGGCGCTGGTAATACGGGATCGTACCTTATCCAGCTTGTTGAGGCCAAGGCAGTGGCACAAAGCGAGCCTGAGCTGAAGAAGAGCGAAGAGAAGAAGCCAGTGGAAGAGACCGCGAAAAAAACATCTACCGAAGATGCCTCATGAACGGTCTCGCAGGTACACCTCCTCCCGATCCGCCTTGCCGGCTCAACGTCTATACGTTCCTTCCTCGACTGGACTCCTAGCATGTTTGATCACCTCGCCATTGGCTTCTCCGCGGACCTGTGACTTCGAAGAGTGGAAGTGACTACAAGGTTTCCTACAAGGCTACCACTTGTGATGAGGAGTATGCTCGTGCGATCGGCCCAGCGTAATGCCCGCCAGAGCGCGGTTTCCAGGAACAGAGACACCTGATCTGCAAACATGATTTGCCGAGAAGATGAAGAATCCGCTAACGGCGCCCAGACGCCGCTTCAACATTTATATGTATACTTGTGTAAGAAAGTAGCAAGCAAGGCGTTATGGTGCATAGACAGGGAGGACGGACATTGCGGGATATCGGAGGAGGCTCCGGTGCCCGTATGAAATTTCAAGGCTAGTCCGCGCTATGATACAGAAACTCTACCGAATGGAGATGCAGTCCAGCGCTTATTCGTTATCGCCCCCCGTTCCTCAAGCTTTTCCTGTCCGTTGTCTTAGCAAGGTCTGTCGATGAACGGTGGATACATGGTCTGTTTCCACTCACCCTCTCGGCTTCCCGTCTTCTTTCCGTGGTCCGCATCCTCATCCTTGCTTTGATGTTCCTTCTTCAAGGTTTCTTCTTTTGGCTTGTCACCGCCGTCCTTGGTAGATTCATGCTGCTGTGGCTTCTCGTTGGCGCTGTCTTTTGTGCCCCTGCCAACCTCGGAGCCAGGCGGGGTTTTGATGTCTTGGGTTGTGGCGTGGAGGTCGATGTGTGAGTTCATGGTTTCGTTGCTGGTCTTGCGGCCTTTGTTGATGTAGGGAGATGTGGAGATTATGTAGCGCGCGAGGAAGGTCATGTCGATAGGTTGGCTCTGTTTGTTGCGTTGAAGTAGTCGGTTTGTCTCTGGGAGCGTCGTGACGCGTGGATGTGCTGGCCGTAGAGGTAGGTAGTTGGTTCGTCAGGACTGTTTGCAGACGACTAGTGGGAGGAGGACTGAAAGCCCGGCTTTATACAACGTTCAAGAGGCGGACTCCACGATCTCCACGCCCTGGGCATCCAGTCTTCGATCTTCAACGCCCCGGTTGCAACATTGACATCGACCAAGCTCTCTCCTATGGCGCAGTGCCACCTCTTCAAACTTTCAACGCCCGGCCTAGTTGCAACATTGACATAGCCTAGCCGTCCTCCCCCACAGCGCCGTGCTACCCATTCAAACCTCACATACCTCGTTCGACACCCCAACTGCAACATCATTGAACGAGGGCAGACTAGGCGTCCATCACCCGCGCATACACTTCACCGGTCAGATATCAGCGCATGGACCTGCTGTGCTACATACCCCACGCAATTTCCCCGCGACGAACGATCTTGTGTTGCCGAAATAGAGTTTGAGCGGTCGTACAGGGAGAGTGCACGCCCTTGTTGTGTGACATCTGCTTCCTGGGTTCGGCTGCAAATGCAGCGACGGAGGGAGATGGTTCGGATTTGATGCGCTGGACCGGCTTGGAGGGGGGTTTTCGGACCGGCAGCTGGAGGACTTGGACCGCGGAGTGGAGGAGGCGACTGCAGCGCTTGTGGCAGCCGCGGTGTCTGCCCGGCCGGTTGACGTTGGAGGTGGACGTGCTTGGTGGTTACACTGCGATCGACCGGCCGGGCGCAGGGTGCCGGGCCGTGGTAGACTCGGGTCGGAGCGATCGATGAAAGAGGCGGAGTCTTGTTATTCGACATCCGAGGCCGACGCCGGTAGTCTATACCGCGGATGTGGGAATAAGTTAAGATATAGGACATGCGACTCCATTTGGTCTGTGGGTTGGGGAGTCATGGCTGTTCCGGGGGTGTGTTGGTTCAGTCATGTCCTTGGTGGTGAGTCAGCCTCCCGGTATTATGAAGCCTTCCGACTTTTTGTTGTTGTCGCTGCACCGATCCCCAGAGCATTCACACGTACGTTCTCCAAAAAGACATCTACAATAACTTTCCCCAGAGCATTCGCACGTACGTTCTCCCAAAAGACATTTACAACAACGAGCGACCGAATTCCAAACCTTTCTCCCTGTCCTATCTTCCGAGCATGGCTTCTCATCAACCCGAACCGACGAAGATTTTCGAGCGCATTGAATCCCTGAAAAAAGCTGCTAGCTCCAAGGAGCAATACGAAGATCTTTGCGATGACTTGGATGGCGTAACAGAGAAGATCGAGGAAGGGGTTGCCTGTGTACAAAAACGGTTTATCGACGACCGCAACCTCTCTCCACTCTGCGAGCCTAGCAAATCTCTCTTTCAAAAGCACCTGGAAGCCTGCCAAGACTACGACTGCGCACTGGGGCAGATTGTAGAGACTCTCCGAGGCCACTCGAAGGATATGGAGGAATTGCTAGTCAATGTGTTGGAATTTGCTACTACGGCCGCTCGCCGCCCGCGCATGGAATCCGACTTCTGGCTAAAGGTCAGGCCCCTCTTGAACAGCTTGTGGAAATGTAATTACAACTTTCAAAACGGTGGAGACGCGTGGATGTTGAACGAAGTTGCATATGCGATAGTGAAGAAATGGCCGTTGCGCCCGGAGTGCGAGCATACGCCGGAAGACATGAAGGAAGCTATCACGGTTGTGGGGATGTACGGATCGGCGTTTGTGGAGTTGGGGAGCATTTTGGAAGACGTAGTGGCGCGGTGTGAAGACGATCGAATGGATGCGATCGGGGAAAGCGGGGCGGTGGCCAAGTCCGATACAGATGAACCGACGGACACTGCAGAGAACCGGAAATCTGAAGGATCATCTTCGCGATGAGGAGTGGTGCAAGTCGACGGATAGCATAGCCTCGGGTTGGAGATGTATCCGTGCTGCGGCGTCGTACTACCGTTGGGTGTGCTTACGGCCGTATGCCGCGCTCCTCTCAATATGCGGATCACTGACTACATTTCAATGTCAATGTTAGTGTATTCATTCTTGAGGCAATTTGAGTCTTTTTCCAATATGTGAGCCTTCATGCGATACTCCCAGTCATGCTGAATTAGTCAAAGCTTTTTGAGTCATGCAGCGTGACTCTTGCGTGAGTACATGACCTTCGCATCGTGACCCGGCGCCCCAACTCCTTACCACACTGCGGAAGCAAAGATATCCACGATTTATTTCTTCACTACAAAACGACCCCGGGGCTTTTTGTCGCATTCACGAACTTGAGAGTCAGGTCTTTGTTATCCTACGCATCTTACCATCGAAGACCACGCTTTCTCCTCCAAAACACACAAGACACCTGTACCTTGTACCAATGTCTGATATCGAGTCGATCTACCAAAGTCTCGAAGACAAGGCTTGTGCGGTCCCTCGCTATGAACTAGCTGGCCTACTGTTCGGATTTCTGAAGAATGGCGCGGATATTGGCGTCCAGAAAGCAACCGACAAAGTCAGAGCCAACTGGTGCACGATACATCCGGCCACCAGGACCAAACAATGCGAGGACGACACGTTTCGAGAGTTCGAGGAACTATGCAAGAGTGGAAGTCCGGAAAGCTTCATCGAGGATTCTCTGAATAAGATCTATGGGGAACCTCTCTGCAAGAGGATCAGCGACATTGGCGATGCCTTCGTTGCGCTCTTCCAGGCGGCGGACGCTGATGGAAGCCACACTACTCACGAAGAGGCGCGCCAACGCATAAGAGATGCGGAGAGCGAGATGGAGAAATTCTACCAATCTGGGAATTGGTGGTTAATGAGGAAGCTCGTAGGACGAGATCTTTGGGAGTGGGGAATGCCTGAGCAGGAAAGGGAGGAGGTGGAAGCTCGGGCCCGATTGGCGAGGGAACAAGTAGTCCGGGCAGAGGTTGTGTTCTTTGAGTTAAAGAAGATATACCAGTGTCTGAGGGTGCAGGATGGAATTTCAGATCGGATTGGAAGTTAGAGGGTGGAAGATGTTGACGTTGCAGTTGAGGGGGCGGACGGCTTGGACTGATTGAGAATCTCCTACCTATTCAGGAATGTATGTTAATGATAATGGAAGAACTACCAAGGGAGGGTGTATATGTTAGTTTAATGAAGGTGAAATATATCTTTCGGACATGCGGCAGATGTGAGGTAGGGGTAAGGCGGGCAGGATGCTTGGAAGTCGTGGAAGTGTCAAAAGAGCATTCCAAGGTTTGTGGCTTTACTGCGCCATTGAGTAAAGTCCGACAAGACTCCATTAAGATAAAACTGACGTTGACCCAAAGCCACAAGCAATAATGGTGGCAAGCTGCCGGAGAGATCTAGTTGTGGGGTGAGCGGGCGAACAATAGACCGGCACCGCGGACATAACTTTCCACCTTTCCTAAAGCGGCTAGCGTGCTTCAACCCGTGCAATCTTCCCCGCTGTCCACGCCCACATTCAACGGTCTTGGTTTCTTGTCTTGACGGCATAACTTATCTGCAACAGACGCCTTACGCACGAAAGCAATTCTGCAATCAGGCGGCGTTGGTCTTGAGGTCTTGTCGCGATACGATCCATCTGCGCGTCCTGCGTCTTGACTCGCATTAATAACCAAGGTTGGCAAAACAAATCACACCACGGAGGCTGGAATCCTTGACGTGGCCATGGAGCTCGACCACAGGCAGCGGCTTGGGCACGATGGGGCTGGCAGTGTCCCGCGAGCTCGGGCAACGCACCCGCTCGTGTAACCGTTATCGCCATGGAGCGTTGCGTTGCGCGCAGCCGCAGCCTACGCAATGCCGCCTTTGAAGGGCGTCCTGGATTTCTATAATATGCTCCCTGGATTGCCGGGCTCGCTGAAGATCTTTTTATGAATCGTGTATATTCTTTCCACTTCGGATTTGCGCACTCCGACTTCTACTATGGCTGTCGGCGACGACGGCTTTATCCACTTCGGCCCTGAGGCCAATTGCACTTTGGAGGTATGCCTTCTCATCAAGCATAGAGCCCGCATCCCAGAAACCGGCGTTGCACTGCCGTCCTATCAGCTTAGTAGAGCTCGCTAACTGCATCTCAGCTATGCCAAGTCGAAGACAGTGTATATGGCTATCGACCCTCCATCCCAGCCAACGTACTCTTCATCATCTTCTATTCCCTAGCTGCCATCGTGCATGTCTATCTCGGCATAAGATGGAGAACGCGGTGGTTCATGTGGTGTGTTCTCGTTACATGCTTGCACGAAGTCGTCGGATACGTTGGGAGGATCATGCTGTATAATGATCCATGGGACTTCACCGCCTTCATGATTAATATCAGTACGCAATTCCTTGTGTTACCCCACAACCGTGTTACTGACCACTCGCAGTCGCCATCACCCAAGCTCCGGTATTCTATTGCGCGGCGATTTATGTCACGCTTGCTCAATCGTAAGGCCATTTCGCATACCGTCACTAGAAATCAAAACCGCAGCTGACGGTTAACAGGATCAACCACTTCTCCCCAGACTTAGCACGTTTCCCTCCGAGACTGCTCTACTGGACCTTCATTCCATGCGACATCACTTCCCTAGTTCTCCAGGGCACTGGCGGCGGCATGACGGCGGACTCTTCGGCCGAGAATGAAGCTGGCCTCAGAATCACCCGCGCCGGTCTCATCCTTCAAATCGTCACGCTCTTCATCTTCCTCGCGCTCTTCGGCGACTTCTTGTGGCGATACAAGCAACGCGGAGGCATGAAGAAGGCTGTTAGACGAGAAAAGCTGTTCTTTGGCTTTGTGATGCTGGCGTCTGTATTGACCTTCGCTCGGTGTATCTATCGCGTGGCTGAGCTGAAGGACGGATACCGGGGTGAACTGTTCAGGGATGAACCGCTTTTTATTGTGCTAGAAGGAGTGTAAGTGGATCCCTTCGCGGAAGACTATACTGGTTACTGGTCGCTAATAGAAGATAGACTGGTGGTGCTTTCGGTGTTCGCCCTTTGCATTGGCCATCCGGGGCTGGTCTTTAGGAGTCACGAGCGGAGCCGCATGGACGGTATGACTGTCCAATCCAGCGGCGAAAGCCAAACATCGCGCCCCGATCCCGTTGAACCCAAGTCCGAGGTCTAGATGCAGCAGTAGCAGGTTGGGAAGCGTCGTATCGGCGGTATAGAGGTTAACGCTCAAGAAAGACACGAAGGTCTTTGGTACAGTACATCGAGAAGTTATTGCACGTGAACTTGGGAGCGAATCCCTGCACGAAGTGGAAAGGATATTGGATACACGGGATCTTAGCGAAGTTCCACCAGTGCTTCCTATTATATCGGTCGTCTCTACCACCGCTTTACCAGATCACTGCGCCCCTCTATTCTCCTTCTCCTCCTGCTCCTGCTCCTGCTCCTTCTCCTTCTCCTTCTCCTGCTCACGCTTCCTACGCTCCTCGATCCACATCTCCCTCCGCAGCTGCTGTTCCAACTCATCTATCTCCCTGAGCCGCTCCCGCATTGAGTCATAATGCGTATCGTACCCTTGCTCGAGCAGCTCTTCATTCCTCAAGTCGAGCTCGCGCACTTCGGCGGGCGTAATCCCCCAACCGAGGAGCTTAGTTTGGAGGTTGTAGAAGCGCCGGTGGCGGCGGCGAAGGGCTACGAGGTCTGCCAGAGCGGTTGGAAATGGGGGTGGTGTGGGATTTGGAGTGGACATTGTGAGGTTCTTTCGGGGTGTGTTGAAGCAGTAGTGCTGTATTTTGCGTGTGTTCTAGATACTTTTGAAAGTTCATGATGTCTTGGGCTTTTTATATGCCCTTCGGTAGAGGAGGTTGTAGTGATCAGAATCTGTCACTGCGTTGAGGAACATGTCCATTTATCGGGGCTTGTCTTCAAACGAAGAAGTGCCGACATTCACCGCGAATGGCGCATGCCTTTAATCAACAGCGGCACTATCTCAACTAAAGTCCAATTTTTGTGACTGGCTTTACCATTGAATTCAATACTGTGACATATCAATCAACAGCTCTCAACGAATCTTCACAGCCCAGCCTTCCACCTCCTTATATCCTCAAGCTCCTTCCTAACATTGTCACCAAACACCCGCCATTCCCGTGCCTTCCTCGAAAACGTTTGCGAAACCTGCCTGATCCAAGCCCTCATCTCCTCCTCATCCCGGAACCCCCGAACGCCTGCTTCCCATAACACTGACGCCGGATCTCCCCTGGATACTATCGGGCCATACCTTTCGTTCCAACGGTGATACTCGTCCGCTAGTTGATCGGCTAGGGCGATGACCTCCATTCCTTTGGCTTCGCAATCTACGGACTCCACGGGTAAGCTCTCGAAGATGTCCGTTGCTGCGCGGATTTGCTGCTCGAGCTGAACTACGCGGTTTTCCGTGTGGTGGATGCTAATGTAGATATCTATCGCGGCTTGGTGGAGCGCACTGAGATTCGGCTGTCGGGTATTATTTCGCCGCATACACATGGTTGGAGTCTAAGACAGATGGGGTTTGCGAGATTATGATGCCTGAGGAATCTAGGTAGAGGATTTATTTATTCGTGGCCGGGCTCTTTATTCTCGAAGGAACTACGGGCTTCACGCTGAAGAAAAGGTTTTACACGAAGGAAGAGCTTCACCTGTCGATGTCCTAATGAACGTCATGAGAGATCGCCATGGAATCCTGCGAGTGTATTCCTTGAAAGTGCGGCTTTCAGCTGGGCTGGTGGAACCTCACTGGTTCACTCAAAGCCTTGCTCTCCACTAGAACTACACTCCGCCAGGGCATTAAGCACCCCTTGAACCTCAACGATGACGACGCGTACTCGTTCACACAACTCCGCTCGCTCTCTCATCCTCTGCACGTCGCTCTCCCTTTTCCCTTCTTCCCGCATACCAAAGTCTCCCAATATCACCGCAGGATCAGTGCCCAGAATCCAAGCATAATGTTGCGCCCAGTCGTCAAACCCTTCGGCTAGAGTCCCTGTCATCTCTCCTATTTGCAGTGCTAGTGTTCCCTCCTCCAAAGAGTAAGGGGCCGCGGTCTGAATGGCGGCTAGTAAGGGTTGTAGGTCTCTTTGGAAGGTGTGGTAGTGCGATTCAGGATGTGTATAAGAGTGGAGGAACCTATGGAATAGAGTGTACGAGAAACTTTGTAGAGCATCTCTCCAGTTCTTTCGTGGAGCACTCATAGTGGGAAGTAGAACGGTGTTTGGGAACATATGTCAGAAAGTGGTATAAGCTGGGAATTTGGTCACTTCTTACAAATTCTAGGGATTGGAAGTGATGCGTGAATACAGTGCATGTGCAAGTTTTTTTTGAAGAAGAAGACCTCGGCTGTGCATTTCAATGAAAATCTAGAACACTTAAGGCAATACATTATTCAAAACATAGATCAGCTCTCAAGAAGTGCTACAATACTCCCACAAGCCCACTATGGAAGAAGCAGCCTAGCCACCTCAATCTCCTCGTCGTCGTTCCTCCCCCTTCTCGTGTGGGCATCGCCTGGCTGCTGACAGTTCTCCACCACGCGCACGAGTCGGAAAATGTGGTCCAGGAAAAGAGTAGTCCACTTCGCCCTTTTCGCTTTCGTTCTCGCGTCCCCCAATTCCATCCTTACTCTATCCCTGTCCAATCTGTCGTACTTCAGATCGTGTAGGATGTCGTCGATGTCCTCGTCGAGCATCCACGCCAGTCCTTCGTCCTCGAAATCCCATAGACGGCGTTTTGCCTCGTCCATGTGAGCTTTGATATAGCCGTGCAGTTCAAGTTTATCATCTTTTCCTTTTACGATCGTTTTGAACAGAGAGGGCACAAGCTCAAGCTCGTCTCCGATGCCCTTTTGGGTCAAATGGTAGAGCTGGAAAGGGATTTCAGATTGTGCATGTCTGACACCGAACTCGATTACCAGTCTCTGGCAAGGAGTAAGATTCTTGAGGAGAGAGACTGATAGTTTGGAGCCGAGTGCTTTGAGTTTGCTTGGAGCTGGTGGCGGGTTGATTGCTGCAACGTGTTGTTGTGCTTTTTGGAGCCACGGAGAGAGGTAGGTTCGATAGCGTTCATCAGAATGCGCTAACTTTTGGAGAGCGGCGATGGTGTCGCATCCGTTGTAAAGCTCCTCAGTATTGGCCGACATCTTTTAGCAAGCTTTATCGCTGGGTCGGGGTGAAGGAAAAGGATATTAGTATGCTGAGGTGGATTATATCGTGGATTTCTGTTCGGGCGTGTTGTCGAGGTAGCGGCATTTAATAAAGGGGAGAGAACAGTGGGTACCTGTGAATGAAAAGTAGCTAAATATTATTGAAGTGAAAGATAAGCGTTTGCAAGCAAACCCTTGAAAGTTACGTGACATCGCATTCAACGTTGCACCGCCAAATTGAAATCCAGCCAACAGTCTTCTAGAAAAGTGCGAAAAAGAATGAGGGGTTATGCGCGATGCATGCATGACTAGTAGAGTTGCCAGTCAGAGCTTGAGTCATGCGTCGCAAAAAAAGTACCACGTCATCGCTAGTAGTGCACATAATTTTCGATCCGAAAACCAAAACTATAAAGGGGACTGCAGAAACATTGCGACGCACTACGAAATACACAATCGCGCGAATGTTAGATAAGTCACTTCATGGTTTCACGGCGGTAGTGTGCTCAGCTGTACAGGGAGGTATGGGGGTATACGGGTCATATTCTGTTAAGGATAACTTGACCTTTGAGTATACTATTGCATGTTGGCACCACGGCTAGCGCGTGTTAATGGACGTGGGGTCATCACTAAAAAAAGAATCTCGGAAGGATTACTCGTTCAATGCCTAATAATACATTATCTCCCGCTTGAACAGATATTGGGAAAGTCGGCAGCGCATCCTCCGTCACGTTTTCCTATCAAAGTCTCCGAACTCGGCACGAACCTTACGTTCCAATTCCATCACATCTTGTTTATCCTTACAGATGAGGTTCCTGAATCTCTCTATCGAGGCCTCCAGATCTCTGCAGTTCTTGTTGTAGCCCTTCAGTGTCCTTAACTTTTCCACATACTCGAGCTGAAGCTCATTCACGTGCTCCTTTCGAAATTCCTCGCTGCGAGCCTTGTAATCCGATATCAGAGTTTCCAGCTCGTCCTTGCAGATGGCCTTGTAATCCGATATCAAGCTTTCCGGTCGGTTCTTGTATGCTCTTTCCAGAGTATACATACTCGCAAGGCGCTCAGAGGTGGACATTTGGTGGGTCTCCAGGAGCACCGACAGATATATGAGTTCTTTGGCCGGATCGGGTCCTTCATCATCGGTTTGGCTATTTTCATCTTCGTATCGGTGGTTCTTGTGGACGGATTGGTGCCTTCGTCGCTTGTGTGACTTTGATATATTTTGATTGTGTTTTACCGACTTGCTATCGTGGTTTTGTCGGTGGATTTGAAGAAAGGGCATAGCGAACTTTCGTACTTGAATGTGATATGCTGGAGAGATGTGACAGGAGGTTAAAAAGAGGGGCAGCACAAGGAGGTGTTGGAGGAAGAATTTATTCAAAGGATCCGGGTGTGATGTATTCAAGTCCTGACTAGCCGGTGGTTATGAGTTTACTCATCTCGATGTGGAGTCAGAACAAGAAGAAGAGTCACGCCAGAAGACAACAACCTCATACACTCTGCCGCTTTATATTAAAACATAGACATTGAAGCAAGTTGCAAGATGAAGAGGAAACTCCAACAATCATGATTACCCTCTCCAGAACATCCCCGCGAAAGTGCGGACTCACCCACCAGCTCCCGGGTCCTTTCCGACACTCTGATGGCACGCCTTCAATGGAGTCTCTTTGGCACCTTAGCTGAAAATGTCCACTTTCTAGGATAGCAAGAGTCTCTGCTCGATGTGCAGGAGGTACCTCTTTGTATATGCCAGCGTCGTATAGTGGTCGAGGGTGCTTCTTGCGCGGATTATCGTCGCCGCCGCGTCGTGCCTCTTTTCTTGGCTGTCGAGTTTGAGATAATCAACGAACTTGGAGACTCTTCCTAACAGTAGTTCGCCGTGCTCGAGACTATCCGGGGTAATTGGAGGCGTGTCACCGATAGGATGGTCATATGGGTCCCGTTTCTCGTAAACGTATCCCTGAATCCATGCTTCTATGTTGTCGAGATTGAACAAAATGGGTGGGATGGCTTGAAGCTTAGCGGTTCGATTGGCTATGGTGTCCAGCCGACTTATACGTGTATCGACTTCACCGAGGGCCTTGCCTAGGCTCTCGATGAGGCTGGTAAGATGTACCAACCTGCCGTGTGCGGTAGACCCCAAATCCCGACGTGATTGTGCTGAGGCTGACACCATGGGGAGAATTTGTTGTCGTTGATGCTTGGTGTTGAGGTAGGTGGGTTCGTTCAAAAATTGGAATACCCAGGTATAGGGTGGATTGCCCGAGGACTTGCAGGGAATTTCCGTGATGGACGAAGATAAAACTTGGGGGAAAATACTACAAAGGGCTTTGATAGTGAGGGAAAGTGTAGTTATTTTATATGGGTGTTGGGTAATGACGGACATGCAAAGGAGTCACAGACCTTGGGGCTGCGTGACTCGTTATTGTGACTGCTCGAAGAATCGGGCTAAATACTCCAACATGAATCGTGTTAATAGTAGATGATTCATGAACTACATGGAAAGGCTAGATCTTGAACGTGCGGGGAGATTTTAATGAGAGTGGATGACATAGAGATTGATGTTGTAGATAATGCGTCGAAGTGACGATGCGAGCGATATGAAAAGGCAGCATTGGACACAGGGGATGACTCGTCGCGGATGCAGATATGACACATCATGCGTGCCATAACTAGGATAACGAAGAGAGATGCAGGAAGGACACCAAAGGTGGTTCATCTACTTTAAAAGCATGTAATGCCTCAGGATTGAGAAACCCCACAGGGCAGAAACAACAGTCCCTCTATGATCCTCCACGGCCGTCGACTAGCTATTGCTTCCCTTGCCCCAACTTCCCAGAAAAAACCCGTTGCATTATCGCCTTCGTCATCTCAATCCAACGCGCAAGTTTAGACCTCATTCTCTTCGAAAGCCTTCATCTCATCTTTTATTGTTTCGAGCTGCTCTAACATTTCCTCTGGATTATCGGTGTAGGGCTTACGAAAGGAGAAACTCCCGCATGTTTCATTACGAACCCACTGATGCGCTTATTGTTCAGCTCTGTAACGTACGCAAAAGAGGAAGCGGACGCAGCCCAAAACCGTATATCATGGTTGACGGTATGAATGGCTGTCACCGACTTTTTCTTGAGGGAGTTCCCGGAAGTGATAGCAGTCGTTTATTCCTCCGAAGCCGCCTTATATTGCTCCGAGACCTCGCTAGCGGTACGATCATACTCGCCTACTCCACGCTGAAGAAACAGGGCCACTCTTTCGATTTCCTTCCCAAGGACTTTGATTGTCTCTTGATCGAAGGCGCAGCCGGCGACTTCAAGAGAGTATCTAAGGACGTCCATGCGTTCTAGTATCATGGCGACGTCAGTGCTGCGCTCGCGGAGATCATTAATCCTCGAGGACAGGCATTTCATATCGTAGTCGGGACAACAGGCTCCATGGCGGGTACGAGGTGGTGGCATGTTCGAAAGCTTGAAAGTCCGGCCGAAGAAGGTTGATCCGCGTGGGTTTTATAAGTCTTTCGGTAGCAAATTCTACGAAAAACATCAGCATCAACCCTTCGATCCACTGAATGCTTACTGTAACTTACTGCTTGACAATATGCCCGGTTCCGGGACCACGCACGCTGGTACCGATGTGCTTAGCGGTGGTTGAGGCGATGTTCGAAGGTTGGCAAACAGTCGTGGTATCGTAGTGATAAAGCAGTTACAGAGTTGTGCAAAGAAGAGGGAGAGTCTAGAGACAGAAAATAGCAGTTTGAAAGAGGAGGATGAGGAGCGTGGAGTGTTCGCCGCGAGTTCATTTAAGTGACGGAGTCGATAACGTGACTTGGGGAGTCAAAAGGGTATGACACGCAGTACAACCTAAGAAAAGGTGACTCCCGATTTCTGACGATTTGAACGCATCATATATCGACATGGCTGAGATCTGGAGGCGAAAGAAAGCCCTCTCGCGCTGCTGCGATTCAAGCAGTCTCTTTTTTACTGACAACACTGCAAGATGATCTGCGTGTGTGTAGAGAGGGAGGCATGCAAGGGTGACCGATAAGTGACTTGGACTAGAAATCGCCGCGGCGATGACTCATTGAATATGACTAAATGAATATGACACAACTGAGACAATGACTAGAAAAGAAATCAAGTACCCTTACTAAAAATACACTACTGCCTATACACAGGAGCCATCGCCAACCCCAGCACAAAGAAAGAAAAGTGACAATCAAAGCCTAAGCTTCTCCCTTGAAACACAGGCATCACCCTGATTTCTTCCGCTGACCAGCCAATATCTCCCTTTTCAAAAGGTAAAGCCGGTCCTCAAAGGAGAGCAAGCTAATCTCGATATTCTGCATCTTGTTCCGTAACCCCCTGTGTCTCCCCCAAAGGGACTCATTGTCCAACCTGGTAGTCCAACATTCTGATAACATCCAGCTATCCCCGAAAGTCTCGAGCTTTTCTTGTACTTCTTTGACCTCTTCTAGAAATACCTTTGGGACGTAGGTAGAATGGCGAGATGTGTTGTTGTGCCTGTCTATCAGATTTTCGACACGCCCGGAAATTTCCTCGTGGAATTTGGCGACGCGGACGAACCCCCAGAGGAAGCCTACGTCATGCTGGATCTCCGAAAGGGAGGATTGCGCTTGGGAGACTATACCGCACCCAAAGAGGTCGGCCTTCCTCAATGCAGCGGTGGCTTCCCTCGCGGCGTTATAATAAGCCTGGACCCGGTCGCGTTCACCATCAGTAACGGCAGGGAGTCGCATTCGGTGATCATCGATGCTCGACTGATCGAGCGTTGTGAACTGGTCCGTAACAGTAGACTTGAGGGAGGCCAGGGAATCCAACTCAGCGGCCATGTCTTGTAGGCGAGAACAGAAGACGTCGATCGACCGCCTCACGCGCTCTGTGTGAGATTTTAGGAACCTCGTATCTTGCGGGTCCACGGAAGCGCTCATGATGAGTGATGCTCGAATCGGTCGACGTAGAATGAAGGAAGGGTGCGATAGCCTGCGCGACTGTAATTGTAATTACACCCAGGTAGTGTGCAAGAAGCAAGAGGTGGAGTTGAGGAAGGAAGACGAGCTGCGGAAGAGCAGGTCTTTATATAAGTCAAGCGATGTGACGTGGCAGGGCCGGAGCCTAGTACAAGAGACGTTCGGGTCCTATGACTAGATGGACTGATGACTGAGATCTGGAAAAACTTGGGTATATGAGTGACAGTAAATCTGACAAAGAGTAAAGAAGAGTGCGAAAGCAGAGTTCACATGACAGCTTTTTATAGTGAACTTGACCTGGCCAGAGTCCAATCAGAATATGACTCGCAAACGACACATGACTCAGAAATAAAAAAAGGGAACGTAATCCGACGCGATTGACTAGAAACAAGGACTAAAGAAAGATAGGCAAAAAGTAAGAAGAACGGCAAAGCAAGCATGAAAATGTGAATCGAACTTTGTATCCATTCAGCAAGTGATTACCCAAAGAGAACCGAACATTTACTCAAATAACAAGATCGCAAGAACAAGACACTCGGAAGCAAGACACCCCCAGCGCCACCCAATATAACAGGCTACTCACACCCGTTCACCAGGGTCAGATAGCCCCAGAGCCTTGCGCATTTGCTCCCTCCAAACCCTGAAGTATACGTCCTCGGTACTCCGTAGATCATCTATCAAGCGCGTTTTCCACACCCCTAGAGATTTATCCTCAGCCAAAGCACGACAGTTGTTCTCGTCGTTCCCTAGAATCCACACAATATACGTGTTCTCCATGGCGGCTTTATGTTTCTCCTCAATCTGGGCGAGGTCCCTTAACATTTGCTTCAGAACGGCTGCGCGCTCATCCTTGCTGAGTGTGAGCCCCTTTGGAGGCGCAAACTTCTCACAGTACTCGGCGAACAGGGGGTCGATATTCGAATGTAGATCGTTGTTTCGCTTGCATACCAAATGTAGGGCAAGACGATATTCCAACATCCCTTCGACACCTTCAAGGGTGGCCTTCATTTGCTTGGCGAGGGTGATGACAGGATAGACGCCGTCGATATGACTGATGGCGTTGTCCATGCCTGCAGCGGTTTGAAGGTAACTATGATATTGCTTCCCAAAATCTTCGCGGATTGCCTTGACGCGGTCGCGAAGGTGCTTAACATCCGACGAAACGTCCAAGTTAGAAGCGTCTCGCACCGTCTCTTTCAGGGAGCCGAATATCCGTAGTAGGATGTTGTAGTAAATGTCGTGCTGGAGAAGCGCTTCTGAGGTGGGAAAGCCTCCAATCAATGGCGTGGGAGATGCGCTCATGGCGGGGCGATTCGGGTTTGACGTTACTTTGTTCGAAATTACCGCGAGGCGTTGTAGACAGGAAGGCAGGCGAGATGCACTGGGGCGGAGTTTAAGTAAGGTTGATACGCGGCGGTTGCGTGGTAGAAAGATGCAACGAAGGTCCAACACAGGAAGGAGAGCTGGGTATTAATGATGTTCACTTTATACACCGTGACTTGCCGGTCGTGACTCGCAACAGAGACGAAGCCCGCACCGATGACTCCTTACGATCTTTGACACTGCGCATGACAAATGCTTGGCTTTTGTTGGACTTCGCGGCAAGGCTAGTATAGTATGGTTGCAGAGGAAATTTTTACAAGCTTCGCATCGAGGCGTAGGAATTCACAGACCTGCAAACAGTCGATGAGAGCTGATTTAGCCAATCAGGTCTTATAAGTCAGCGTTTCGGGCCTGAGCGTGCCTGAGCGTGTGATGCCATGATTGCAAGAACCCCCCCCCCTGCAACCACAATAGGCCCATCGCTGTAATCCCGACCAAAAGAAGCGTAATCGATGTGGGAAGGTCGTACGAGAAGGCAGACGGAGTACGGAAATGACACGGGTAAGATGCGCGCTATCTACCTTGCAATTTGATTCAGTTTTCTCTCGCTGTATCAGTATACTTCCGTGCGAGCTAAGAATAAGAGGGACTCACTAAGTGGCTAAAGAGCCCTTTCCTCCGCACTCAGAATCCTGACGCTTGAAGCGTCGCCATATGTCGCCGAATCCAAAGCAATTCCTACCTATCCGGTGAGGCCCTAACTCCTTCAAATATGCCGATTTACGCTACGCCAACAGATCTGCGACGTTCATGGGCATCTCGTCGATCTGAGTCGAGTAGTAGACTGGCATTGTTAACAGAGGAACGTGACGAGGTGTGTTACACTTACGCTCAATGTCTCGTAGAATGCGAACGTCTTCTTGGGTAACGAAGTTGATGGCGACGCCCTTCCGCCCGAATCGCCCACTTCGGCCAATCCTGTGAATGTAATTCTCACGGTTCGAGGGGAGATCGTAGTTGATGACGAGGGAGACCTGTTGAACATCGATTCCTCGCGCCCAGACGTCGGTGGAAATCAGCACACGGGAGTTGGCCTGGCGGAAGTCCTGCATAATGCTGTCGCGCTCCCTCTGCGGCATATCTCCATGCATCGAGGATACGGTGAAGTTCGCCTCGCGCATCTTGTCCGTCAACCAGTCGACCTTGCGGCGCGTATTGCAGAAGATGACGGCTTGGGTGATTGTGAGCGTGTCGTACAGGTCGCACAGCGTGTCGAACTTCCACTCTTCCTTTTCGATGGCGATGAAGTACTGCTTGAGGCCTTCGAGGGTCAGCTCGTCGCGCTTGACGAGAATGCGCACCGGGTCCGTCATAAACTTAGTCGTCATCTCGAGGACGTCGTATGGAAGGGTAGCCGAAACGACGACCACCTGAGTAGCCGGAGGTAGGTAGCGGTATACGTCGTAGATTTGCTCGCGAAAGCCCCGGTTGAGCAGCTCGTCAGCCTCGTCCAGAACCAGCATCTTGATGTTGCGCGTTCGGAGGTTGCGGCGGCGAATCATGTCGGCGACGCGGCCTGGGGTGCCGGACACAACGTGCTGGCCGTAGTCGAGCTTGCGAATATCCTCTCCGACGTTCGTGCCTCCGATGCAAGCGTGGCACTGTACGTTCATGTAGTCGCCGAGGCCCATGATGACCGACTGGATCTGGGTCGCAAGCTCGCGCGTGGGAGAAAGGACGAGAGCTGGATGTGTCAGCGCATGCTGTGCCCCGGCCTTCGCCCTACGTACCTTGCGTCTCGCGGACAGCCGTGTCGATAACCTGGAGGATGGAGATGGAGAAGGTGGCCGTCTTGCCCGTGCCGGACTGTGCCTGCGCGATGGTGTCGCGGCCCTTGCAGATCTGGACAATGGCGCGCGACTGCACGGCTGAAGGCGACTCGTAGCCGTATGCGTAGATGCCGCGCAGGAGGTTCTCCTTCAGGTGCATGGCCTCGAAGGTGGGCGCCACCGTGACCTCCTTGGAGGTGGTGAACTCCATCTTCTCGTCCACGTTGCGATCGATGCCCTCGGCCATGGTGGATATGCGTGGATTCGTAAATCGGGATGTGGGTGTTGCTGGGGGGGGGCAAATGCTCGGTGGTGGTGGTGGTGGTGGTGTGGACAAGAAAGTTTGGAGCTCCGGAAACCTAGCGTCCCAGGGCCTTGGCGTGAAAGCTTTGACCAGACGCCGTCCACTTTATTTCCTGCGAGCTTCACTTGCCGCTGGACACCAACAACCACCGCCGCCCAAGGTCTGAACACCTGACAACCCCGCTATTCGCTGTTCGCAACCCCATTAGATTGCTCGGCGACCGCAGCGATGACGCTCCTGGAAGACCAGCGTCAGATCCACGAGGATCTCGAGCGCCTCGAAGACGCCATCGCCGACCGGCTGATGGAGGACCCGCCGCAGGTACGCATCGCGACTGTCTCCGCCGCGTAGCTCGTGCTGACCACTACACAGATCCGCGATCGCCTTGCGCGAGACCACGACATTGCGCGCTTCCTCGAGCAGATAGAGTACCAGTCGAGCCGCCTCCTCCGCATCTACGAAGATGTCGAGGGCAAGAAGGACAAGGAGGTCCGTACGCTCACCCTGGGCGACCCCATGGAGTCCTTCGCCAAGGAGATCGCGTCCATCAAGGACTTCCACCGCCGCTACCCGAACGAGCCCGTTGAGAACCTTGAGAAGGCATACAAGCGGCGCACCCCCGAAGACCACGCGCAGTCGCTCGCCGCAATCGAGTCCATGTTCACTGGCGAGGAGGGCTTCGGCCGCTTCTTCGACCTGACCATGCTGCACGAGCAGTACCTGAACCTTCCCGTTCACCGACGTACTCGTCGCCTGACCTACCTGCAGTATCTCGATCTGTTCGATGTCTTCACTCCGCCGCAATGCAGCATCCGACGCGATCAGAAGATGGCCGAGCCGTATTTTCAGTATCTGAAGGCCCTGCAAGACTACCTGGAGAGCTTTATGCGCCGCACCAAGCCGCTGGAGAACCTGGACAAGATCTTCGCCAACTTTGACAAGGAGTTCGACGAGCTTTGGGAGAAGGATGAAGTGCCTGGCTGGGAAAAGAACCCCACGCAAGTAGCCGCAGCTGATGGCGAGGCCTTGGGGGAGGGCATATGGTGTTCCGCTTGCAAGAAGGGATTTTCGAAGGAGACCGTTTACGAGGCGCATTTGACCGGCAAGAAGCATAAGAAGGCTTTGCAGGAGAGCGCAGCGAAGGCGAACGGCACCGCTACAAATGGTGCCTCTGCCGGCATGGGACGCTTCAAGGAGCGCGCCGTGGCCGAGAGGGAGTTCCGGATAAAGAAGCTCGCTGCTGCTATGCAGACAGAGCGCAGCGACACAAAAGTCAACGTCGAGCGGAAGCAAGGCATGACCGAGCGCGAGCGCCAACAGGAGCTGGAGGCGCTATACTCAGAAACCCCAGAAGTGGCGAACGCTAGCAAGGACAACGACCAGGAAGAGGATGGCGAAGAGAAAATCTACAACCCGCTGAAGCTGCCGCTCGCTTGGGATGGCAAACCCATTCCCTTCTGGCTGTACAAGCTGCACGGTCTTGGCGTCGAGTTCCCTTGCGAAATCTGCGGCAATTACGTCTACATGGGCAGGCGGGCATTCGACAAGCACTTCAACGAACCTCGTCATATCTACGGTCTGAAGTGCCTCGGCATCACGACTACTACCCTTTTTCGAGAGATCACACATATCGACGAAGCTCAGGCCCTGTGGAAGAAGATCCAACAGGACAAAAAGAAGGAGAAAACGACCGTCGACAATGTCGTTCAGATGGAGGATTCAGAAGGCAACGTCATGCCAGAGAAAATCTACAAGGATTTGGCGGCACAGGGCCTGGTCTGAACCCTGTGTTGCTGGGTGTTAAATTGCCGAGGTGAGTTTCATCCTACATGGGACCTTCGTCGACTGATTCAATAGCATGCGGAGCCCTTAGGGAATCCCCCTTCTTCGCCGAATGTCCTTAGTTTCACACCATTGCGGGTGCGATTGGACGCGAATCATGGCATGAAAAGAATCATCCACAGGGTAAGTCAGCTTGCGTAGTTTCTTTCCACCCCGACGGTGCTGCCAACACCTGGGGAACGCGTTGCTGCTTTACATGCTGGAGAACAACAGCTTAATTCAGGACGTTGAGATGAGAGCGGAGAAGAGGTATGCTCACGGGACTTTACGGATCAATGTAAGATACCATAGCATTGGAGTGCAAAGACTCACATTCTAACGAATTGTTCTTTGTCCTGTCCAGGCCCATTGTCCACTTGCACCACAGTCCTGGTGCTTATGTCTCCTGTTACAGCCATACTAAGTGTCTGTGCCTTAGACGGAAACTCCGGGCGCCGGTTGTGTAGGATCGTAGGGAAAAATGAATGCACAGTGAGCATCGTTTTGTGCCGAGCCTTAACCATACACAGGCCACTTTCCCCCTCTCGCTCTACCCAGCAAGCCTCCTGGATTCTTGATCCCTCTCCATCCTTTCTTCTCTTCCCCATTTCCCGTCTCAATGTTCGTTCCCGTCCTATCAACCCCCTGTATGACATGTCCGCCCATCACATGTCCATTCATCGGCCCCCATCCATTCATCCCTACCAAGCCTCCAGACATATGCGTCGGGTGGCTATCCGGAAGTTCAACCCGATTGTACGTTGATAGATCTACAGGCGTCTGGGGAACTGGAGACGGCGCAGGTATCCACTCGACCCTTATCGACTGGTCCCGCGACAGCTTCTGGTTGTTGAACCACAGCTCGAAGCGAATATCCGCCGGCCCGATAATGACGCGCACCTGGTATTCCACTTTAAAGTAGTGTTTTCCGAGGGACCAGAAGTGGCGGTTCTTCTCGATGAATTTCTTCTCGTCGGTGCTGCTGAGGTCTGAGGAGATCTCGCAGAGAATGCGCGTTTCTGATGCTCCACATTAGCCTTTGGAACAAGGGCCGATAAGGGGAGGGTAAATACATACCGTGGTTCATCTGGTCGGGCAAAGACCTCGCCTCGACGTGGCTCTCGATCACGCTCGTTGGAAACGCTCTTCTCGGATCTCCGGGGCCCACCTTCTTGATGAAGTTGTGCACAATGGGCTTGTCGACGCTCACCGGCTCCCCCTTCTTCACGAACCACGCTATCGCCTGCATAATGTACATCTTCCCGTTCATCGGGTCTCTTACAAGCTGCTTTGTCGCATGCTCTGGGTTCTTCTTGTCGTACAGGATCTTGCAGAGCGTGCCATACGAGGCTCGACAGCAGCGCCAGCCGAGGACGGAATGTGATGTGAGTAGCTTCCGTACGCGGTCCGAGACCAGGCCTTTGCAGACGGCGAGCTGCGGGTCGGGCGCTATACGTACAGAGATACCGCGCGTGTTGGGCATGTCGGTAGCAGCGTAGTGCTGCCTCAGCTGCGCCTGCACATACGCCGAATTCCCCAAGCCACCCGAAAGCACAAGATGCGCAACATTCGCCGCCGGATACTTCTGGTACAAGCTACTCAATTGCGAATCGATCAACCGGAACAGCTTCGCAATCTGCTTGTCAAACAGCCGCTGCAGATCTTCCCGCTCAAACGTCATCTCGCCGTTTCGTATTCTGACATCCGGATCGCTGTTGTTGTACGAATGTGGTAGTCGCGGGATCCCAATGCTGAAGAGGGGTGTGTCATCCGGGGACCCGTATTCGCACTTCACGGCCTGGAAGTCCCGCGACTTCATCATCTCCCATGCAGCGTCCAGAGGATCGATGGGCATAGGTGCCGTGCTGTGTGCCGTAGCAAGCCGCGTCGAAACCAGCTTCTCAAACTCGTAGTCAATCGCCGCACTCCCTATAGTCTCGCCGAAGACAACATCAAGCTGCTGCAAATTGATCGCCTGATTCACCGTCCCCGTTACCTTCAGCACGCTTAGATCCGTCGTCCCACCCCCAGCATCACACACCAGCAAGATATCGTTCTCGCGAAAGATACCAGGTGCTTCGGTGGAGACGTGAACAGCCGCAGCCTCCGCCTCCGTCAGCCCAATCGACACCTCATGCCCCGGATGCGACCCAAACCCGCTCTCCACCACAATCCTCTTAAACGTCTCCACCGTCGGATGCGGCGCCCACGTCGTCGGCACGCTGAAGATAAACTCCAGCCGCGCGCTCGCCCAATCACATCCACTCAGCTCCCCGCCCAGCTTAAACTCCAAATACTCGTACATCTTGCGCAAATAGTCGCCATACCACTTCTGCACCTCGGCCAGGCTGCCCGGCGCGCCCTCGGGGTCTTCGCGCTGCTTCTGCCGCAGCCGCTCCGGGTCCAGGCTCGTCTTGAACCACTCCTTGTACTCCTTGTCCTGCGCGGTCGTCTCGGCGATGGTCTCGCTCAGGAAGCCCCAGCTGCTGGGCGTCGCGGACGTCGACGGGTAGACGACGACGGTCGGCACTTTGTTCTCGTTGGCTTGGAAGCGGCCGGGCCATTTTTGTACCCAGCGGATGGTTTCGCTGCCGATGGAGAGGTTGGCGTAGGCTACACCTGTGCCTGTGTATGCGTGTTAGCACTCGTCGTCCTTATGTTTCCCTTCCTCTCTGCTTGCATATTCATGCAGTCTATGAGCTGTGCAGGTGAATGGAAAGCCACGTGATCCATCCACTCAGGAAAAGCCGCGCTAACCCCATCAAGCCTAGCGCCCCGGCCCGTCCCTTGCCCCGCCGCTGGTTGGCCAACTTACATGTCATCCCCAAATCAATCCCAATCACCATATGCGGCTTCTCGCCGTCCATTCTCTCCATCATCTTGCCTGCCTGCCGTTTGCGTTTCGTTTCGCTGGGCTTGCAGCGTCTCGCCGTGTTCTTGTCGTCGGTCGCTCGGTCAAAAGCAGGCTGAGCAATCCTTTAAGACACCCCTCTTCCCGGCGCAGATATGCGGGTTCCACCTAGGGTGGCTTGTCGCAGCCTCAGCCTTGCGGCACAGCACGGTAACGCGGGACGCTGCGTGGGACGCCTTGTTTTAGGTTTTTCGTGTTTGTGGCCCCCAAACTGAGGGACGGGGGTATTATTAGCGCTTATGTGCGTGCTTTTGAGAGAGGGGGCAGAAAGCGGGCCGGTCTGTCTGAGGGAGACGGTGCGAAGGACGCTCAGCCTCTGCGTGCTTTTTAGAGCCGTGGCGCTGATTTGTTGGATGGGTGGAGTGAGGGGCATGCAGGGCCGGGGATTGAAGGTGATCCTGGTGTGGGCGCGAAGGGGTTGGTGGTGAGTTGTGGTTGTGGTGCTGTGCCGCAATGAGCCCCCCCAAATCCCTTTCCGGAACGTACCAAAAGGCTGAGATGCGAAACCTCCCTGGTGGCACGGCTCGATGCAGTCTTTCTACGCCCGCTCACTTCTGGCCGTCTGGAAACATAATCAGCCCCGTCCCTCTGCTTTTGTTCTTTCTCCGACTCTTGTCAGGCTGCGTGGATTACGTCCATCTTTCTAGCCTTTCCGCAGGAGACTTCTGCTCCGACGTTCAAATTGTCTATGAACGTAGCCAGCACTCTACCTTCGATTTCCTGGATCCCACGACGTGAGCAGAATGTCCGACGGCGACATAGCCGTGGCGATAGCTACGATAACTCAGTCATTTGGACCCGATCAGAAAGCGTCAGCGCTCACTCCACCATTTCCACTAGTCACCTTCTTTTCAGTTCCTAAGAACCCCAACATACTACATTTGAACGCTCCAGTGATTCCAGGGGACACATCCGCCGAATCACAGCGTACCACTGGAGACCTCCCTGCTTCGCAATGGCAGAGAGGGTACGTGTGGTACTACTGGGCAAAGGATCAGACTTCAGTACTCTGGGGCGTAGTCGAGGGCGACACATCAAACCCTGTCACAATCATACCAGAAGGCATTTCAACCATACCTTCGGCTTCAGTACCCGTTTCTACGCCAGCAACGACTACCAATGATCCAGCTAGCTCATCCTCTGTGTCCGCCGCTTCGAATAGCTTGTCGCCCACGACGACTTCTTCAGCAAAGCCTTCGTCTGGCGGGCTTTCAGATGGGGCTGTTGCGGGTGTTGCTATCGGCTGTCTGATTGCTGGGGCCTTGCTCGCGAGCCTCGTAGCTTGGTTCTGTCTAGGAAGAAGGAGGAAATCCGCCGGCGGCCGGGACTCCGAAGCCAGCGCACTTGCACTCATGCACCGAGAGAAAGGCCCCACTGCAAAAGCCGTTTCTCTGGAAAGTGGTAGCCCAATCGCTTTGGCGATGGAAAACGGACTTCCTCAGCCATTGGAAGACAAGGCCATCTCCGGAGAGATCTCCAAAATCAGCAATCTGATCAAGAATCACGTCCAAAGCTACTATCATACCGGCCGAGTGAGCCCTGGAATGATTGATTACGACGATATCCAAGCCCTTGGGAGCGAGCTGCCGGTATCTGTGGGGACACTCAGTACACTACTTGGAAACGCAGCGACAAGAGAAATTGCGCTCCGGTTCTGCATCGCTTGGATAGTTGTTTCTAGGATGCAGCTTCATAGCCCGCCTGGCACCAGCTTCCTTCCGCCCGAGGTTGCCAGCTGCTTCCAGTCGATGTCTTTGGTCGACCGTGGCTCCCGAGGTAGGCAAACTGTAGACGCTCTATTCGCCAGGTCCACTAACTTTGACAGTCCACGCAATGTATTTTGCAAAATGGCGCGCTCTCACCGCGGAGCTCATGCAGTCGACATACGTTCGGAACCCGTTCTCCGCGAATGACGCTCGGCTTCACAGCATACAGTCAGCCACAACTGTCCTTGAGAACATCCTCCGGCCCTTCGCTGATTCTCGCATGGACAACGCGCAGAGAAGTCGAAATTTGGAGGAGATGTTCAAGCGGGCTGCTCTCTTTGCATTCACTTTGTTCTCTCAGCCTAGTGCGTGGGACTTTGACTGGCAGGCTGAGCAGGGCGTCAAGTCGGGCAGCTTGTGCATCTTCCCCGCCTTGGTGCAGATCGCAGACGAGAATGGCGAGCCCGTCAAACCACCTCGTCCGTTCAGCGACGCCGTGGTTCGACGACTCGATGAATGAGGAAACAGATAGTTAGCCATCGATTGCTTTTTTTCGTTCGCGAACCCACTATTGCCCTTCCGCGGATGGAATCTCAGCCTTCTTCTGCCACATGCCCGGGCTCGAACACAGCCTGGTACGATGCATGATCTTATTGCGGCGTAGAATCAGGCGTTTCAGGTGAAGGATTTGGGATACACAAGCGAGGCGGAGTGCCTCTCGGTTAGGGGGTTTTGGTTGTGTAAGCACAGCCTCGTCTCACTGAAGTAAATTTTGTCCACATCCGGCGAGCTCCAACACACATCCTGCAGGCTGCCGATAGCCAGCAAGCGGACTGGGGCTGCGACTATCCGTACCGCGGTTACGCTCCGCGGCTATTGGTTTGATAGCATGGCATTCGTCCCTCAGCCCCGCTCTCTTCTGCTACACCTCGCCCACTCGTGCAGTTCACTGCCTCGTCCATTCTCAGGTCATTGGCTCTGGGAGCGCATAACCCCACCGATTGAGAGTTGCACCGAGCACCGCCTGCATTGACCTCGTCTCGGGCTGCGCCTAGTTTGACAGAGTTGGCCTGGAGATCGATGGGGTCGTTAATTCGCGAGGAACCAGATGCGACCGTCTATTCTTGTCTCATCTCGTGTTTGCGCCTCTTGGCCCAGTAGCGCCATTACCGACGACTTCCTCCGCGCTCCTAGAGGACTAATCTTCAACTTCATCTAACGCGGGCAAAATGCTGCCTGGCGCTGGACTGTATCTTCCTGGGAGCTTGTATTCCAAGCAAGACCCAACCTCGGATCGCGCGGACAAGAGCGCGCGATGGAAGTTCTTTGAGCGAAAGCCTTCGAAGCAGGAACAGGACTCTTTCGACCGAACATCTGGCCCGCTCTCTGGGACATCCTCAGACGACATCACCAAAATCTTCTCATCGCTATCCACTGTGTTCGACTTCGCAGAGTTCGCGTCCCAACAAGGAAAGGTCTCCTCAGAAACCGAAGTCTTCATCAACTTGATCCAGCGCGTACGACAGGATGTAACAGAGGCTTCTCGGCTCTACGTCTCGCCCGCCGTCATAGACCACCTAGAAGCATGGCCAGACAAGAAAGCCTGGGTTGACATGATCTTGGTCGACATCGAGCGGTCGTTAAACGACATCGGCGTCTACATGGAGACCGTGCGCGTGACCGGAGATGACGGCGGCACAGTCGGGCTGAGACGCAAGTTTGAGTGGGTCTTGTCTCATCACAAGAAGCTCATAAACAAGCAGCAGTACCTGACGCTGTGCCATTCAAGCCTCATGGCAGCTGTGCAGGCTATGCAGACCGCTGAGATGAACGGCGCGTATGGTCCTCACGATCCTATCTATGAGGCACCGTCGCGGCCCTGGATTCAGGATGAGGGAAGGGATATCTTGCGCAGTCCGCATTCGAGGCAGAAGTGGAGATTGAGCCAGAAGAATTTGTCGCTGCCCAGCATCACCGTGTCCGAGGTGCACCGGGATAAGATCGATGGTATGCCACCTTGCCGTCCCAGTGTTGCCATTGCTAACATGCACCAAGCGGGCTCGATCAACTCTCTACCTATAGAGCTTCCTGGCAGCACACCGGACGACCTTCCAGACCCGGACAACCTGGACCTGTACGCACCTCCGCCAAAGCCACGGGCAGCCTCGTTAGATGCTATCCTGTCTCCATCCTCCGACAAGGAGGCCCTCGACACTTCGTCAGGCTTAGAGACAGATAAGTCGCCTGTCTACGCCCCATCACGACCACCTATGGAGGTATTTCCAGCCCGAAGGTCTCTCGACCAGGTCCGAACTTCCGAATCTACCCTTTACGACATGCGTCGAGCATCCTTGGACCATGTTCGCCCTCGCGCATACTCAGATCAAGTACGGCCACAGCGATCTTTTGAGATGAAACCACGCGCATCCTTTGATCAAGTGAGGCGGATGCCCACCCTCAATGAGAAGCCTCTCGAACGCTACGACTCCACCGCCTCCGTATCCGTCGATCAAGCCGCCACTATCCCCCTTTCAGCGATGCGGTATCGACCCAAGGCCGTGCAGGTACGGAAGCCGACACCGAAGCATCGCTCGCTCCCTTCGCTTCCTTCCCTACCCAGTCAGTCTTCGCTCATCAACGACCTCTCGCCATGGATACTACCCAGCGAGGCGCGAGACAGTATTCAGAGTTATCAGAGCGCGGACACCAACATCTCCCTTAATGCGTCGACTCCGGCGACATCTGTCGCCTCCTCGCCAGTGCTGCCGTCACCTTCGAGCTGTCCGGCCATGCTTGGGGGAGCTGATTCTGGTGCGACGACCCCGGTGCCCAGCATAAGGCCGCCGCCGGCAAGTGCCTCCCCGACGGTAGACGTGCCGTCATCACCCAAGGACGAAACGCCGTTACTACCGCCGCGACGCTATTCGCAGATCCGTCGCCCAGGAACGAGCAGGTCTGCTGTATCGGCTCTACCAAGCTGCAATGAGGAAGGTGCAGAAACATCAGCCCCGGAGAACCCGTCAAAGCTGCTGCGTAGACTATTATCGAACGCTTCTAGTACCGAGACAAATGCCACTCAGGACGAGCCTTCGGGATCTCGTGTGGTCGCTTCGGGGACCCCGGAAAAGTTGCTGGTCAAAGCTGATAGCGACTCCTCCGCCCGAGAGACCGCCTGTGATGAAGAACATGAAGAACAGCCGCCCCCATTGCCTCCACGTCCAGCCGCCAGAGCTCCAGGCTCCTCTAGCCCACCGATTCCCACTGAGGTCCCCGCCTCAACGCTTCCAATAGTTGCTGCTGAACCCGACAAGTCAAAGGAAGCTAATGTTCCCCGTTCGACGGGTCAAGCTCCCCTGCCTTCACCTTCGGAGCAGTCTCAAGAGCCTGCGACCGAAAGCGCCACGCTTCCCCACAGTATGGCCTACAAAATGGAAGTCATTGATACTATCCCTCCACCACAGCCACCGCAACCCACGACAGCGCAAGCGAGAAGAAGAGCAGCGCACGCACGGCGGATGCAGATCGCATATGGTGGGGGCTAGAAGATTGGGCATTTTGGTGATGACGGAATGAACACACGATTATGATACCCAGATTGAGACGGAGGTCTAGTACGGAGTTCTTTGTAGGAGCAGTTGCATACGCATGCAGTACAAACAATACCAAACGATCCCAGCGCCAGGCCCCGTTCTCCTACCGTTAGCTCTGTCCAAGCCCCATTATAAGCCGCGCGAGAATATCACCCCATGAACTCCCCGGCAATCCCTTCACACCCTTCCTTCCCTTCGCATCCCCCTCTCCAACTCTATCTCCATCATATCCCGCCCCGCTCTATGCCCTACACGGCTCCCCCTCCTCATCGCAGCAGTTATTCCTGCACCACTCATCGCGCAGAATCTCCGCGATCTTTTCCTTCGAAAGCTTCGGCGGGCACGGTCCCTCAGTATGTCCACTGCCCCAACCTGTTAGTCACTCACGTGCCATCCACTACCAGCTGCGCAACGAGTAGCACTACTCACGCGGTCATAGACATGATCCGGCACTTCGGCCGCCCGTCGGGATACACCCCGATGACGTGCGGCTCCTTCTCCCACGGCCACTGCTGGCGCGCGTCGATATCCTCGGGGGTTTCGGCGGGTGCGTCGTCGTGCGGGAGAGGCGTGCCGGAGGCGGGGGCGGTAGTGGGGATGGTGATACCGCGCGGGAGCCGGGCGATGGCGCGGTAGTGGGACCAGTCGCTGTGCTGAGGCACTGGGGTGTGATCGTCTTGCGGGGCGACGGCGAGGGTGAGGCTGAATAAGTAAATGGTGGCGAGGAAGGCGAGCTTCATGTTGGTGAATGGGCTAGTCGATGCGAGGAGGAGAAGTGAGGCGTATTCTTAATAGAGGAATAGTCGTGCTACGGTATGGGATACTTGGAGCGGAGAAGAATGGGGACGTGGGCGGTGTTTGGGTTTGGGATTTGGGGTTTGGTTTGGTAGATGGAGTGCGAGGAGGAAAGAGAAGCGGCGGACAGCATAAGGAGAAGTGGCGAGCGCCCATTGATGGTGGGGACTTGCCCACGGAAAGTTTTTCTCCAGGTGCGGTTCTTGGGTCTAGCATGGCGACTGCCGTTGTGTTTTGAAATTGGCAGGTCTGGATTACGTGGGCTGTTTAACTACCTAGGTCCACGGGTAGCATCGCGCCGAGAGACTTGAGATAGTTTGCATGTGTTCTGTCGACGTAACGAGCCAGAAACAAGCGGAAAGAAGAGTGAGAGATAGATGAGAGCAATGAGATGAGCCTGAAAGATCATGTGATATGTAAAATCGGTGCGCAGGCGGATGTTAGGGTAAGGTCCCTAGGTAAGTATATGGGGACATCCCTACTTCACCACATTGAGCATTTGATGGCCTCTGGGTTCCATTTCCGGGTTTGAGCTATCTTTACGTGCATTCTCAACGGCCTGCGGCAGGTGCTCACCTAGGGAGAAAGAGTGGATCACGTGACCATTGCGACGACTCCTAAGGACGTCGTCGCGGTCAAATATCAGGCCGGGCTGAGTATATGAATATTCCCTCGACCCTCAAGTGCCCCCAAATGCAGGTACTCAACGGACTCCGACTAAATTATTGGCCCCAAATACTGTCTGACGATCGCTCTGCTGACGGTGGGCGACGCGCGCTGATTGGTCAAGGGAAATGTGATATCGGCTTCGTAAGCAGCGCACACCTTTTTCTTGAAACCGTCAGCATGTCTCCCTCATTGGTACACTTTCTACATTGGGTGCTTCCCTAATCAACGGGCTCGGCGAACGCAGGATCGTCTGGCTGGTTCCTGAATGTGGGGCCACAGCGGGAATTGAACGGCTTTCGGAGAATTTTTGCTCTACGACTCTACGACGTGTGTGGCAGCAGCGAGGATAGCTAACAATTCTGTAGGCGCATATTCCGATAGATGGTTACAACCTTGGAATGAACGCGCACGCGGTTACGGCAGATATGAGTGTAGCAGGCATGCGGTGACGGATGTTGTAGAACACCCACACCAGCCATATCTCCTTCACCAGTTCAGTAATCTCAGCCTGAATCAACCTCCGCAGGTACCTGCATCAATGCGCAATGACGCTATTCCAGGCGCGGCGGAGAGCTCGTAGGGTACAGACCAGTGGCTGCATGACGAAAATTCCGGGACGCGTGCTCAGCTCCAGAGGCCTGCTGCACAATCTCGCTACCCAAATGCCCCCAAAGTTTGGCACCAATATGTGAGGAAGGCTTATCGTCCGGACTTTCTTACAAATTACCAGTCACCCCCGTTCTCTAACTCCATCGCAGTCTCGCTCCGCTTTTACTTCCTTCCCTCTCAGGAAGCCTGCTGAGGCCATCCACTCGTTTGTTTGCTCACAATGCTATCATCCACTCTTTTGAGAATTTTCGCGATCGTTACTCTCTTTTCAGTTGTTCTTAGTTCGGACATCACAACCTTCAGCGATGCCAATTGCCAAAGCTCGGTCAAGAATCTCGACGCTGTGAATGGTTATCCGGACGGTGTTTGCACGCCGCTCAATCTGCGCTCCCAGACCTTCCAGATTGCGAAGCTGGATCCGGGATGCGCTGGTGAGTGCATATACCTTTGGTCTTGTCCTAGTGACTGAAGATGATGCAGTTACCTTGTATGGACCCAACTCTGGTTCATTGTCGTGCTCATCGGAGCTGAAGATCGTCGCCGATCTTGCAACTTGCTACAACGCGTCCTGGGCGTATTATAGCATCGACGGCTGCTCACCCCCATCTTCGTCCTCAATCGTCCTCCCAACCGTGACACCAACGCCGTCGACGTCCTCGATCACATCGCCGTCAGCAACCTCATCAGCGACAACGCCGCCGAACCCAAACTCTAACCACACCGGCGTCATAGTCGGAGGCATAGTTGGCGGCGTCGCAGTGTTTGCGCTTCTCTTCGGTATCGCTCTGTTCTGTCTTCGCCGCCGTTCTGGGAAGCCACTCCCGCCCCCGCCGTCATACGAATTGTCGAACGACCATGCGCGAGTGGAGTTGTCGTACCCCGAGAAAACACGCCAGATGGAACTGTATGGCCACGAGGCGGCGATCGAACTCGGTAGGAACAGCGCACACGTTCCGCCAGTGGAGCTACCCGGCGATGCAATGGTTGGCGGGGACAAAAAAGGCCTGAATCCGATCATGAAGATCCACATGGTGCGGTGACCTCGCGAAAGAGCGGCGTGTCTGCCCTGAGACATCAACTACGCATCGTAGATTGTGCGACACTGCCGGATATTCTAACTGGGAGTATTGTTCGGTCTCTGAACGAATGGCCACCCTCTCCGCTACGGTAGCTTAGAAAGAATAATGTGTAAGGTTCTCCCGCGATGCAATGCATTCATTTCCCTCCCCAAACGGCGGAAACTTATTGCATGCCAGCACCCATAAGAAGTCATTTTACACACCGCGCCGAGCATCAGGGAGAGAAGTTATGAATTGCCCGATTTGGAGTATGGCAGGGTTAAGCGACGGACTTGCTTACGGGGCCGGCGGAAAATATTATCGCATGTCTAAGGCTGAAACGGTTCAAGGGATGAGTGTACCTGGCCATAGATTGGGGTATGTAATGCGCCATTTTGCTTTCCGCCTTCCTTCGGCAGTCTAGGGTCCAGATTGGGTTAATGGGTCGAGCGCGACGAATAACATGGTGCATACGACACGGTGTCCGTGCGGAAGATGCATCTCGCCATTTACTTTATTTTGTTCCTCCGTATACCCCGGGGTATTGGAGCTCACGATTTCAGGGCCGTATACTTGTTGACCTGATGCCGCCCCGTCCGTATGATGTCTTTGGCAGTTTGGATGTGCACCTCCACTGCGAGACACGGGCATCACGCTCGTTAGCTCTAATACAGATCCACTATTCTTCCTTCCACACACCCCATCATCCTGTCGTTCGCTCACAGCCGAGTAGTGTCGTTGGGTCCTTTTCCCGGTGTTTTGAAATGTTGAAAGCTGGTGTTTAGCCGTAGTATGACACCAAGCCCCCGCCTTGCGTTGGGACCGAAGAACTGATCTGCTTCCTTTGCCGTCGTTCCTCAGAATTCCCCACACCGTTGAGTAGCTCATCCCCGATCGGGTAAGAGGCGCCGCTACCCGAAGCGACGCTGAAGGCGGGCAGAACTGCCTATTTCAGAATGACATCAACCTCCACTTTAAGCTTTAAGCCCGCTCCACCACGCTGGATTCTGATGCTCAGATGCCCTACTCTTCTCTATACTCCATAACCATTATGGACGGGTCCGCGAATGGCTTTCATGCGACAAACGGGCATGCCAATGGCGCTGGCCAATCGCCAATAAAACCTCGGCTATTCTGCATGGAGAAACCTCCATCGCTCGAAGACTTCACGAGGCTCACAACGGAATCCGTTCCAGTTCACTATCCTCTCGCCGCCTCAATCCAGTCGAATGTACCAACCTACGACCTGCCAGACTTCCACGCTACCACGGCAGAGCAACGCGAAGCACTCCAGGATGAATGGTACCACATCCTCCTCTCCGGCCCAGGAGTCTTCGTTACGAAAGGGCTATACAAAGACAAACCACTTTTAGAGAAGGTGAACCAAGTCTATGCTCAGATTATCGAGAACGAGAAGAAGCTCGCTGGCAAGCGAGGCGACCATTTTGCAGGCTCCGGCGCGAACGATAGGATCTGGAATTCGTTTTCGAAGCACTGTCTCCAGGACCCGGAATCTTTCCTGGCGTATTACTCGAACCCGTGGCTTCCGATCATATCGTCGGCGTGGCTGGGCCCGCACCATCGCCTCACGGCGCAAGTCAACATCGTGAAGCCCGGCGCGAAGGCGCAGATCTCGCATCGCGACTACCACATCGGCTTTCAAGACAACGCGTCGTGTACAAAGTTCCCAAAAGCGCTGCAGGTTGCCTCGCAGTTCCTGACGCTGCAAGGCGCCGTGGCGCATTCAGATATGCCCCTCGAAAGCGGTCCGACGCGTTTGCTTCCCTTCAGCCAAATGTTCGAGGAGGGATACATGGCGTACCGCATCCCGGAGTTCCAGAACTACTTCCTGGAGAAATATGTCGCCGTGCCGCTTTCGCAAGGCGATGGACTCTTCTTCAATCCCGCGCTGTTCCATGCGGCCGGGCAGAACGATTCCTCGTCCATCATGCGCTCTGCAAATCTCTTGCAGATATCATCTGCTTTCGGCAAACCGATGGAGATGATCGATACGTATCCGCTTATTGAGAGGACGTGGGATGGGTTGGTTGAGCGGTACAGGAAGGAAGGTCTCAGCGACGAAGTCAGGGCCTTTGTGGGTAATGTCGCGGAAGGGTATCCGTTCCCCACGAATTTGGATCGGCGTGTTCCGCAGACAGCGGGTATGGCGCCCGAGAGTGAGCAGGATCTTCTGATCCGTGGGTTGGAGAAGGGATGGACGAAGGAAGAGGTGTTGGTCGAGATTAGGAAGATGAGGAGTGATTCAAGAGCGTAAGCATCCGCTCGTGGCATAGTACATGCGAACGAAGCGTGGTACAAAATACTTCATTTCCCAGTGTTTCACGCAGCTTATAGGTGGGGTCATTCCATCCTTCATCACTGTTTGTCATTGACACTCACCTGTATGTGAATGTCTCGCCCTTTCAATGTCTCAAAAGCATGGAATTAGCTACACAAACAGCATGACTTCTGTCCATATCCTACTTACTTTCCTGAGTCTATGTAACTGCCACAACAGGAATAATTTGCTGCGTCTTACCTCCAACCATATCAATCCCATACAAGCTACGGTAGCCACCTTCCTTCAGAGTTACTCTCACAGCTCCTTCTATTCTACGAACTACGAACATGTCTCCACCGAGCCCAAACCACAACACCCGACGCCCGCCCAGCGGATCCTCCATCAACGAAGTCCGCGAATGCGTCGATACGCTCGACTCGATCACGCTCGGTCTCGACAAGATACTAGAAGGATGCGCGGACTTCCGCGCAGGTGTTGAAGATCTCAAACTCCTTTTCGAGACCATCGCAGACTATATGGATGGAGAGCTGTTGGATAAGGAGGCGCTTAGGACCAGAGAGCCAGAGGAGAAGAAGCAGTATAGGCAGGTCCATTTAGAGGATGAGATCAAGGATGAGGCGACAAGGGTTGAGGAGAGCAGCAGCGAAGAGGACCTGTACATGAAGGCTCTGCTTGAGAAGGACAAGGTTCTTAGGCAGCTGGAGAAAATTCGTGACGAAGAGAGAGGTGTGCGTGAGGGTAGGAGAGAAGTTGGAGCTCTGAAGACTGTTGCTGAGGCTGAGCCGTGAGCTTCTGACAGTACTAGTGGTATTTGGACTTTTTGATGCGCAATGACTATTGGCTGGACTTGTACTATCTGAGGTGGTGGATGTTGAAGGGTTTCGAGAGTAATTTTTCCTGAACCAAATTCTGCATATGCTAGTGCGTGTCCTGCAAGTGAGTACTCGCATTTAGCATTGTAGGTGCAAAAGGTCCCGAATAAAGCGCAAGTTCTTGTATCTTTAGGAGCGCGGCTCCTTGATCACGCCATTGTATTTGGATGCTACATACGTGAGCCATTCAATCAGTGGCGATATCCAAACCTCATTCCCCACGTGCACGCGCCTAAACCAATGCTATATCCCTATGGGCGACTCTCAAAGTCGAAGATCCCCTCATCCCCATGGACACGTTTGAAGAGCTCTCCCATAGCCGGAAGAGCCCCCGGATGCTACCGAGCCCAACCTTCCGCTTTGACACCCAAGAACCAAGCTTGGTCATTCAGCTTCTCAGCCTCTTCCTTGAAATTGTCATATACGCTAGCGTCGCGGCCCTCCTTGATTTCCTCCTTCGCAAGCCAGTCCACGAAGGTCCACATTGCGTAAGCGATATCTCCGAGATTTTGACCGAGTGAGCGCAGTGTTGATCCATGCTCTTGGAGGAGGTCGTCAACACCCCGGTAGAATGCGTTGAAGATCCTTGCGTCGGCGTTGCGTTCACGCGCGCTTTCTTCTTTGGCGATTTGGCTGGCTAGCTCACGAATGTGGGAGGCGACGCTTTCTACTTGGCGAGGAATATCCTCATTTTCAGCTGTCGAGGGGGTTGGATCGGGGGTTTTCATTTCCGTGGATGTGTTAAGGCTATAACGATTTGTGGGAGTGTATCTCGATTTTCGAATATTGATAATTGGGGCAGAGTAATTGCTGTGTATCTGAATTTGTTTTTGGGTAAGGCTACAGTGTTGAAAGCCAAGCACTGTGCAGTATTTATATGGCAGAATTACTTCTCTATATTGAACGGAACTTGTATGCCAACTACGCTTGCGGTGAATGAGAGTCAATTGCCGCATTCAAACCTACGAAAACGTTCAATAGTCGATTCTAGAGCATCGAACCTCTACTCTTCACAGATTGCTAGCTCGAGAAGTATAAATACTCAGAAATAACGAGGCGTAGCTCCCTACTCAACATTTCAACACCATCAACAACACACTCTCCTCAGTCTCCCGGACATCATCCCCAAGAAGAAAGATTTACTTGCCTTACCTCACTAAACATCTCAAAACCACAGCAAATATGGAGAGCAAGCTGCTAGTCCTAAGATTCGATCTCATACGGCTAGGTGACTCCATCAGCTACGGGGCGAAACATCTCGGAGGCGACGAAAAGCGAAATAATAAAGACGACGAGGAATACCGCGACGCTGCCTCCATGGCCGACAAAATCGCAACGCTGGCCCTGGATCTCGACTTGAACTGCCCACCGGAAAGCAAGCCCGACACACTCGAGCACACGAAGGAGTACATAGCTTGGAAGCAAAAATCGGCGGAAATAGCCAAGGATCTCGGCAGGCATGCATATGACATGCACACGGTCATCGAGCTCCTGATTGATGTGGAGGAATCAAGGGTGGGCTGCAAAAGTAGAATTCTCGATGCCGCGAGGAAGGAGAGTGGGGGCATTTATAAGGAGGCACGGGAGTTTGAGGAATATTTTGATGGGTATGCGCGGTGGTTGAATGAAGAAGGCTTTGGGGACGGTGGACGGGTGCTGCATATTCCGCCGCCGTCGACCTCACTCTAGCTCTTTGATTAGCCATGATGCGATCATTGTTCAGAGAATTTGCAAGTGTAAAACGTATATTGGTGATTCGGGTAGTAGCACTACGGACGGTCTGCGTTTAAGCGCAAAGTAGTAGAGATAGCTTCACAATCATTCAAACCAAAATCTACAACTGTGACAGTATATCTTATTCTGCTAAGCGAACGGTTTTCACTCTGTATCTCCTGACACACTGATATTGATATTCACTTTCTAGTGCGTTGGCTGCTCGTGAAGGATGTCCGTGACGAGAAGTACACGCCAACATTTCCTGCTTCAATTCACACACAACGCGAAGCTTTCCCACCCGCTATTCCATGCGCAAGACCCAAACGCAATCTATCTCGGTATACATATCGATACTACTGCCCTCGCCCTTCCCCATTCCTGAATCGTCATCCACACTTCAGACAGACATCGTCGAAGCACATCCCTGCCAACAAGCAACCTCAGTACTCAACATCACGCATTCCACCTCTCCCTGCTCGAACAAACAACACTTGCTCCCCTCCACATTTCCGCAAACGTAAACACTATGTCGAATCCCCAAAACCTCATCAGCCTCGCCGAGCAACTCGCCAACGCCGGCCGCGAACTCCAAGAGCTCGGCGGCAAGTTTCTCACCATCGCGTCGACGCTCGAGCAGGAAGCTGCGAATATCGCCGAAGAAAGGGCAAAGGCGGCGCGGCTCGCAGCTCGGGCCCACGCGGACGTCGATGTGAATGTTCATGTCGGTGTTAGGACTGGGGGAATTCGGACGCGCCACCCATGTTGTGGCGCGTGTATCAGTGAAGGGAAGGAGGGGCCGGGGAATACGACTGTTGTTGTGAATAAAGCGGGCTCTGCAGTTGGGAGTAAAGTTGGTTCGGCGGTGGGGAGCAAATGGGGCGCTCCTGGTGGAGGTAATTGAGTGCAGCTTGGAAGATGGCATCTTCTGTGTTGGCTTCTGGGTATGTCGGATGATGGAGATTGTGATGCGAGATCTTAGACCGCTGTTCTTCAAGCGTGGAAGGTACCATTGATATTGGCGGAACTTATGGAATTCTTCATTGAAGCAGGCTCTCTAGTACAAAATGTGCGACTTGACGTGCGCTAGACATCGCGATCGTATTCAAGCAAGAGCAACGTGTTTCTGAGCTGTCGCCACCCTACACTCGAGGAGGGGGTAAGTCCAGGAGTCAGTTTCTCGCCCCTTCACAACGTCCTATAGTATATATTTCGACATTTTCAATAGCCTTCTCCTCAATACCACAACATCTACTAAGCGCGAAACGGAAACAGCGAGAACGCCAGAAGCATTCGCAAATCCACAAGCTTACCCAATACGAGTATCCCGACTATCAAGCTACGACAACGCGCGACAAAGCTATGGAGCAGCACGAAAAGGTCATAAAACAACAAGAAGCAGCCGCAAAAATGCGTGCAGCCGCCGCAAAGCAAGAGGAAGCAGCTGCAAAAATGCGGGCAACAGCCGCGAAGCAGCGGGCAGCGGCAGAAAAGCAACGACAAGCGGCCGCAAAGCAGAGAGAACAAGCTATGAAAATACGCGACGAAGCTATGAAGACGGCGGAACGAGTAGAGACCGGACCTAGCGGAACAACACAACGGCGTCCTGGAGTCATAGTGCAGGTTCATCAAGGCTTAGGGCAACTCCAGCGGGGCATGGAGCAGTTCGGCCGGGAGATGCCGCAGTTCCATCGCGAGATGCAGCAACTCGAGCGAGAGATGTCTCAGCTAGCGCGAGAAATGCAGCAATTTGAGAGAGAGATGTCTCAGCTTGCCCGGGAAATGCAGGAACTTGATCAAGAGTTTGCAAGGTATAATCGAGGGCTTTGAGACACGCCGGAGCAATGCGAGAGGCGCAGAGGAAGCTGAATGTGGCCAGGTACGGCAGACGGAGGGCAAGATGACGAACGGGGAAGGTGGCACCGGAAGCAACTAAGGAGCAGCAGAGAAATCGTTCAGTTCAACTGTGGCGGTAGCTGAGGGGTATACAATTTCGACACGGGCTGAAGTACTCTGTCTAGTGGCTAGTAAGAGAGATAAGCTACTTCACGATGATCGGAAGTACCGACTATGTGTACAATGCATACCTGACTACCATAGCATTTCATACGAAGCCCATTTGTTTTCAAGTGCCCAGTCGGCCTGGGTGTGCATCCCTTCGTTATCCCATGGCTGCCCGTCTCGCATTGCCGCCCTGTTCTCTACCATCCTCAGCTGCTCGTCGCGCGCCTGCGCTACAGCGGAGTCAGCACACGCCTTCCTCAACTTTTTCCATGCCTGAATAGCCATCCTTCTTTCAGCTTTCGTCCTTTCCTTCACCTCCGCCGGCGTCTCTCCAAATTCAGTGAGTGTGTTGCATGCCTCCGGATTGCTGTAGGCTTCGCGAGCGGCATCGGGGAGATGCGAGGTTCCGTCACTCAATCGCAGCTCGTTCCAGGCGTAGTTGACCTGCTCGGTCCATCGCATGACACAATCAAACGCCGCCCTAGTAGCGACGAAGTTCTTCCGCGCTTTGTTGTAATGCTCCGTCCAGATGGCGAGTACCTTCTTCGCCGACTCCTCCGCCTGGATGACATGGGCCCTAACGGCCAAGAAGTCTAATTTGATGTCGACTTCGGACACCGTGGTGAAGTCCTTTGTGTATTTCGCCATGCACTGCTCGAGCGCGTCGATGCATCGCCCGAGGTTAACCTTGGCCGTTACGGTTTCCACTCGGTAATGGAAGCTGTGTTGCTAATCCAACTCCTCGACACGCAGGTGTACGTCGTCGGCGGCGGTGTTCATCGCGAGCACGTCGAGTGCGGCGTTCTTGAGCGGTGTGGGTATGGGGAAATCGAAATATGGTGGCCTGACGGAACACATGTCGGCGATGTTTTTGACGCGTAGTGAGAGGGACGTTTGGGGGGTCGCAGGACAAGAATGTAAGTTGTGAAAATTGGTGGCTCGGCTGTGGTAATGCGGGTGCGAGAAATCCAACGGTAGTGATAGTGGGAAATAATTGAATTGCTGTTTGATGTGAGAATCCAGATTGCTGTGCACTGTCGAAGTGAGATGTTAAAGGCGTGCAAGTAATCTGGCACACGCGGCGATGCATTGTTTCGGTATCGAAAGCTAGCAGGCAAGTACTGTCTGTGTGAGCGAGAGGGGAAACTAAGAGCCTTGAACCACACGGCAGGAGCATCTTTGAAACGTCGAGACGAAACTCCGTTGGAACGGACCCCATTGCGCTCGATTTATTGTCGCAAGCCCCCTTGCCTCATCAGTATAAGCTCACCCTGACGTATTATCACCCTTACCTCCAATGAATCGCACACCGCACAATGCGCCGCCACTTCCCCCAAGTCCAGCGCCCATGCCGTTAAACCAAGCGAGCAGGCGCTCCTTGGTAAACTGGCTGAAGTAGTCTTTTATGCTCTCTAACTCCTAACTCAAGAGTTTTTCGCCATCTTCTGTGTCGTGATTCTCTACGCTCCGTGCGTAATATGGCGCTTTCGACGCGGTTCGTGGATCGTGAGAACGCCGGTGGAGACGAATTCCTCGGGAAGCCTCAGCTCGGCGACGATATTAATGCCGCAAGATTGCGAGCGTGATATAGTCGGGTTAAGTGCGCGGCAAGCAAAGGTACCTTTCTAGGTTGAAAATATAGTCAGTTTGCTGCTTTCTGTTGGGTGGCTCTGAAACTTTCGGGATTAGTGTACCACAATGGATCACTGAGGATATATTGACGATGTGAGCCCGCGGCCCTCTTCAACGTTCATCCTGCAGCTCTCTCGGAATTGAATGCTTTTTGCTGTCACAGTCAGAGCATCAGTGATACTTAGACCCACAATCCCCACCCCGCTCCTTCACTGCCTCTCCGAAAAGCCATACACGACATCAGCCCTGAATTCCGCAATCCTCTCCTCCACCACCTTCACAGCCCTCGCCGTATCCTCAAAATCCCTTCTAGCTTCTCCTAGCGCTTCATCGCGAGTCCTCCCAGCTACCCTATACAACTCCGCAATATCCACTATACTGATGCTCCGACTCGCTTCGCGCTGCTCTCGGATCTCTTTCTCGAGCGTCTCCATCACAGCCTTGAGCTGCATACCGGCACGCTCCCGCTCCACTGTCAGCAATGCGGTTTGCGCTTGAACACGCAGTCGAATCATCTTCTGGGCAAGTTTGGAAATGCGTTCGTGGATCTCATCAAGCTTTTCGAGGGATTGCAATAGCGCTTCTCCGCGCGGTAAGGGCGCTGTAGCCATGGTTAATTTGTGATAGACGATCTGCGTCTACTGAGGCGGGTTTTTAGTATCGGCGACGGGAACGCGACTACTTCGTGGTTTTGCTTCTGTAGTAGCCGTTAATGCTTTGATGCAAGGCCCGGGGAAGAGTGTGCAGATACTTTAAACATAGTCTCCCCCCTACCGACATTCAAATACCGGGGATTTCCGTACCAATCCTGTAGTCCAACGCAATCCTCCGGTACATTCCATTCTTCGATCGGCCCTCCTTTCTTCAAAGTTCCTCTACGATTAGGCAAGCTGCGCGGCATCCTCCAAGCCCAGCTGAATAAGTAGAGTACATACTCGGCACTATATATTGAGTCACATGCCGCATGTCATGCGAAACAACGCACTGGTATGGTCATACATATAGTCGCATGCCCAGAGCTCAACTATTGGAGCAGTCCAAGCAGGCGAACAGCGCAGAACATCTATCCTTGCTTTGCACTGTTCAGATTTGCGGTTGTTCTGCCTGCCTCCCGGATCTTTCTTAGTTGCGTTCAGTCACACTGGCTATGGCGGACTCACTTAACCAAAGACACGGAATATCAGCATAGTGGCACAGCGTGGTGTATGACTCTCCCTCCCCATATAAATGCAATACTTCTACTGCTCAACCTTCTATCATTCACCACCTTCGCAATCTCCGCAACGAACGCCAACACGATTTGCTCGCACACATCTCCCGCGTTGCCGGTCCTCAAGAAATCCCGCTCGATCGAACCTACCACCAGACAATGTCGACATCAGAAGCGGGCTCCACCGCCGAAAGCTCAGCTTCAGAACTATTTTCGCTAATTCTCGAAGCCCGAGTCGTCCTCCACAAGGACGTATCCGCGACACCGACCGAAGTATACGAGAGCGTGAAAAGTTTGAGAGACGGCAGATCCAAAGGCAACAATAATCTCCTCAGAGAGATAAGGGCTCAACTCCTGGAGCTTGTGCAACACTTCAAGTCTTTTCGATCGAAATACGAGGCGGTACTGGAACCAGATATCACTTCCTTTGCGCCAAGAGAGGCAGAAGCTGCACGCCAATGCAGGTTGTACCTGGGCATGGACGAGCGCATCGCGCTTGAAGCGGCCACGTTGTTCCGCAAATACCTGGAGCATAAGTGTCAAGAGGGGGATGGTGTCCGGAGGATACTTCCGCTAGAGCAGGAAGTGCGGCAAGTTGATGCACTGCTAAGCATCCATGACGAGAATTCGGGGGATGCGTAACGGGGTCGAGATGTGCGGTGTTGATACTTTCTTATTCTCTTTGGAATCTGTACGGTGCTTTTTTCTGTTTTGGGTTAAACTCCTCTTCTTGGGTAATGTAGCTAGATGTAATGTAATTTCTTCTTGCGCTTAATTATGATAAATATTTGGGAGTGTCGAATTCGTTCGCTGTGAGTATCGTGACTGTGACTCCGAGAGAGAGCGCATTGACTCACACGGAAGCCATGACGCATCAGTGTGCAGGCACGGCCCCCTCTCAATACTCGTTCTTGCACAGCATTCAGGTCAAACATTCACCGCACCTCTATGGTGAAACGTATTCTTAACCCTCTTGATGTCAATCTCGACCGTACAACGCTCATCTTTTCCGCCTCAAGCGCGTCCCTCAACAGCCACGTCAGGAGCGAAATCGTACGCCTCTTGGCCAACCTTGACCCCGGCCCCCTCCTATTCCCCAAGATGCTCACGACCTCCCCGCACGAAGATGCCCACACCGGCATCCACCATATGCTCGACAAATGGCGTGCCGTGACCGAGTGCCGGCCGCCCCCCCGGATAGGCGAAGTCATTCACGCCGATCCTTGAAAGGCGACCTGCGTTGCACACCAAATATTCCCCCTTCTGAACGAACTGCAAAACCACCCGCTCCCAAAGTTGCGGATCAACGCCGTGGAGGAGTCGCAAGTAGCGTACGATACCGAAGCGCGGGCGCTAGTACTCAACATCTTTCCGAAAGCCGAGCCACGACTCACTCCAGCCACAGCGCTTCCCACTAGTAGCGTAGAGCTGTGCATGAAGACGGAGTCGAAATTCGTGTCGAAGAGCGGATACCCGCTAGTCCAACGTTTTATCGGCCACCAGCCACCCCAGACGGTTATCAAGTCGCTTATCCTCTCCCTCAAGGCGTCTCTCACAAAGGGATAAACCGTGGAGGGAGGATAATAGTCGTATCTCCCTTGGCGACGCCGTCGACGCTGTGCACTTGCTGTAGAAGGCGAAAGACACCCGCTCTCTAGATGACGACGCGCGTGTCGAAGTTATTAATGCAAATAGTGTACGTCGCCTCGTCGTCGTAGATGTAACAGGGCGTTCCGTTCAAGACCTGCTTGCATGTCAGACAGACGTTGGATATGCGTAGTCCGCTCCAGTTCCGTAGCCATCCTCCTCGTCTCCGTCATATCCTAGCTCTAGTCGTTAGGGCGGCATAGCAAGTATAGCTTCAAGTTTTCGTCGTCGTCGTCGTCGTCGAAGTTGACATCAAAAACCAGACGGCGGATCTCCGGAAGCACATCAAAGCGGAACACTCCTCCGCGCGTAAGCTCCGTTTCTATCAGCGAAGTATTCTCACTCAGCATTCATACCTACTTACATCAGCATCAATGCCTTCGGAAGCGTTCATCGAGCCGCTTTCTTCACTTACCGTCCGGCTCCATATCCAGTAAACCGACGCCTATTGAAATTAGTGCGCTCGCTTCATCCAGGCTGCAGGGGCTATACTGTATTTCCCCACTCAACGCACAGACCCCACTCAACGCACACTTTTTAGTATCTCTTACCCCCCCCTAAAATAAGAACTATAATAGATAAGTAAATAAAATTTTAGTATATTATTTATATACTACTAGTAACTCTATATTAGCTTAGAAATTTTAAAAAGCTATAGTATTTAGTTAGTAATTAAGATTTATAAATTTATTAAGTTTTTTTAAAAACTTCTAATATATAGCTTATAAATTAATATATAAGCTTTTTTATAAAATAAACTTATA